ACCCTCATCCCTATTTACTCAAGCTGTGCACTCTATCATATATTTATCTTAGTATTTTATTTCGAAATAGCTTTAGGGATGATGGTATGACGCGCCAATTGCTCTACTGTCATTTTTTTCCGTGGGAAAAAAAAGTAAATTAAAAAAAATGTCAATTAACCAAAGGGATGTAGTCAATCATTAACATAGGAAATGATTAGTTTCATTTTCACTACTTTCAACAAGTCCTTTGCTTAAACTCTTGTTTAGTTTAAGCTTTCAACAAATATATTTTAAGCTTGGATTTCCGCTATTAACCCTAACTCCCTAGCAAGATTTACTAGGACCAATACCCATCCTGGCAAATTCCAACACAATATTGGAAACCGCACACACATATTTCTGACTTTGATTCTGGAGGTGTGCCAACCAAATGTAAAAAAGACTGTCAGTTTAGAGGTACTGTACCCATCCTGACACATTCCAACAAAACATGCCGTTGGGGTTTGATGGGTTGAGTTCTGTTTTTAATTTTAACTAAGTTCAAATGTAAACATTTCTATGAAAAAAAACATTTCCTATCTTAAGTTAAGGAGAATACACGAGAAAGTGTGGATTCGTAATTTAAGAATTCACGAGGCGCGAAGCGCCGAGTGAATTCGTATATTAAGAATCCACACTTGCGAGTGTATTCTTCGACTTAAACCATTGCGTCAAAAGAAGTATTGGCATTAACAGTGAGTGGAGATGAAAAGACTTGGGATAAATGTTGCAATCTGACGCCACTTCCGCGATTGTGTACAAAGTCTATGGAGAGTCAAGATTTTTTTAAAGTATTTCCTAACAAAATTGGAAATATGTTTTTCAGTCCCAGATTCGTGTCTTATCATCATTCTTGCAATGAATGCCCTTCATTGAGATGATATATGGAGAAAAAAAAGTGGCGCCAGGTTGCAACATTTGTCCCGGCTCCTTCCGTCGACAAATTGATAGGTCAGACGATGATTTCTTTCTGACTCGAAGTAGGTCCTGCAGTGACGGCGGAGAATCTGACAAGATGCATTGGTCCTATTAATGCTCATTATAGACAGTGGCGTCGCCAAGGGGGGGGGGGGGGGGGGGGGGGGGGGCACGTGCCCCCCCTGGAAAACCTAGTGCCCCCCCCCGAGTGCCCCCCCCCCCATCTGAGATTTGGGTTGGTAAAAAAATATATATATATTTTGTTATATTCAACTCCCATCATCTGAGTTGGTTAAATAGCAATTTCTGGAGATATCTTCAGATCGAATTTAGCATCAAATGTGGCACCATTTTGCATCTAGCCCATCCTCCGTATGCGAAAATTTTCCAAAGGGGAGGGGGGCACCCCCTCCCCTTAGACCCCTCCCCCAGGACGGCGATCCGTATCCACCTAAGTGCCCCCCATCAAATGCTGGTGCCCCCCTGTGCCCCCCAGACTGAAAAGTCTGGTGACGCCACTGATTATAGAGAACATTTTGTCTGACGTGTTCAAAGTGAGGATTCGTAATTCCGAATCCACACTTTGTGACCAGCGTAACAGATTCGTAGTTCCGAATCCACACTTTTAACAATAGTGTGACGTCATAGCAATGGTTTAAGCATCTGGAGAAACGACCGCCAGGTTTGATTCTTCTCCTATCAAAATTGGAAGTCGATGAAATAGTTTTGGTCAGACACAAGTGTCTACGGAATAACGGGTTGGTAACGTTCAATGATCCTATAATTGTTGTAGTCTTTTGTCCCATCTGTCTCACTGTCTGTTAGGGGACAAAAGCATTTTTTGCTTCACCAAAACCTAAATGTTATCCTTTGTGTAATAATTTGATAGTAAAGTTAACCTGTAATATTATATTTCAGCTTTTTGTAAACACTGTACATTTCCCTTTCCCAAAGACAGCATTGAAATAAATGTACTATTCAAAATCAATTCAATTCATATAATAGAGCAAGAATATAGTATGCTTCCAAAGACTACAATTTTGATATTTGTTTTGTATAACTGTATTCTTTACCGAGGGTAGTCCATTTCAGTTTTAAAAAAAACCTGCTTTTCAAAAGAGCCTTTACTTTGTAACTTAAAGATGTTTCAATGGAAAGTACAAAGTTCACATTAACTTTCTTGTCATGTTGTGAAACTCAATTACACGTACACTTACCGTTTATGGGATGTTTTTCTTAGGTTCTACTATCCTTCATGACCCAATACCCTATCTTTGTTCTCTTCCAAAGTGAGTCCAGCTATTTCTTAAATGCACAGTTTAGGCATTCACTACTTCTTGGGGAGAGCATTCACAACTCGTTTGGAAAAAAAGTTCTTCCTGCAACCAATGTTCTTGTTCCGACAGGGCTCTGGAGTGCTCTGAAACGTGCAAAACTAAATCAGGGCAACTTTACTCACTCTTTAGCCAGCAAATTTCTCCAAAAATTCCACTGAGTAAAGAAAAGGTCTGAAGTATTCACCAACCAAGTTTGCAGACTAAATTTTAATTTTTAAAGGAGACTTTTCTTCCGTATTGTGCACATGAGAGGGAAGTCAAGTGATTTCAAAATGGGGCTAAACACTAGACTGCTACATGTCCAACCATGATCCAACTATTTGAAAAGACTGATATCTTCTTGCAGTGTCATTAGTATGGTGGCTGACTACGGAGAAGTGTGTAGTAAATTGAGACTAGTCCCCGGTTCATGCCACATGTTTCTTAAATTCTTTTGGCACAGTTGATTGATGCAGTATTGAAGCGCTGTTGGACTGGTTGTTTCAGGTGCCAGTTTATTTTCTTTCTTTGCATGTTTTCAATACCTTCCGTTTTGGGTTCATACACAGTATTGAGAGTCCAAAATTTTCGGACTAGTTCTTGTTTAAAGTTGGTTTAAAGAGCTTCATAGTGTGTTGAATTTTAACAAAATCAGGTCTTCTGATCTCACAGAAAGCCTGATTGGGCTACCCTGGTATACCAAATAGTGCTCAAATATCTGAATAAAAAAATGCATCACTAAAATATTGAACGAGCAATTCTGTAATGGTCTGCTCACCAGTTCAAGCAAGGTAGAGACTCCTGGCTCTCATCGCAAGTGGCCTCGGTTCAAACGCCTCCTGAACAACTTCTTTCAGTCCTTGTCATTTTTTCCAGCCCTTGACTCACAGCAAGGGCTTCTTAAGGATGCAGACCAGTCAATCGGTCGGAAATTGCCTACGCCGGCCAAATCACGATTTGCATGCCCTCAAAATCTTCAGTATTTGAGCATGCTGTGGGCCATAAACTTGAGGGTTTGTAAAAAATATGGATGGAAGCTGTGCACAGGACTGGGAGCTTGCAGTTCTGTGTAATTTGGATGTTATTTGGACCCTAAAAGCGCTCTATTTTGCAATGGAGTGTGGGCATCGTTTTTCAAAATGGCGATGGGCTTCAGGACTATTTTCAGGGGTGGTCATCTTCAGATGGAAATTTCTCCTAAAAGTCATCGTTGACCCCCCAAAAATTGAAAAGAAAATGAAAGATGATGAAATAAGCTTTAATTTGATGTGTGTCTCGAACACCTTGGAGAGTTGTGAGTATTTTTCCCGAATTTCTGAAGTGGGAGCATTTACCATTGGGGTCTATGGGAGTTTATTTACTGGTCTGCTACCTTAAGTCGATCTTCTCCCTTCCTTTGCTAATCTGGTAACACAAATCAAAGTCCGGACTTTAGTTCTGACATTATTTCGGGATTACAAACTTACCCACAGTGTTTCAGACCGCATAGTGTTTTTTTGCTCTAAGACCGAAGCACATGCTAGTCTGGTTCCAAGACCAACAAATTCTGACTATTCCTGATGAATCTTAGGTCAGGCAGCCTCCATGGCTAAAAATAAATGAGACGACATTAATTGGCCTTTTTCAAAGCTCGGCTTCGTTTCCGATTTCGCTTTATCACTTTTATCTTTTAATGTTCGATCTGATCAAGTTTTTATGTAAATCACTTGCTTTGTAATACAGTTATGATAATGCAGTTTGATGTTTCTGTAAGATAATATTGACTAATTTTGATCTGGAATCTTCAAAATTAGGCACCCAAATAGCACTGTTAGCAGGCGGAGCCGAATGAAGACCGAGTTTTGGAAAAGCTCAGTAAGGCCAAAAAAAAAAAATTCGGTCTCTGGTCAGACCAAAGTTCCGGAATTGACGCGGCCACGCGGCTTTTTTTTTTTTTTTTTTTTTTTTTTTTCTTCAAGCTTCGATTGTACAGACAAGGTGGGTACTATTTTGCTTTTTTGGTGTCCTCATGTACATTGGTGTCCTCCATAATTTGCCTTGGTGCTTTCGATCATTTGCCTTGGTGCAATTTCCCATTCCTTGGTGCTCTTTGGTAAAAAAAATTGAGGAGGTGCGGAAATAGAGGGCGCTGTTGGAGCTACCGCGGAACATTTTGGGGAAAAAAAAGATCGACGCGCATGCTTAAAATCGACGCGCGCGCTGACCAGAGACCGACTTATTTTTTTTTTGGCCTAACAGTCGTCAAATTAAACGCAGCAAAAGTTCGCCCATACGATCCGAGTATATATGATGCACAAAATCGTCGTTGAATGTCAAGTTTTCTAAATGAAAGCAATAAATATTAATTATCAACTCATTAAAAAAAATTTTTAATAAGCAATGAGCAGCTAATTAAACCTATATTATATTTGGAAATACTCGGGCGCTATCCGATTGTCGACGAAACAAACTTCGGAAATTTTCGGAAAAAGGAGGAATTCCTCCCGTTTTAGTCACGTGACGTAAATTGTAATACAATGTATTACCGGAGGCCACCGGACCTAAGATTCATTGTCTTTGGTCTGGGAACCAGACTAAGCACATGCATGGAGTCCGGGACTGGCCTTGCACCACGTTCAGAAAACCCTTCCACATCCTCAAAAAAACCCCCATAAAAACAAATGCAGCAAAATGTAGATAACATCTGTGTGCGCGCACACACTCAAACAAAAGGCCAGTTTGCAGATGCTTTTAACCGACCCATTCCTGTAGACAGCTTTCCGCAACTCGACTTCTTTTTGTTCATCGATCCTTTCAACTCACTGTGCCGTGTTTCCACTTGACTAGCTTCGCTATGCCCACGAAGGCCTGTACCGATACGCGATGTGGTCATTGTTTCACACGGAGGTGAGCTGATAGTCTCAAGAGTTGAAGCTTCTTCATATAGGAACACAAACCTACAGCGCTTGTGCAGTTGGTCTCGGTTAGATTTTAAAAAGTGGCAGAGGCAAAATGGCCGAGGATCAGATCGACGGACATTTTCTTAGTACAAAAAAGTTGACAATTCCCGACGTCTCGCCGACCAAATCCATCACGCCGTCTTGTGATTCGCGGTTTCTTAAGGTTGGTTTGTGCATGTCAGCCACTAATGATATCTCCTTTGTGGTACTTCGCTATAATATTTACCGGCCAAAGTAAAATCTGGGTTAAGCATTACCACTGTTTGAAACCAAAACTTACAGATGTAGCTATGGTAAGTTATGGTGTGTAAATGTAAAATGAGGCATCATGTACGTGCAACCATCACCGTTATCATTAAAACTTTCCACAACTTGAGACGAAAATTGACTGCCTTGGTCGTCCTCGTGAAGCTGTAATGATTAACGTGGCGTCCTTAATTATGTATACACTGTAAGTGTAACGTGTAACAGACAAGAAAAAATAGTGTTGTTGTCTATTTCATTTTTTTTTGAAATCCTTTCGAATATTGTGTTTGTTTCCTCCTTGAAATCGGCATGCAGTTTGTCAAAGAGAATGACATCAGTGGGGTCAGACGGCTGTTTGCTGAAGGCGAAATCAATGACTTGACCGAGTGTGATGAGCTTGGGCGGTCAGCGTTGACTATTGCCATTGATTGCGATTATCTTGGTGAGTGGTTGGGACAAAATGAGAAGGCCTAATCTGACGACATTTTCATTATGCAGGTCTAAACTCCATCAGTAACGATCTGGCATTTTGAAACGTGGTTTGGGCAGGCGCGGTTCTACGGGGGGGCTAGGGGGGGGGGGGCTGTAGCCCCCCAAAAATTTTGTCTAGCCCCCCAAAATAAATTCCGTAAAAACAAAAATTGCATTAGCAAAAAGAAGGATTGTGATGTACATGTGAACGGTCTCCCCCTAAGAAGAAATAGCCGTGACAAGGGTGCATTAGTAGTGCAAGGGCGGATCCAGGAGGGGGGGGGCCAAAGGGGGCCATCGCCCCCCCCCCCCCCAAAAAAAAACGAAACCAATTTTTTTTTTTTTTTTATGTGACATCGCAATAAAGGCAGGCAATGAGTACACCACCATCTTTTCCTCAAAAACAATTAGTTAAAGTGGTCAGAAATTGCCTCAGATCACACCACAGAGCATCTAGAATCCAAAAATTGTTCGGGGCCCTTAAGCGGGCCCCGAACCCCACGCCGTAATTTTTTGGACCCAATTTTTTTGGGGGGACCAAAAGTTTTTTGGCCCCCCACAAAAAAATTGTGTTCTGGATCCGCCCTTGCTATAGTGTGAATGATTTTAGGATTTTATTGGCGCTCCCCGTTGAAAATATGGCATGAGCCCCCCCCCCCCCCCCCCCCACTACCACCTATTGATTTTCGGAGGCCTAAGTGTCTGGGAAACATTTCAGCACGCCTCCCTGAAAAAAATTCTGGATCCACCGTGCTAGCCCCCCCCCCCAACATATTGGTTCTAGAACCGCGCCTGGGTTTGGGGTGTTTGAAAAATACGATCCCTTAATATGCATATAAAGTTCACATTGTAACCGAGGTAACAATCAGGCATTTTAAATATTTCGCAACATACACATGACATTAGCTTTTCCAGTCACGTTTGAAATTGGTGTATAAAAAACTATATTTCCGCTTGTCGAAAATCTGTGGATTCAGCCCATTCTCAGTAATGAAACTAGTCAGTAGAGTATGGAATAGCAAAGTGCATGCAAACAGTTTTTTCTTGTTTTATTGAATGGGTATGTATTTTTTTCTTTAATCAGAAATGCTGCAATGTTTGCTGGAATCTGATCTGGATCCAGGGGATGCGTTATACTACGCCATAGAAACCCACAGCATTCAGGGAGTGCAGACGCTGTGTCGTCAACTAAAAGAAACGGTACTAAAATTATTCAAACTAGCACCCATGGCTGCCTGATAGTAATGACCCATAACCACCTGTTATAGTGGCATAGATAAACTAAAACAAAGTTTGTTTACAAACTTCTCTTTGACGACTGCTGATGCACTCTAAAAACGGATTGGTTGAATAAACTACCAATCTAATTGGTTGACCCCATATTGGTTGTTCTTAACCAATATATTGGTTAACTAGTGACCAATACATTGGTTGTCCACCAACTAATCACATTGGTTGAGCAATAAACCAATCCTTTAACCAATACATTGGTCAAAAGTAACCAATGTGTTGGTTGCTCAGCAACCAATTACATTGGTTGAGCAATAAACCAATCCTTTAACCAATACATTGGTCAATAGTGACCAATATATTGGTTGCTTGGCAACCAATCACATTGGTTAACCAATAAACCAATCCTTTAACCAATACATTGGTCAATAGCGACCAATATATTGGTTGCTCGGCAACCAATCACATTGGTTGAGCAGTAAACCAATCCTTTAACCAATACATTGGTCAATAGCGACCAATATGTTGGTTGCTCGGCAACCAATCACATTGGTTGAGCAATAAACCAATCCTTTAACCAATATGTTGCTGCTCGGCGGCCACCAATGACATTGGTTGAGTAACGAATCAATGCTTATTGGTCACAAATAGGTTAGTTTTCAAGCAGCCAATCACATTGGGCCAGCAATGAACCAATCTTCAATGGTTGACATTGGAATAATGACCAATAGGAAGCCACCAATCACATTGGTTCAGCAATGAAGTAATCCTGAAGTTTTCATTTCAGACATGAACAATCCTTATCGAGATTAACCAATATATTGGTCAACTTGTGTCCAGTTAGGATGGTTTTCCGGTAACCAATCACATTGGTTGATTCAACCTTATCAACCAATCCATATTGCATGGTTGCTAGCGGTTGGACCAAATCTACTATTTTTGGGTGTGAGATATCCAGTGTTCCAGCTTCTCACAGGAATTCCAAAGAGAAATAGAAAATAAATGTGTAAAAAAATCTTTGTCAATAATAAGAGATTTGATTGCAAAAAAGGAATTGAAATTCCAATCCTGTTTGTCAAAGATGTCAAACATTTAATTTACTGCATTTACAATAGAATGACCCTCAATAAAAGTGGAATGTCCCCTAGCCACGCATGCGATTTCAAACTGCTACTCGATCCTTGCTCCATGCTTCGACAATCCGCTGCTTGCTTGTCTCTCTGTTTCAGGTAAGAAATTGTCTTTTATCTTGGCAAAATTTGCTGGTTTATGTACTTTGATGAAAGCTATAGACTATTTTGTTCAATGTCTTTAAAGACTGTTTTAGGGGGCTTGAAGAAATCTAGTATTTTTTACAGTTTTACTGCCAGTTGTTCACAGCATTGTTTAACTCTTTCACTGTGTGAACATTACGTATGCTATGGTCACTAAAATTCACCATATTCTGGTTTTGGAGTGTGGAATTATTTCTTGATTTTTCTTTGGAATTGTATGTTATTTTGCTTAAATAACTCTAATTTCCGAGAGTGTATTATATGTATTTTTTTTCTAGTGGTTTTGTTTACAAATTATTTGTGTTTAGTTCGAATTCAGTTGTTTTGAGTTCAGATTTTCTGACTTTAGTTACGAACACTACAGATTGTGTAATGGCCGCCCAACCAGGCCTCGTGGCCCAAGCCCTGGGTGGACATTCCAGAGACATATGGTTGGGTAATTAAGTAGCCAGACTAGCCTGGGCTCTGACTGTGGTCAATCTACGTCCCTGTTGTTCTATCCAACGACATGTATAGAGGCAAGTGCTAGGCAACTGGGGAGACTGGATCTTTTGTTGGGGAAGTTGGAATTATACATGTACTTTTCCAGTGTTAAGAAAATCTGATGTCAGTTTTCCTTAACAAGTCTTGGTTTTGTGGGAAGGGTTGGGCCAGAAACAACCCATGTATTTGTTTACTGATACATATGTAATCTTCACTGCATATTTTTTTCTTAGCGTTGTTTGTATATTTCATTATTGTGTATCTCAGATTGATGAGGACTTCCGGCTTCTCTTCAAGGAGCAGGCAATTTCAACGCAAAGTGGGAGATGGTGGCACCAAAGTTTTTGAAACAAAAACAGCTAGACCGTTGCGATGACACAGCTGTGCGCCTTGTAGCAGCTCTAGCTGAATCTTGTTCCTGGTCAAGACGATGATGAAGAGGATGCTGACTACTACCCAGCCCTGGGTTAGTTTTGCCCTCTTTATTCAGCTGACCTTTGTTGGCATAATAAATTTTGTGAACATTATAGGGGTGGTTCAATATTTTAAAGAATTGTTGCACTTGCAGTCCACCGTGCACCTACTGTACGTGACCACCCTAGGGTCATTGATAGCCATGGGATAGCCTGGTCAGAGTGGCCATTACACTGGTCGTGTAGGTTGTATACAAGACTGGAACTTCTCTTGTCAGATGGGCCCCTTGAGAGGGACTACAGCAGTATACCTGCTGGACATCGCTTGAAGGAAATTTGGCATTTCTTTTTGGATATGACCACCTTCTAGTGCTGTAATATTAAGCATTTATCTATGCACTCCGCTTTATTATTCCATGATTGCTTCTTTGCAGAGGACATACATGTAGCTGCAACACAGTGCTTGTCAAACTGCCGATGCTACACAAGAACAGTGTCTACTGCGAAGGTGAAAAGTGGAAGCCAAGCATACGGCCACAAGGTATGCATGGTACCATTGGAGATAACTTTGTTTTATGAGGTTTTGGAAAGAATGCATGCGACATGTTAAATGCCGCCAGGTAACATGGACAGGGTAACCAATAACACACATCAATCTGCATGGAACTAAATACTTGCGGTACTTTATCTGAAAGGAAAAGAGAACCTTAATTTAATATAGTTAATTCTTTGCAATTTGGTATTGATTTGTTGCTTCTACATGATATTTTTCGTATGTGAAGCTTGCTGACTGAAAACTTGCACCTACTACATGTATTTCAACAGTTATGAGTTTCAAATTTGATAATATTATGAACCTTGCTTTTCAGTGTGGAACAGACCTTGCCAGCTTTACCCAGAGGAGGGACAAGGATTCGAGGAATGCACTGAGAGGGGAGTAACTCTCAAGACATACCAGTGCACCATTTCTTCAGTTCGTTAATGAGGTGACAGTAGCAAAGTTGTTTTGAGATAAGCATTTATGGTTTTAAAGTTTTTAAATAACATATTTAAGGTTTTCTGAAAATTTGGGAAGTTCATTTTTCTCATTAAAGTGATGCCAAAAAATATATTTTGTGAAAAGTGACGCAATAACATTTGGAAAGCAACTTAACTTTTTTCAATAGCTTGTACTTATCTAGTAAATAATTAAGTTGCTCCCTTTCGAGATGAATCAAAACAATTTATACTAAGTTTTTAAAAATCTACTTTCAAGATTAGGCAATACATGTAGTTAATGAGATTTATAATGAATTACAAGACAATGCAGCAAGTCTATCTGCCAAATTGTCAATTTGAAGAAATCAAATGCTGAACTTAAAGTACAAATCTTAAATATCATCGAACTTCCATACTAAAAGTTAAATTTTACATAATCCAAGGAAGAGGGTGACTAAAATATAATATCCACTTATTAAGCATGTTTCATGCATGGCCAGGTCGTTTGGTTTTTGTTTGTCTTTTGTTTAAAACACAGCACCAATTCAATCTGCAACAGCAGTGATGCTCTAGATGCTTGCATCCGTTTTAAATTCAAAATTGTAATCCTGTTCCTTGATATTAAATTCTCACTCCAATTCAGAGAGCAATGATATTTCATCTTAAATATGAATCAATTCAACTCGTAAACTCTCAACTTTATTATAATTCAGAATGTGAATCTAGTCGCTGTGTCTATTGTAAATGTACGTACTGATATTCTTTGAAATAAAACCTACATGCAGAGAATAAATCCCAGCAATTTTGTTGGTTTATTAAATGTTTTTGTTTTGTAAACAAATTAAACCACTTGGCAACTTTAACCAATAAGATTGGTAACTCCAAACAATGTAATTGGTCAAACTTAACCAATAATAGTGGTCATTCCAAACAATGTAATTGGTCAAACTTAACCAATAGTATTGATCATTCCAACCAATACAATTGGTTATCTTTAACTAATAAGATTGGTTATTCCAACCAATATAATTGGTTATCTTTAACAATATGTTGGTTGTTTTGACCAATATGTGATGGTTAGTATTCTAACCAATGTCGGTTGGTTGGAAAATTAACCAATCAAGACTGGTTATGGATTGGTTGAAAAGGTAACCAATCTTGATTGGTTAAATAAACAACCAAGACATGTTGGTTAGTATTCTGACCAGTATAAATTGGTTAAAAAGCAAACCATTTCGGATTGGTTATTTTAACCAATAGATTGGTTGGACACATATCTACCAACCACATTGGTTGAATTTGACCAATATATTGGTTATTTCAACCAATCTGTTTTTAGAGTGTGATGCGGATTTAATGGTATATAATATAGTGGAGGAATAGTTGCAGGGGAAAAAAAAAAGGCTTACACCAGTTTAACAGTGTGCTACTAATTTACCCTTTTGAGGTCTCATTGCATTCCAATTTGCATTTAATCTTGCATCATTAATTAAAGATAAGGTCTTTGTCTTTGATTACAGAGAAGAGAGGACATTCTGAACCGCTTTCCAGTGACTCCGAGTTGGCCCTCAACATGCAAGCCATTGATACTGGCAGCAAGGCAGGATAACTATCACATTGTAAAGGTATAAAAGAGATGAGACATCCTCTATCAACTTCTTCCCCTCCATAAAATGTTGGACTGTAGACGGTACACAATCGTTCATACTTGGTCAATTCATTATAACTTGATTCCAGCCCGATGTGATATACAAATGTACCTGCGTTGCCACATGCACGATGCGCAAAGCTGATCAGTGGATGTTATTACCATCAGCTATAGCCATCCGTGACCATTGTCTCTGCATGTACAATCTCGACCACAACTCAAACCGGCTCACAAAACCATGAAAGAACCTGACTACACACCAAATCACGATGCCGTGTATCAGTCCAAATCCTCGCCAAAAATACAAGAACCTGTATCAATTTACGTCTCCTTATTTTGGATACAGACTTTAATCCAGCACGGAGCCCAGATACCACCCTTTAGGGATCTGAACCCACACGTAGCCGATGACAGCTATGCTGAGTTCCTTGCGTTGCTCCACTGGTATGAGGCAGTCAGCAGTGAATCTTACATCTTACTGACCTCACTTGACCCCTGGAGACCATCTTCCACCTAGGCAAATCCCTGGAGAAACTGGAGGACAAATTGCAGGTGACCAATTGCATGATGTTGCAAAGCAAAATATTGATTAGAAACTTCAGTTCTAGGCGAGGACAGGTCTTGCCTAGGTAGTCGGTAGCACAATTTCCAAATTACCCTTTGTTTTTGGCACTTCTCTTAGGTTCCTAGATTTAAGCAAGGCTGTGACCGCATCGAAGCTAATCTAGCAGCCCTGAGCACCAAGCTACTTAGCCTGGCAAGAGACAACAAGGAGGTGGCGTTGTTACTGAATGGTGGAGACGACGAAGAGGCAGGGAAACCCAGGCTACCACGCAGACTGCGACAAGCCTTTGACATCGACTTCAAAGAAGTAAGATTTAGTTGAGGATCCTTGAACTTGAATATAGGAATATATTAACACATGTCCGTAGAACATTCAGTCATTACATCTGCAAGATTTGCAGCTTTTATGTCATTATATATTATACACAGTACTGTACCTCAAGATTAGATGTAATTAAAGATGACTTCCTTTCTTAACACTGAACATCCGTTTTCAATGGTATTACACTTTGCAGTTTGTTAGTCACCCAAGCAGTCAGGACTACATGATATCCCAATGGAGAGTTCCATCTCTGCATTTTTTACGTCGCGCCATGTCATCTGAAATCTTGTGTGACCTCATCTACCTCCTGTTCATGTTACTCTTCCCCGTGACATGCATCTTGTACATTATCCTTCCAGTGGAGGAATTACGTATTTTCCAGCGACCGTGAGTAATATATTGGAGTTGCTTTATTTTAAAATAATCAAAATATCGTAGAGAAACATCTTAACTATGTGATATGTTCTTTAGAAAGATATGAGTTGAATGTGAACAAAGTACAAATTGAAAATACCTTCAAATGTCAAAACACGGTAGAATGAGCAGACTTTGACTGTGGGTGTGATTGTGAAAATTACCAAAGCAGTTCAACTCGAGATCACCAAAATTAATAGCTACGTTTTGTTTCCATGTCTTTATTTCTATAATTTTTTTGAGGTTTTCTGTGTGTGTGTGTGTGTGTGTGTGTAAATTTAACAGCAACGGTTTCAGACCGTTCCATGCGATTCATCTTATGTTTTATTTCTTCTTCTTTTTGTCTTTGGCGAAAGACTGGTGAGGTTTCTGCTTCATCTAGCATCAAAGTTATATTTTCTACTTCTGCTCATCCTGTCCACAATGAGACCGAGAGTACTGGTCGTCAGCAGTGGACAGTCAATGAGCGAGAATCTCACCGCCGACCAGAGGATCAGACTCTACATGAACTACAAAGCCAGGCCATGGGATGTATTTACTATTCTCATAATTATGTGGATTGTAGGTATGTACAGTACTTATTTTTGTTGTTACATTTATTTCCAGTGCAATTATTCTGATAACTTATTGACGTTTTCAGTAGTCGTTTCAAGACAATAACTTCGACACTGCAGGCCAGATTCATATACATGTACCACCGATAGAGGGAGCTATTGGTGAGACTGATGATGGATATTCTTGATTTCAGGAATGTCAGTTTGAGATTGCAAACCATCCATTTACTTTTCCTTTGGCTTCATAGGAATGACATATCGAGCTGTTAAGGAGGTTTGGCACCACAGCCTGAAGCGATACCTCATTAACAACAAGTGGAACATTCTCGACTTGTTACAACTCGTTCTGTACTGGACATTCATCATCATGAGCGTTGTGTCATATGTGCAGGTAATTTCAAGTTGGTCGTTGGAGAGTACACGCACATTAGAAAGTATTGCACAAGATCTTAGGAAGGTTTTTATTAACGATATATTACATAACTTTTAGAGAGAAAAACTTAAAACCGAAAAAAATAAAGCAATTTTAGTTATCAGATAGTGAAATAATAATTTACGTTTACAGCCGTCAACAACAATTATGTCCGTGCACTTAACAGCCTCATGATATGTTAGTATATTTAATTAATGACGCGTACTTTTTGAATTTTCAAAATCATGGATTTAAATTTCACGAGGTTTGAGTTTTTTTTGATGAATGATTTCGATTTTGTTTCTGAAGGCTTGGCAGACAACACAAACGTGGGGGCTTGCAAATGACGTCACCGACATACCAGAAACAAGAAACGAAAGGTACGTTCAATTTAATCATCGTCCTGATTAGCAGATATTGTTTTCTTTGCTTGGGACTTGGGCTTTTGGCGCCAAATCACCCCTTTCATTTGTTCCTCAATTTTTTTTGTATCGCGATGGTTTAGTCCTAACCATCACCGCGGCGACTTAAATGATGGTAATCTCTGCAGTTCTCGAAAATGGCAACATACTAGGCTTAAGATTTCATAGCATGCTTGATCCTATTATCTACTTACAATCAAGTAGGATATTTCATATTTTGGGAGTTTCATTTTGAATGATTGCAAATTGTGTCAATTACCTTTAAGGTTAATGCCGTGTTCTTTTCTACTTCATATACAGACAGGTCCCATCGACACCAATACCTACCCAGCCTGATGAGCAACAGTTCTTAGTTAACATGCCACAGACAACAGGTATGGAATTAGAATGGGGGATAGAGAAACTTATCAAATAACAAGTCAGGTGTGTTTACAAACACAAATGCCCCGCAACCGTGACTGTTCCCATGACATAACACCACTCTTTTAACATTACCTTACATGAACCTTGGTCACATGGAACATTCATTGACAGCATTAGTGTATTCTGTAGGTTTTATATGAATTAATCCCTAATCCCTATAATCTCAGAATAAATACAAGATTTCTATTGTTTTAGCCACTGTGAACTTGACCCTTGACCTTTTGGCCCCAAATTCAATAGGCTTCTTAGGATTACCAAGAACAATCCACAAACCGAATTTGAAGTTCATATGTTAAGTATTTCTCAAGTTATCGTGCTGACAAAATTTCTATTGTTTTAGCCACTGTGAACTTGACACTTGACCTTTTGGCCTCAAATACAATAGGCTTCTTAGGATTGCCAAGAACAATCCACTAACCAAATTTGAAGTTCACATGTAAAGTATTTCTCAAGTTATTGCGCTGACAAGATTTCTATTGTTTTAGCCACTGTGAACTTGACCTTTGGCCTATTGGCCCCAAATGCAAAAGGCTTCTTAGGATTGCCAAAAACAATCCACAAACCAAATTTGAAGTTCACATGTAAAGTATTTCTCAAGTTATTGCGCTGACAAGATTTCTATTGTTTTAGCCACTGTGAACTTGACCTTTGGCCTATTGGCCCCAAATGCAAAAGGCTTCTTAGAATTGCCAAAAACAATCCACAAACCAAATTTGAAGTTCACATGTAAAGTATTTCTCAAGTTATCGCGCTGACAAGATTTCTATTGTTTTAGCCACTGTGAACTTGAACTTTGGCCTTTTGGCCCCAAATGCGAAAGGCTTCTTAGGATTGCCAAAAACAATCCACACACCAAATTTGAAGTTCACATGTAAAGTATTTCTCAAGTTATCGCGCTGACAAGATTTCTATTGTTTTAGCCACTGTGAACTTGACCTTTGGCCTTTTGGCCCCAAATGCGAAAGGCTTCTTAGGATTACCAAGAACAATCCACAAACCAAATTTGAAGTTCATATGTTAAGTATTTCTCAAGTTATCGCGCTGACAAGATTTGTCCGGACACACACACCCACACACCCACCCACCCACACACACACCCACACACCCACCCACCCACCCACCCACCCACCCACCCACCCACCCACCCACGGAAGGACAAGGCGGAAACAGTATGCCCCTTCGGCTTCGCCGCGGGGCATAAAAATAAGAAATATAACAATGGCAGAGGTGGAATCTATTTCTGAACCAATATATTATCCTAGTGAAAACATTAAACCAAGCACCAGCAAAACATCGTATAGTCAATTAACTGATCACTTTGTGTTATAGCTTAAAATATTTTTTGTACCTTGATTTTTTGACAGGTTTTCCCCCAGATGCCGCCGACTCCTTTGAAGATTTTGATCCACAAGTTTTCCATCAGGAAGGTAAACAAACTGTGACGTCAGGCTCTTTCTACATCGTGTGAAGTTTATTACATGCACGTGAAAATTAACAAATCAGTAATTGCTTTTGTTTTCTTTCACGTTCAATGTCCTCTTTTACTATTTATTTTTCTCAAGGCTGGGACGTCAACGCGCCACTGGTACCGCCTTTATTGGGAGGTAACTTTCAGCTCTGAGATTTTTTTGTGAGATCCTGTATTCCAGGAACACCGCTTTAGTTTTGCATGTTATTAGTTGATGGTTTGCTACCTTTGCCATTTTTGCTGAAAACTACCTGCAGTATACGAGGGCATGAAACAAATTGTCAGTGTGTTGCATGCTATTGCATTAATCATGGAATGATCGAGAATAAAAAAATCATCATGTCCCCCCCAAAAAAAAAAAAAAAAAAAAATGAGCACGGCAATTTTCCTCTTCACACAGAGCCCGATACATGCGAGTGTAACAGTTTGATAAAATGAAAGAAGTGCAAGGTTGAGACCCCTTAACACACGTCTGTTATCATTAACATTCTATGACATCATTTTGACAGGAGGCCCGCCAGATCGTGCAAGCATCCGTGATGATGTCATACTTGGCAACTATGAAAACGAGAGTCGCTATGACTGGCATGTCTTCGATCCCCTCCTCGTCGCCGAATCTGCCTTTGCCTTGGCCAACGTCTTGACCTACCTTCATCTTGTTCATAGCCTGGTGATCCTGGAGAGTCTGGGACCGCTACTGATCTCCTACAAGAGCATGGTGGCGGATGTCACCAAAGTGGCCGTCATCTTTATCTTTCTTGTCATCTCCTTCTCTCTCGGCCTGACTCAGTTGTATCGGACCTTTGAGAGATTGGATCTGCAGACATGCATGAGCATCAACGACAAGTCAGAATGCCCCGACATGCCGTTTCTCTCGTGAGTTAACACATTGTGGTTATCTTCCTCTCTATCTAAAGTAGAAAAACAATACAATTATATATTTTTTACAAACATTTGTTAAGGCCTAATGCTTGACTTATAATCAAAAATAATTAATCTTGTAATTGTCTTTGTAAAAGTTGGTTTAAAAAGGGATACATTCGAAACAGATGACCACGGAAGAATTAAAGGAAACCGATTCTTGTTTAACTAGCCCTATTTTAACAATAGTTCCTTGCCTGATGGAAAGGTCGTCCATCGGTATATTAATTTTTCAGCTCATCTGCAAACTTCTTGATCAATAGGCCAATGTAGATCATATGTTTTTAAGGGTTTTAAGCAATTGTTCTCAATCTTCAAAGGTTCTCTACCTCCATGGAATCGCTGCTGTGGTCGTTGTTCAACCTGATCGACCAAAGCAATTTGGCGGTAGACGAAGACCTGTACCTGACTGAATATGTCGGCAAACTCATGTACTTGACGTTCATGGTGGTGGCAGTGCTGGTGCTGCTAAACGCCCTCATCGCTATGATGAGCAACACATACACAAGGGTTGAGGTACGCTATCTGTTTTCTACCTTTAGAGGGCTCACGAGGTTAACCACATACGTACACCGCAGCCCACTGATTTCTATACCGCAACAACAGGGTCCAAAACCTGGACACAATAATGGTTTCCGTGAGCATCACATGCAATCAGTGTGTGTTTTTGTCATTGTGAGGCCATTTTGTCTCCAAATTAGTGATGCCAATAACCCAATTCGTTACTCCCTCCGCATGAAAAATGTGTATATAAAAGTTGCATTTGAAAGTTGAGAAAAAAAACTATTTTCTTGTGTGTAATTTCAGGATAATTCAGAAGTGGAGTGGAAGTTTGCACGCGCCAAGCTAATGGCGGAATACATGACACCTAGCGTCACTCTGCCACCTCCTTTCAACCTCGTTCCATCTTGCAAATCAATTCTCAGAGTCATTTGTTGCCTCTACCGGAAGTGTTGTAATCGTCAGGTGAGATTGGACTAACATTTCGTCACCTCAAGGTTCCATTTACATGCCTTTCCATTTAATAGTTATCCCACATGCGTAGATAATTGAGGAAAGTGTTACCTCATATGTTAAGTGGTTCTATTGACCATTATCATGTTGCGGCCATTTTGATTTATTCCCATTCAAGCCAACGTAACCAAAGCGAGGCTGGAAGGAAAAATAGTCTAGTTCCTTTTTGCACAAAACTATCATTCGGTACTGTTATTAGACACAGGGAACATGACTGAAATGAAGGCAGCATGATAAAAGTCTATAGGTAAGGTTTTTACACAATGTATATATATATATAATACTGATCAGGCGCTTAAATCTCTATCATTTAAAAAACATAAAGCAACTTTATTACCAGAATGGCTTTTTCTATTTTTAATGGTAGCTTGATCGTGGACACCGGACTTCTAATGACAACAATGGAACATATGAGGTGAGTGCATGTGTAGTTTATTCGTAAGCAACACAACGGCTAGAATGCAATCACAAAATAGGCAAATTCGTGAATTTAACCCCAATAATTTTAATATTTTTTTCACACACGTTATATAAGAGATTAGGGTTAAAGGATAAAGTCCATTTCACACGTTTGAATATCATTAATCGGTACATCGGACAGGTGTACTTCAACTCGATCGGTTATCAGAGTCGAGTACTTCTGTCAGTACTCGTATTCGAAATCAAATATCGAAGAACTCGATTCCAATACACAGTGCGCGTACTCGAAAAGTACTTGACCTCGAAATTGTAAATTCGAACTCGAGTATCGAAGGAGCACTGAACACTTCGACTGAGATGTTTTTATAAAAGAAGTTTGCACAGTTATTACGGGTTTACAATTGTTAAGTCTTTCTGGTTTTTTTAACTTGCTCAGCTGGAGACGAAAAAGCCATCTTACTCAGGCATTTATACTGACTACCAGGTGAGTGGCAATGTTATTTTAGAATTTCAGAGACGTTGATATTTGACAATTAGCTTTGATGTTTATTCGGATTGCAAAATATTGTATATAAAGCTTGCATAAATATGTAAACCGTTAAGATGGCTAATGTGTTCCAAACAATCGATTAAATTCATAACATACAAATGTCGTGTGAACTAATCATAACATATTTGCAACAATAAAAACAGAATGTTCTCTGGGAAGAATTGTTGTGGCATCGATTGACCACAAACACCGTCCTTGTGCAAACAGAGAAGATCCATAAAGAAACAATTTTGTTCAAATATAATTTAAGCTCACCACAACATACGGAAACCAAATCAAAACGTTATATCGCAAAATGATTTGACGCCTTCTACACTTAAATGACATCACACCAGATTCACCTAATAAGACAATTTTAATGCTATTTTTTATTGCTTACCGTGAAGGTGCTCAGCCGAGCGCTTGCCGAGCGATGCCACAGGGCATCGCAGATGGAAAAGGTGAAACAAAAACACAAGAGCAAAGCAAAGCAAGAAATGGCCGCTCTCAAGAAGACAGTGGAAAATATCAGGTAGGTAGTTAAAATGTTATTGAGTTTGTTTTACGGTCCGTAAAACAACAAAAGTCAGTGCACGATATTGCACATACATGTATCGGTTTCTGAACAAAGTTACACACAAAGAGGTTCAAATTGTTAGAGTGAATCTTGTTTTAACTTTTTTAATTCGCAGTGATGAAATGCGACAGTTACAACTGCAAATGCAAAAGTTCATGTACAGTAAGTAGCCACAGCCATAAGAAGATGACAAGAGCCGCTCGGAGTCGTTTCCTAGAAAAGACAAATGATTATGTAAATAAAGGTAATTTGAGAATTTGTGTAATTTTTTTCTAGCTTTTTGGTATAATTATTACATATGTTTGCATTGATAAATAATTGATTGTTCTAATTTATTATGGCTATTACTAATTTCTATATTCAGTACAATTTGTACGATCCAAAAAAATATGAGCAGTAAAGACCCAAAATGTAGCAGTTGTCGTTTTGAGTTGTGAATAAATAATTTTAAAAAAGGAAACTAAAATGTGTAATGGGATGAAAATTGAAATATCTGTAAAAATCGATTCATTTTAAGTCAGACTTTACTAATGTCAAAAATTTCATTTAAAAATGTCAAAAGGATGACATTAAAAAGACTGTACAATTCAAAGCTTGAATTTTTCACAATAAGTAAAAGGTGATTTGGCAAAGTTTTTAAAAAAAAAAACTCACAACTTTAATCAGGCGTTAACGTTAAGTAATGAGTTTCTATTTCAAAAGTATATACTATATATTGTTTACTTGACAAGAAAGTCAAACATTTGCCGTTCAGAGAAACGTTTTCGTTTGAAGGTCTCTAAAAGTTAAAGTTTATGAAAAAAAAGGTACGGTTTCAGAATGTTTTTTCTAGCTTTTTGGTACAATTGCATATGTCTGCATTGATAAATAATTGATTGCCCTCATTTATTATGTTACTTATAATATGCAGTAATGACCCAAAATGTAGCAGTTGTCGTTTTGAGCCGTTAATAAAAAGATATAAAATGATAATTAGATGAAAGTCGAAATATCTTTAAAAATTGATTCATTTTAGTAAGACTGTATTAAAATTGTCCTAAGGATGACCAAAAACCCTGTATAAATATAATTCAAAACTTGAATTGTTTTCATACTGAGTAAAACGTGTTTTGGAATTTTTGTTGTGTGCTTTTTGTAAAGTCAGTTGTTGTTAAAAAAAATATACAAACTTGAATTGTGCGTTTTCTTTAACGATTTTCTATTTCTACATTTGTCTGTACGTATGTTTGCCTACTCGCCCCAAAAAGGCCAAGATTTTGCAGTGCAGAGAGTGCAGGGAAATGTATTCGTTTTAAGGTCTCAACAATTAAACAAGTTTGTCTATAAAGAAATCTGTTAATTGAATGTAAATGGAAATAATGTTATTAAGTTTCAAACTGCAAATTGAGCAAGTTGCGATGGTAACCCAATTTGTAAATACGGAGTTCTTGTAACGAACAAGATATAAAGGAGTTAGATGTCTTGACATGCGTAAACAAATTGTACTTCAAGAAATGTTGTAAATCGAGGTTCGATCAATTAAACGTTAGTTGCTGATAAATGATTCAATTTATTGAAATGACTTTTACATTGTGTCCGCGAGTGTTTTAAAAGGAAATAGAAAGGAATAATACAATAAACTACTAGATAACGTGCAAAAATATGGTAAACAAGGTCGACAAGGTAACACAAAAACTAGACTGAGCTGACATTTTATCCTCTGGCACAATTTTAGGGTTGCCATAAGGAAGGTTTAAACGACAATAATGGGCCGATCTTTATATAAAAAAACCATTACGATAGGATATAAGAAGCACCTGGCAATCAGGAAAAATCAATGGAAGGAACTTGAGATTGGATTGTTAATGGCGAAATTGGCTCCGAAATGTATGCATTCAGCTGCTAGGCAATCGATTGGCCATGACGTGAGCGTTCACGTATACAATATGCTCGCTACACCAATTTCGCAGCTTCTTGGTAATTGTTCAATCGGGCAGACTGAATAAAGTGACACACTTCTTAGATGATTTTATGCACGTACACAGGTAGGCTTTACGTTTTGAGGTGTATGCGATCAAAACACCAGGACTTTCGTGTCATCCATCTTGGACTAGTTTCCTGACGTCTGAACTTTGAATATGCGGCACATCTTTTAACAAATGCGAATTGAATACATCAGCAATTATTACAAATTGACGTTTAACAAACATGCATTGCACATCAGCTCAACACAAACTCTTTAAATTGAGTTTACGACATGCCACATGTTTAAACATTTTAAGTTTTTTTACACTCAGTTTGATGCATTAAAATTCATTTTAGAACTTAACACAGAACTCAATCTGCCTTTACTCTTGGACTTTATATCCATGTTTGTTTTATAAAATCAACGTGGCTTCAGTCAGCTGTACAATTAGGTTCACCACGCTTAGTATTCATTTCTCTCTTTTTTTAACCATCCATTCCTTTGGTGTCAAGTTATGAAAAGGGCATTTATGAGAAAGAAACTACACAAACGCGCGCTCACAGAAACTCGCAGCCAGAAAATAAATAAGCTCTCCGTGATCATGACTCCGGCGAGGCGTGGTTAAAAAGACGCGATCCAATGGTCATTTTTAAAATCAAATTCTAGGAGAGATAACAAGCTTATCTTCGGCTCAGAGAAAACCTTGACCATGGCAGGCAAGACTGGTTAACGAACAGAAGTATCAAATGATCGAATTAGTAACCATCCGTCATAGAAAGAAAGTCTCATACAACCATCAACTCTAGTAATGCGTATCAGTGAAACAACCGCAAAGCAAAAGCTTAGAATAAACTCAATCTCAGTTCAAGGATCCCTTCAGTAATCCGATATCAACCAGACTGAAAGTGTTTTACAGGCAAATAGGATAAGTGTTCAACTTCACTTAATTACTGGCGCTTCGCAAGATCGTTGTCTACTGGGTGATGACTTCATATCGGACAATCATATCGAGACAATTTGTCGCGATTGCACGTTTCCACCCGTGTGGCTATACGCTTGGCTATTAAATGGATTTATAGGCTCTTGCCAGCGTGTAATATAAACATCGTTTAACATCATAGAGCTATAATTGCTCTATGTTTAACATTCATCTCGCACAACTTCAATGAGACGTCTCCATAAAAAATTGTTTGTCAATGTGTAGCGAATGAACGCAAGGTGGGTGTATTTTCCGCGATATGTATATGCACCTTTCCATGGTTAAATATGAAAGTTTGACGAGTTTAACATAGCAGATAATTTCTCCTAAGATTTTTGCCGCACTACCCGTCAAAACAACCAATTCAGTCTACGATATTGTACCCGCAACCCCATTTTAGTAATTACTGTATTGAATACAATACCCACTGTCGTATTGTTTTTATACCAATAATAATAATAAGATTAATTCTCCTCATCGTTATTATCATAACAACACACTTGGGAGATTTGTTCACGGCAAATCAGTGAATTTATGTCAATCAAAATTAATAAGCCTCGCCACAGGGATGAATGAACATTACATTTTCATCACAGGCCTACATTTTAACTCTTTCATATTGAAGCAAGCGACGGAAATCGTGTGCCCATGTTGTCTTTCCCTGTTTGCACATCGACGTCGTTTCGTCAACAAAGATCTACGAGGCATCACAAGTCAGCGTTCTGCATCCACCACATTGATCACCAAGCTCTATTGACAAAAGACACACCAGCACTGCTATGCTTCAAAGGGCTTCATCGTCCAATCACATCCTCTTCAGAACACCCGCGCATCGAGAGATGAGTAACCATGGTGAAACCGCAAGAGAAAGCGCCTCGATCTTCTATCGCGCGCACCACGCGCACGCGGTGTGTAGTCGAGTCGAGCACAAGCAGGACTTGTTAGGACGTCGAATGGATAGAGAGCTTTCAATGAAGAATCGCTAGCGTTGAGTACATATATGGACTGCTTGACTTGAAGAGTATAAAAACAGTGCATCAATCCCCACGAACTGACTCTGTTTGCTCCGAACGGGCCAGTCACCGTGGTCTTCAGGATTCGTGATCGATTTTGTTTTTGGCGACTTGGACAAACACACGCAAAGCAACGGGAGGTGCAGACTACCAACGACGACTTGCTGATAATCCAAGAAAAGCAACCGATGAAACAACATTGGCACAAGTACATGTACGTATGCATCAGAGAATATTGCTTCTATAGGCTCTGGTTTCCCGAACTGACGTTTTGCTTGTTTTAGACCCTCAAAATCCTTTGGTTCAATCAGCACCACAAAGACCATTGACATTGCAATAAGAAATCTGACAAACCTATTCTGTGAGTGTGAGAACCACAGTATCTCCATAAGTCACTTGAGTTGCTGGTTGGAAGATAAATTTCATGCATCATGACAATAAGCCTCTGCATTGATGACGTCACACTTTGTTTACATGTGCATTTTCCTATGGAGCCAGTGGGTGCCCATGGTCCACTGAGCACATAGGAAAGCGTGACGACATCAGTACAGAGGCTTATTCAAACTGGGGATTGTCAACAGCCGAGCCACAAAGCCTAGAGAGCGCCATCGCATACGTCCCATTTCCAGAAACAAAATTAAATAAGGCAACTGAATTTCATTTCCACTATTTCCATACTGGACTACCTCTATCCCGCTGTATTTTATCAGCTGGCTTGTATTTGGATCAAACCTTCGCCTTGGGTTGGGACGACATATTCATAGCCGTGGGACAAAAATACCGCTCTGGGAATCCGTAATTTCCGGCCAGAGCGTGTCCTTAACATAATCTTGACTCGCTGTCATTCTCAGAAGCGAAATGATGGTGCCACAATCTCCGTCCTCGTGGAACTCGTCAGCAAACAGATTGCAGTATCAGCGCTCAGCTCAGCCAGAATTCAATACCATCACCGTAATTTAGTTGGTCGCGTCTCGTCGTGTTGGTGATTAAATTAATCAGAATATAATCATCAGGTTTGATTTGATACCTTAGTGAATAAACATATTAGAATTATAATACCTTGGTGAATAAACATGATAATTCTACAATACAAGATTCAGTGAACGGGAAGCATGTGTTAGGTCATTTATGTTGGGCTGTGCATTATGTCCTTATGATTCCTAAAAAAAATGTATTAGTAAAATTGGTCAAAGATATTAAATGGAGTAGAATGTGAACTATCCACATTTGGAACACTGCAGCGGATCCCTCCTAACTGGCCTTTCCAGTGGCCTCCCAACTTTGTTTAAATTATAATTACGATCAGTGGCGTAGCACGGTCATTTTTATTGGGAAGGGGGGGGGTAATTTTTTTTTAAAAGGGCACTTGCACATCCGCGTGGTGAAATATAATCAGGTTATTTTTCCCCGGACACTTTGCCTCCGTAAAATCAAAAAGGGGGGGGGGGGGGGGGGGGGGGGGGGGGGGGGGTAGGCAGGAACCATCTGTCGGTGGCGGCACACCAACGGTCAATATATGGTGCCAAATTCAGAAAAAGGCACCAAAAACGGCAGATGCCACAAAAAGGGCAACAATTCTTTTCCAAAAAAAGCACTGTTTCAGAAAAAAAGGCACTTAAAAAAAGAAAGGGCACTCTTTACAAATTATTGGGGGGGGGGGGGGGTAAGCCCGTTAAAAAATAGGGCGTTTGAATGGAAAAGGGCAGTCTTTACAAAGTTTCGGGGGGTTAATACCCCCTTAACACCCCCCCCCCCCCCGGCTACGCCTATGATTACAATCAGTCTAAACCAATTATGTCCTCAGATTTACTGTAATTTATACACGGCATTATGTATTGATTTCCGTGCGAGATTGCCACGGCAGCTTTTCCCGTTACTCGAGAAGAAAGATAAGGGAAAAAAACAAATCATTTTTCATCAAACCGGAAATAAATACCTTGATGAAAATGCACTTATCAGTTGATGGACTGTCTGTTTCCATGGCAACCATGGCTAGAGAATATAGCCTATATTATTATATGTAACCAAGGAATACTCTGAGCTTTGTATATAAAACCTAGCCGTGTCCCATGGGGACCTCGGGGTAATATATTCGTATCTGTGTATATTGCTGCTATCAGTAGAGTTCTTCAGAGTTTAATTTGGCCAAGGCAGTGATGGTGACGGACGCAATTTGATATTGCGGGAACAGCGTGGAGGAAGATCCGCACGGGAGCAGGTCTTGCGTTAGTAACAGGTTCTCAGACTTGACTAATCATTGATGGAGTGATGAGATGTTGCCTTCCATGTATAAAACAGTGACCATTGCTTCACTGCGCAAAATTCTATATTTCATTTTCAATAACGATATATCAACATTTCTCTCCTTTTCTTCAGGTCCAATCCTGCATTGATTGATCGGCTTTGAAACCAACAAACACTTGTCTATTGTGGCAAACAAAATGGGAGATCGCGAGACCCAGAACCAGTCCACTTCGGCCAGCGAGAAGACACCAATGGCGCGACTCTGCGGCTTGACTGACTACTTCACGGGGACCGTCGAGCCGTTGGACAGGTGGCTGGCCCGTAAACCCTGCCCGCTGAGGTTCGTCAACGCCTGCTGCCGGGCCTTTGGGCAGCCCATCTTCTTGAACAATCCCATCAGTGGACTGATCATCATGGCGGGGCTGTTCGTGCAGAGTCCCTGGCAGGCCTGCTGTGGGATCTTGGGGTTGTTGGCAGCTCAGCTGACGGCGATAGCCACGAGGCAGCCCAAGGGAGCCGTGGATAGCGGTGGGATAGCGTTCCAAGGCTTGCTGACGGGATTGGTTATACCGGCTCTCACCGGGGTGACTGATTGGCATGGACTGCTTATCATACCCGTCATCTTCTTTGCGATATTCAGGTAAGATATCACGATGCATCTTCATTTCCTTTCTATTGCCGCTGTCCTAGCATTCTCCTACTGCATGCCGTTATACTGCTGATGCTGATAATGCATGATCGATCAACTGAAATGCATAAAGTATATCTGCTTAGGCTTCAAATGTGACACTTGTTGCTGCTTCTTTTTCCAATGTTGGTAATCATTAATTTCTGTTAATGTGATAACTCTACTGCTGTCCAGCGATCACTCGGTACCCATCTTGTCCTACTGCTGTCCAGTTAGAATGTGGCTGCTGTAGAATACTTTTCGCGGTTCTGCTGCAGGCACTTTTGGTATTGCTGCTAACACAACTGCTGATAAAACTGATGTTGTAATGCTGTGGGCTGCCACACAGTTGTCAGGATAATTATGTCAAGTTCCTCTATACCAGCGCCACTTAAAATTAGTTTCAGTGGAAATACTATCTCAAGAAAAAACTTGACCATTAAAATGAAGAATTATGGAGACTACTGTCGCTTCTCACATCACATTCCTGAACACAAAACAAAATCAGTTGTTTTTGCTGTTTGAAATGACTCTGTTACATGTGATGACGTCATCATGACGTCCACTTTAAATTTCATCTATAACAAGCATTCCAGATAAGGTACCAACCAAGTTACAACAAAATCTGACCTACATTAGTTCTATGTGACGTCACACGACATGTGATGACGTCATCATTACGTAACTTCGATTTACATCTATAATACATCGCAGTCTAGTAGGTACCGACCAAGTTACAATCAAATTGCAGTTCTGTAGATATAGACATTTTTTGTGTGAACAATCTTCGCCGGTCTAAGTGTCTGCCAAGTCTGAAGTCGATCAGAGTTACGAAAGTAACAATAAAAACGTGTACAAGTGCTATAGAGTCTGCAAAAGAAAAGAAGAAAAAAAACAAATACAGACTAGAAATGTGTTTGTGGACAAACACCAGCTGTTTCGGATATTTGAAATACTCTGAGCACGGGATGAACAATCAGTGACGTCACTATAAATGTCATCTATAACAGCGCATTATAATATGTACATGTCAAGTTACAACCAAATCGAACATTTTAGTTCTGTAGATATATAGACCTATAAAAGAATAAAATGCCCCTTTAAGGGACTTTACATGACATTTGATGATGATGCCACTTCAATGTCCATCTATAACACATCCATGTGAATATGCATACCAAGTTTTAACCCAATCAGAAAAACGTGTACAAAACCTACGGGGAAAATGTACATCTTTAATGTAATGTAACGTGACACCTGATGACGTCACGATCACGAATTTCTTCAAGGACCATCTGTGGGTGATGGTCTAAGTGTGTACCAAGTGTAACGTCGATCGGATTTAGAAAAGTGCCGAAATGGAGCGTTTTAATACATGTACAAACCCTATGGGGAAAAATGCATCTTTAATGTGACGTAACCTGACTCTTGATGACGTCACGATCACGAATTTCGTCTAGGACCATCTGTGGGTGGCGGTCTAAGTATGAATTAAGTTTAAAGTCGATCGGATTTACGAAAATGCCAAACTGGAGTGTTTTAAAACGTGTACAAAACATATGGGGAAAAATGCATCTTTAATGTGACGTAACCTGACACCTGATGACGTCACGATCACAAATTTCTTCTAGGACCATCTGTGGGTGGTGGTCTAAGTATGTACCAAGTCTGAAATCCATCGGATTTTAAAAAGTGGCAAAGTGGATTGGTAGAAGAAACGTGTGTTAAACCTATGGAGAAAAAGTCTGAAAAAGGAGAAGAAAAAAAAACTAGAGGTCTATGTCTGTTTGCAACAGAACATAGGGCTTTTCCGCATTATGATTTTTTTTAATCAATAATATTCCCTGAATATGCATGAACATAAAATCTGTCAAAGTAAGCCGAAAATTGGCTAAAACGGTCACTGTGGACAGGATTTGACCTCGGCAATACGATGTATGTGCGTGTGTACAAGGTCTTTGCTTGGACAAAGAGTGATCTAAATAAATTACTGGCAAAGAGTCGAAAACGCACTTTGAAAATCGACAAATATTTTTAAATTTTTTGATGACGTCATCGTGACGTCACTTCGAACTTTGCATACTAGTATGATTAACTTCCTACCCACCAAGTTTCATGACAATTGGACCTTTCCTTATATGAGTTTTGAAAAATCGCATTTTGATGACTTAATGATGACGTCACACATTTTTCAAGTTTTGTGCAAATAGCTATTACATAACAGACCAAATGCAAAAAAGAATTTTGCATTTTGCATGTTGCGTTCGGGAGATATGGCTAAAAGGTCCAAAAAAGTAATATTCATATAAAATCTCAGGATGACTTTATCATGACGTCACCTCATTTTTAATCTATAACACATCCTGGTATAGCCACATACCAAGTTTCAACCCAATCGGACTTACATTTCTGTAGATATAAGATTTCACAATATGTACGTACATTTTCAAAAATCAATAAAAAAAATTAGGTGATGACGTCATCGTGACGTCATAGTCTTGGCATAATTTTTGTATCAGGGTCTTCCTTGGCTGTAACTTTGATGACGATTCCAGATCGCCAAGTTATGAAAATGGTGGCTTGAAAACGTGTACAAAGTCAATGGGTTAAAAATCCCACAGCAGAAAAACTGCACCTTTAAATGCGTGATTTTCCTTTAAACTGGAACATTTTTATAAAATATTACTTGCTATTCTTACTCTTTGGAATATTTTCAATCAAATGACAGGCGTAAAAAAATACGATTTCTTTTTCCTTCTCATAGTAGTTCTCAGCCGAAGTTCAGAACTACTCAGTAAGATATATCAGTGTTGTATAGGGAAAGACTTGTGGAGAAAGCTGTGTACAAAGTCTATGAGAAAAATTAATTATTCATGATTCCATAATAAATCACTTGATGATGACGTCATCATGATGTCATAGTTATGGCATAATTTTTGTATGAGGGTCTTCCTTGGCTGTAACTTTGATGACGATTCCAGATCGCCAAGTTATGAAAATGGTGGCTTGAAAACGTGTACAAAGTCAATAGGTTAAAAATCCCACAGCAGAAAAACTGCACCTTTAAATGCGTGATTTTCCTTTAAACTGGAACATTTTTATAAAATATTACTTGCTATTCTTACTCTTGGGAATATTTTCAATCAAATGACAGGCGTAAAAAAAATATGATTTCTTTTTCCTTCTCATAGTAATTCTCAGCCGAAGTTCAGAACTACTCAGTAAGATATATCAGTGTTGTATAGGGAAATACTTGTGGAGAAAGCTGTATACAAAGTCTATGAGAAAAATTAATTATTCATAAATCCATAATAAATCACTTGATGACGTCACCATGACGTCACTCTTCGGGACACATCTTGGCTATAGGGACTATGCTTATGCCAACTTTCAATGATATCTGACAAAGATTAATGCCAAAAGTGCTATAATACGTCCCTGTCTTTGGGCATGCATGAACATAAAATCTGTCAAAGTTAGCCGAAAATCGGCTAAAACGGTCACTGTGGACAGGATTTGACCTCAGCAACACGTGCGCTGCAGGCTGACTGACATACGATGTATGTGCCTATGTACAACGTACGTGCAAGTACATGTACATTGTGGACGTCCTGACCTGTGCATGTTTTGAAGCAGAGGTATTGTCAACGTGAAGTTTTAAGCGTGCGCAGGGTATGTTCGAGTTCGCTTGTCGCCTCGAAACTTTGAAATGTTTTAGACCTACCCTTCAATCGACAATTAAAGTAAAAACAAATATAAAAACTGCCATGGTTGAGTTTTCAGGAATTTTCAAATGAAAAAGGGTCTTTTTATTATAACTTCCGGTCTGATGACGTCATTCGCCTTAAACTTCGCACACGTCTTAAGTGGGTCAAGGTCATCATATACACAAATATTTAGGCGATTCCGACAGACTTCGCCACAGACATCTATTCAAAATACATTTTTGCTAATTTTCAACCTGTCGCTAGAGGGCGCTCGAAGATTGCATGACGTCATCGGTAGATGATTTGAAGAATACTATCGGCCAAGAGACTAACACCGTTAAAAGCAAGTTCATTTCTATTACCACTTTCAAATAATAAGCCACTTCCGGTTTGGGCCTTTTTCGACCGGAAGCAAGGGTCACGTGATTGCACGCACACTGAATGAAATGAAGACCTCAACCTACTCTACCATTTGCCGGCAACAGAATGCTGCGGACGCGTATGGTTGATTTCTTATGCATTTTTAAATATTAAAAGTGTCACAATTTAATTGCCTATAAATAAACACAGGATGACGTCATCATGACGTCATCATTCCACAATGTTGTTTGAATTAGGGTCTTTGCTTGGACAAAGAGTGGTGTAAATGAATAACTGGCAAAGAGTCGAAAATGCCCTTTGAAAAGCGACAATTTTTTTTAAATTTCTGTGTACAAAGTCAATGGGAAAAATTAAATATTTAAAAATCCGTAATAAATTAGTCGATGACGTCACCATGACGTCACTCTTCGGGGCACATCTCTGCTATAAGGACTATGACTATGCTAACTTTGAATGACGTATGACAAAGATAAATGTCAAAAGTGGCACTGAGAAAAAACGTGTACAAAGTCTATGGGATTTAGGCGACAAAAAGAAGAAGAAGAAGAAAGAAAAAAAATGAGAACAAAAAGAAAGGCTTTTTCGCAAAATTGCGAAAAAGCCAAAAAAAGAAGAAAAAAGAAAAAAAAAAATCTTAACGAAAACAAGAGCTGTTTCGGTGTGTCACCGAAACAGCTAAAAAAATCTTAAGGAAGACAATAGCTGTTTCGGCTGACTTGCCGAAACAAGTAAAAAATATTTATAAAAATACCACCCATCACTGAAACTACGAAATACTGAAAAGAAGTGCTTTGTGTTCAGTTGACCAGCTTTCATCTGCAGTATCTTTTTAAGCCCGGTTGCGCCCTAAGTGCTAGCGATGTGATCTAAGGTTTAAATCTCAAGGTGAGATAATCTCCTATCTCCCTTCGATTCCTTCCTTCTCGTTGCATTCAAATCAAAATAAAAGACAAGTCGGTATAATACTTTAGACGGTTTGCTACAGAGCACCCCTCTCTCTCTCTCTCCTTCTCCTGAAGTGGAGTATAGCCATCATCATCATCCCCATGACTAATGTCTCCACAGTCAAAGAGCTCCATGTCGATTCCGTTTCCTTCCAACTCAATTACCTCTAAGCCATAAAAAAAAAAAATAAGAATAAAAATATCAGGTACTGGACTAATGCGCACCTGGCCTTTGTAGCTTTGGCTGTAATATTTCCGGTAAAGCCACAAATTACCGGACAAGTCATGCAAACTAAAAGCAAATCAATATTTGATTTTTTTTTAAATGTAGATTGGCAACTTCACATTACTCGTCATAGCTTAAGTTCCGCTTGAAATAAGCGGAAGAGTATTTTTTTTTACACATGCATTGGTAAATATTTCACAGAAAGAAATTGCACCTCGTGAACTATAGAATGTTTCAAAGCAGTTATTTTCATATTCGGCTTGAACAGTCTCTAGATTTATAGCCTACATTACGATATTAATTTGTTTTGCAATCGCTGCATACATTTACGTCAAACACTGATACAAAGATTAACCCGTACCGCAGTCAGTGCGCAGGGTTCGGAAAAGTGCTTGCGTTTATTTGCAGCGTATGCATAACTCGCTTGGTTAAATGAATATTCATGAGATCGGGGACCACATTTGGAAATTCATTTTCTTGATAACCAGTCTTTAAAAGAAAGTTTTTACTCACAAATATAGTAGAGAATACTCAAGCCTAATTGTGAAATGAGATTTCTAAAATTTTCATTAAGTATTTTAAGAAATATGAGAATGAAAGTTTTACTGAAATTGTCGAGAAATTTCGGTTTGCGAAAACCGTCTTTTTTCTATATAAAACGAAACCGTGCAGCATCATCTTACAGTTTGATGAGAAGCTTTGTTATTAAATTCACAAATTTTCATAACCATGAATCATGTAAGTACTCAAAACAGTCAGGAGCACGCGAAATTTACGGCCATTCTGAGCGTTCCGGGTACGAAAAAAATGACACTCTGGAAGCACGTGTAAGCGCCGCACGGCATGAGTGTACATTCCTCATTGGGCAAGACCCGCAACCAACACGCGTTTTGACCAATCACGTAACAGCACACGGGTCTTCCGTATGTCGGGTACCCCGCTCTACGCGTGCTTATGGATATCGTATAATCTCGAACTAAATGTGCCCAACTATAGAAAATAAACTGGCGATGTGTCCTCTCTCAAAACGATCTAGTTTCAACGACTGGTGTGCAAGAAAATAATATACTGTCAATGCTATTATTCTAGACCGTTATGATTTAAGATTCATGTAATAAACCATTATTTTTTGGCAATAATGTCTCCCATTTTCCTGATGCTTTTTGTTTGTTGACAGGTTCAATGTGCATGAACATGAAAAATATAAACACAAATAACAATGTGTATGAACATGAAAATATAAACACAAATAATCAAAGGCATGTCTCTTTTTCTTGACTGAAATTCTGGAAAACGATTTAATCATAAAATCAGAACTTTTTAAAAGTCACATACTTTTGAGCTGGACATAATAGTTACATCAATGAGTTAACATATTACTTAAACCATGGAAACTTGAACCACTCACACTTACAAAACATTGCTTACAAAAAGAAAGTTTCTGAAAACATAGAATGACTTAATGACTTATAAATATAAAACAACTTAAAAAAAATAAACTTAAAAATACATGTAAGCCAAACTTTCTTCAAAGTGCAAGGTTACTAATGCTCTAGGATGTACATACACTTTCTTGCTATATTTCATGAGCTTATAAAACAAATTCCCTACCCAAGCTTGTCCACAAGCAACTCATTCTAGGACAATAACGAGGCCATTGAACTGCTCCATTCCTCGGCAATAACAGTTATCTATATAACAAATCTTTACAATTTTTACAAGATTTGTTTAGAATGCAGTGTACAGCCGTCTGCAGAAATTTTCATCATATTTTTGGTTTTTAAATATACAGCACACTCACAAAATGACTAACTTGAAGAAAAAAAAAGAAACAGTGGAAATTCAGCAATGATTGAATTGATTCTTCAGGGTTCTTCTTATACATGATCTGAATACAACATGCCATGAGAATCCCCGACGCCTAATTTGTGGATTGTTGATGACACGTCTTTGAATTTAGACATGCCAAATAAGGATTTCAGTCTAGTGATGTGTTGGGTCAGATTGACCAGGCCGACCAACCCGAAACATTATTTTGTAAATCGAATCCGAACGGAAACCAATTTGAACTCCCTAAAACCAACCTGATCCGACCCGACAAAAAATTAAGGAAAACCAACGCAAAAAAATGTTGTAACCTGACGCCACTTCCAGGATTGTGTACAAAGTCTATGTAGAGTCAAGACAATTTTAAGTATTTTCTAACAAAATTGGAAAGTTATGAAAAAAAAAAGTGGCGTCAGGTTGCAAGATTTTTACCATGTGAATTTCCAAACTGTTTGGGGTTATTTTGGGTTGAACTGACTCAACGCAATTAGAAGACTGCAAACACAATACAGAAACCGACCTGACCCGACTAAAATGATGGACAAACTGATGGCGACCTAACAGAAAGTCAGTTTAAGTTTGGTCCGTTTCTGGTCGGGTTTTAACAACACTAATCCGGTCGCAGAATAAAGTTTCATTTCATGGTAAATAAAGTTCCATTGAAATAGTTGCGAACTGTCTGCAAGTTCAGGTGTTGTGTTCAACTAGTCTTGACAGGAAAAAGGGTCAATCACTCTGCGTACTTGGCCTGTAAGAAAAGAGAAAGAGAGAAAACAAATCTAAGTAATAATCTACATGTATTTGCTGATTTAGCATGTTTAGCATGTTTAGGAAGGAATTGTTTTAGACTACTTCAAAAAATCCCATCCCCACGGCAAGATCTGAAAAAAGTACCAGAAAAGAATTGTTCTTCATATTTTATGACTGACATGAATTGACCGACAAGGACAATCTTGAGTGATGCCTGTTTAATTTCATGAATTAAAAAAAAAATTCTGATTTTTAATCGTATAGTATAAACATTGTTCGTACTTGCGACATGCAAAACTAACGGGTAGGAACCTATTGTCGACATCGGTGGTAATGCACCCACAAAATACGCACACAGTACACACAACCCGTACACAAAATATACGTATGACGTCATTCGAATCGCACATTGCGACTGCAATCATGCAATTTTCGCAAATATTTCGTATCAAATTAAAAATCGGCGGTAGAACCTGCAGAGATGGGAATGCTATGGTTCGAAAGCGTAACTCTTCAACTTACCAGAAAGTGACGAATTTTGTCCCCAAATATCCCAAAACAGTCAGGAGCACCAAAAAAGTACAGGCATCGTCGAAAATGTTCGAGAATCACCTCTCATTTCACATCGCTTATTTATAACTTTAAGCTTGTAATAATCAGCAAAAAATGGTATCAATCGACGCAGAAATTATCGTAGTTTCAGAATCCACTCCATTTTTAGTCAGCTACTGCTACGAAACGGGTTTCCTGTCACTTTATCCAGGGGCACCACCGAACACTCGCAAAACCTCGTGCAATCTCGAACGGTCCGAGACCGTCCACGCGCTGCAAATAAAATCTCGCTGTTTCACCAGTCTGTGTTATGTTATTAGGCCTAATTACCGTCCGGGGCTGCCATGTACGCAAATTTATTTCACGTACGCCTAATTACGAATGTACGTTTATACGCTTTCATAGTACATCGCTGCTTCAGCGCTCTAAACCACAGACAAATTACGGCACAAATTACATGCATTACTGCAATATAACATCAAGGCTGGGATAGTGTGACGTCACAGAAATAGGTCAAGGCAAATTAATCCAGTGTAGATTATAATTACACTGACGATTCTGAATGCTTTCTACGAAATTACAAACGCAAAATGCAGCATTCAGCGAGTAATTCGGCACTCCGGAGTTCCAAACACAGTGGGGTAACGTATAGAATCCTGCATCGCCACATAAAACACCAAGTCCGCAATCTCAACCTGTCAAATTTCTGTCCATTTTTTCTTTTATAATTACATTCTGAAATTGTCACGTCTTTTTGTCCTACGCACAGCACAGCCTTCATAGCGTAGTTCGTCACTCCATGCAGTGCCCCAAAGGCAAAACAAAAGGGCGAGAACGAATCCTGCATTACCAAGCCCGTAATATATTAAGAACGTTAATTTCAAATGCTTAAATTAATCACAACTTTGGTATGCATTGCAACAGACATTAATCCCAAAGCCAGATACTCTAATGTTTTAAAGCCAATGGCGTACTGGGATCCATTTTGTAGTGTCTCAATTTCAGAATGGGCGCTCATTTGTTCTTCTAACAAGGGAAACTAATTTGTGTTCTTTCCCTAAATTCTCAGGTAGAGTTCGCCACTGTTAAGATACTTTTTTCCCCTGTCTATCTACAGTGCAATCCTGGCCGTCGCACTGGGCAATCTACTCGGCCAGTGGGGCATACCAGCCTTCAATCTCCCCTTTAACGTGGCAACTTTCATCTTCGTGGCTGCTTCGGGTCCGAGCAACCCGTACTACGGCCCCCCTCCCCCACCGACAGACCAGCTGAACGAGGCAGGTACGTCGGGGCTGGAGCAGGTAGCAGCTAATGGAACGGACGAGCCCATCAATTGGGTCATGGTATGCTATAAGTGAAGTCTATTTCTGGGTCTCTAATACTGCAAGGTGTCAAAACAGTAAACAGGAATCCAGACGTATGCCACTGATGGTGGGAGCCATATATCATTAGCATCAGTCAGCTACTGTACTTTAATTAATGATACATTGTACTGTGTATAAGCATTAGGCTTAACGATCAAGCTCTCTTCGAACACGTGCTGTTGATGTCAAAACGTGGCTCTTGAATTTGCAATTGCTTGGCCTGTTCATTCCGAATAACAACTCGATTGCTACGTTTCAAAAACAGGATGCATGTTTCTCTTTTGGGCTGGTTCACTACATAACACACATGCATTATTCAATAATACGGTATCCAGAATGTCATCGTATTCGGCTTGTTGGTATTACCGTTGACTTAGGTATAACAGTAAGAAGTTACTTTGAGTATCTGTATCTTGATTTAACACTTCACAGTCACCTTCACAATAGGCCTACCTGGATAATTACATATTTACGTTTTCACGAACAATATATCCGCATGTGATTTTGTCTTTGATCTAATTTTGCATAAAATTACGTCGATGACAAAATGTACGTCTCCTAGATGCAAAATTCTACCAAATGTCCTTTGTTTTTGATTGGTAATTTACAACGCCATGTGCTAGATGTGGAAAGATTTTATTTTCTAATTTTCTACATCTAATTTTAACAACCCTTACATCAAACAAAGAAAACAGACTATATAATGGTAAAACAGATAAAGTGCCATATAATGTCTACTTAAATTGAATTGAAACATGTTTATATAATGTACCTATTTTACCGATAACAAACGGCAGTATCATTTTATAAAGCCAAAGACATCTTTTTCAGCAGGATAAAAGCATTGAGACCGTATATCAACAGTCCATTGAAACAGATAAAATGCCACTGATAAGACGAGAATTGTAAAACAGCCCAACCGTACACGCAGACAGATCGTTAATCTTTAAGGTAAACATGACAATCGAGGCGCATGTCACGTCGTGTCTAATGTTAATGCCAAGCGATTTCCTTCCAAGATGCCCAATCTATATACATGATCCTAGATGTTAATCAACAACGCCGTATGGCACTGGCAACACGCGTCAAGCTATAAATATTTCAAACAACAAATCACTCGTGCGAATACGTATACATTATGTTGGCCAGGCACTTAACGTGCAAATAATGAATCGGCTTTCACGAAAGAACATAAAAACCTGGTATAGTTGATCATAAAACGCATTGATAATTAATAAAGGTACAATAATAACAAACTGCAAGAACACACTGGTTTCATTAATCGGATTTGCTAATGTGTACTTTTAACTGCATATAAAAATATGGGATATCAAGTACCCCAAGTTCTTTACCATTTTGTCAGATATTGACGATATTTAGCTCATAATTTGCGACGTAAAGAGACATTATCTTTGAAAATTCAATCAAACTGCGCGATACGGCTTTAATTTTTGTACACAACAAGCATTATTATCCGCTGTTCATCGGCAGAGCGCACGTATTATATGCGTGCGCGTATTTATATCCGCAGGGAAAACACCTTGTAAACGTGTCCTTAATGTATATGAGCTTACAGAGGATCGTATTCTGTAAAGCATTGTCAGTAATGCATGTTTGATCTTCGAGCAGGTTAAGCGTGTTTTAATAGCCAAATACTGCTTCAGGTGCATCTTGCTCCAAACGCTGAAGCCAAATCGAATTTATATTGACGGCAAAGTGGAGTCACGGCGTGCGACGCGTGCGCTTTTCTTGAAGAAAAACTTACAACTTACATGAGCCCCTAAAGTTTAAGTTTTATACGATGTTCATTGTTAATGAAGGAGACTGATTCCGTGTTGGTTTCCATGATCTTGCTGTGGTTCCTCCAAAAGAACCTTGGTTCCCTTCACATGAACCCTGGCAATTTTGAAGGAACCAAAGGATCAGCAAAATATTGATCAAAGCATGGTTCTTCTACCATGGCCTCCAATGAATCATGGTTCCTCTACAAAAAAACACGGTTCTTTGGTATAGTTCCTTTACAAGAACAAGACTAGTGTTCCTTCAGTGAGCCATTAGCTTGTGAGGGGCGACACTGGACATTATAACCGACAGTAAGATTGGAAGAAATTGACTCAACTTTGGAAATTCCTTGTATAAAACGCCGAGAAACCACCAAAGCTAACACCATTAAATGACGGAGGGATACAAATTAAATTATACAGTATATGCTCATCGGCAATTTATCAACATTAATGGTAGTGCCATTGATCGCCGTGATTGTTCTACCTAGACACGCATCATGCTCAATCGTGCCTCTCCACCTTCTGCTCCTCTCAAAACATGGCTTAGCATGCATTGGCAGCTCGTCCAAATATCACATAAGCCTATAGACTTACAGAAGACAGGAAGACGACAGCGTGCAATCAGTGCAAGAATTGACATTAATGTCTGTTTACTTCACGTCACAATGCTTTGCCTGTGTTTTTTATTGAAATGATTTCAGCCCTTAATCATACGGTATGATTATTACCAACGTTCGTCCTGTGTGTTCGTGTGCCGTTGCTGCGATACGCTACATCGTTTACAATTACCTCCTGATGTTTTTTCCGTGGCGATTTGTATACATTATCCGCTATTCGCATCTGGTTAAAGGGAATGTACAACATTTGCTTTTGCTGGAATTTTCAGAAATAAATGGATTTGGAGGATTAGTATGTTAGAGAAAACATTGTTAAACTGACTTATTTCACGTTTTGGGCTTGTAGATGCTGGAAAAACCAAGAAAACCTATCATGTTCTTGTAGTCTGGTTCCCTGACCCCACTTAAGATGAAACGGAGCAAAGTAATTCACTTTGGGGAATTGTAAGGTCAGATAATCAGTCTAGCAGGCTTGTACTCCTTCATATTATGTGTGTAATCAATTGCAAAGAAAAGTCAGAATAACTAAATAAGAAAAATTAGGAACAGTTGTTGGAAAAAACCCAGTTTTCTCCAACGCTGGTCGGCCGACCAGCGTTGTAAAATACAGTTTTTCTTGAAAATGTCAGCACACCAGGAGCCACGATTTTAAAAGATGCTTTAGAATGTCAGTCCCTAACAATTCAGTAAGGTATTTCGTGATAATTTGATCGTTTCGTTTTTTGATGTTTGCAAATGTTGTATCTTCCCTTTAAACATAATTCTAGTGCATTTTGTCTTCTTACAATGAAGCCGTGTTCATTATACAGTAATTCATTATTAACGGGTATTAAATAAATTTTATTGTCATGGTCATTGCTCCTGCGGTTATTATTTCCAAGAATAAACCTGAACTTAAAGTTAGGTAATTCCGTGTATTTTGATAAACTATTATGCATTAATCCTCTGGATGATAGTTTTCTGTTTTATTGTGCAACACCAAGTATTTTTGAATCACAATTTTTTTTTTTTTTTTTATTATTTCCCCCCAATAATAATTTAACTTGTTTAATATAAATGTATTACTGCCTTCATGGTCTGATACGGCATGGACATGAAGAATTCAAATGCGGACAGTTTTATTATTAGAGATCCATGGCAAGGGACCTAATTTAAACTTATGCCTATCTCAACTGACCTTTTAAAGAAAATATTGGTCGGTCTCGCCATGTGGACGATAACAGGAAACTCGAGCGTTAATTCAATATGCCAAGTGCACTCAGTCCGTATTACCAATGCCATACACGGCCGATCGCCAATGGCGAGGCTCTCGTGATGTAATTAATCTTGTCAAATTGAATTCCAGAGAAAAAAAGGAAGTCTTGTTTTGGGAATTCTGTAGGGATGAACAGAGCGGAGTATTCAACCTTGACAAAACATTATTGAGGAAATGCTCCGCGGCATAACAAAGACTGTACTTTAACCTTCCCTCGTGAATTTTCATGATACATTTTAAGAGGATTTTTTTTTTATCTGATCGAGTTCTCCAAGTCCAGTGACTGAAAATAAATATTCGGTTCCCTATTTTGCTTTTTCTGTAATCAAAATGAAAACTGAGGAATAAATTTACAAGCCTTCACATAAAAAAACAGCAGCAAACGTTCTGATTTCATCATTCCAATAGAGTCATTTCATTAAATGCGAAGGACCTAGAAGTCAATTTCGTTAGTCTTCAGAAAACTGGGGCAGCTTTTAGAAGGGATTCGCAAACAGAATTACGCGCAACCATTAGTCAGTTCAGAACACAGAATAGAATCAAATTAGAGGAACGCTCTTTGATCTTCAACACCTTTTTGCCGAAGACGCAACTCTCCAAAATTATTTTCGCGAGTTATTTCTCTCGGAACAATGTCATTACTGAACTATTTTCATTACTAAACTACTGAAATCAGTTCTTCTCTGACGAATTTGATTAAATGTCGCCTTGTGATCATCCCAAATTTATGAAATTTCACACACACACAAAATGTCATCACATACGTTTATCACTGCAGTATTTTTACTCGGTACAATTTGATTGAAATTCACCTTGTAAAATTAAGTCTCTAAATAGAATCAGTCTTTTTTATTATAACAAAATTTATACCAAACTAGTTCAACTCTGTAGAATTTGATTAAATTTTACCTTCTGAGCTTTGAGACTCTTAAAAAAACACCCCTGTTTTTTACATTATTTTATTTATATCTCTTTTTTTTATCAGATTCTTCAGGCAATCCCCGTAGGCATTGGTCAGTGCTATGGTTGTGATAACTTAATTACTGGCTGCTTGATGGCGCTAGCAATGCTTGTCTGTTCACCGACTATTTTCCTGCATGGACTGATTGGATCCATTCTTGGCGCCCTAACGGGTAAGTAACAGGGGCATGACCGAAGATTCAAGTATTGTGCAGGTGTACTGTATTTATTGACGAGTTGAACGAAGACATTGACTGGAGTGGGGCTTAAACAATTTGGTGCGTATAGGTACAACCAATACAGTCGAGCCCTGATGAAGAGCACTGTTGATACAACATCCTACTTATAACAAGCAACATTTTAGGTCCCAAGTCTTTGGTTTTCTTTGTTTTCCATTACTGATAATACAAGGTACCTGTTATAACGAGGTAATTGGTAAAGCCCCAAGGACCTTGTTATAAAGGTGCTCGACTGTAAATAGCAATATGTGGTATGTATTTCGGACACACTGCCTGTGTGACATACAAAAGCCTGGTGTTAATGTGCTGTAAAGTAACGGTTAATTACCCACAAACACTTTGAATTTACACGCTGAATTTACAACCAACTCACAAAAGAGATTACTGGAAACTACGCACAGTCGACTCTGGTTAGTACAAACTCTGTCAATACAAATTCTGGTTATGACAAACATAAAGCCTTGGTCCCGACTGTGCATGTATGTGCACAATGAATGGGACTGATGTTCCTCTTAATACAAAATTCTGATATAACAAACAATTTCGCTAGGTCCGAACGAGTTTGTATTAACGAGACTCGACTGTATTACTGAACTAACCATCATCTTATCTAGCAAACCTTTGATTGTATCTCATGGTTATTGCTTCCTGTTCCTACAATTCAGGCTTAGCCATGGCGGCGCCTCTGGCTGATATCTACGCGGGCCTGTGGGGCTACAACTCCGTACTCACCTGTGCATCCGTCGGTGGGTTCTTCTTCGTTCTCACCTGGCCCTCGCACCTGATTGCTCTGCTCTCGGGTGAGTCTCTACTGGCGACAACTGATGTCAGTTTTTCTCAACTTTCTGACTTTGACTGTTTCACATTCAAACAATAGTGTGTTTTATCCATGATTGCAGAACCATGGTAAATATATGTTTGTACTTTCTATTCATATGGTAAATACGGACAATTTAGATATTACCGATTTATTCAGGAATAAGGAGACCAGTTCTCACTTTTTTCCTAGAGAGTAAAAACATACTCCGAAGGAAAATTCACTTTCTCATTAATTGCCAGGATAAGATATACATGTACTCGTACAAATGCAATACAGTCAACTCTCGTTAGTACAAACTCTGTTAATACAAAATTCTGGTTATAACAAACATAAAGCCTTGGTCCCGACTGTGCATTTATGTGCACAATGAATTGGACTGATGTTCCTCTTAATACAAAATTCTGATATAACAAACAATTTGGCTAGATCCTAACGAGTTTGATATAACGAGACTCGACTGTACTCACACTCATGAACAGTCACATTTAGTAGTTTTTGCAAATTTCAAAATAAATGTAATTTTCAATGCTGATTTGAAATACTTAAGAAAACAATATAATATTGTTTTATAATTATTGTCAATTGGAAAGACACCATTTTTAAAGTCGAGGTAATCCTAGGTACACAGAGAATCATACCAAATGCCGAGATAAAATCATTAAGAATGTAGACATCAACATTTCATGTTTGCAATCTTCAAAGCACTTTAACTGCGATTTTGTTTTGTCATTTCAACAGCCATATTTGCAGCTGTTGTTAAAGGTGCCATGGCAGCTGTTCTTATGCCAGCGGGGCTACCAGAGATCGCTTTCCCGTTCTGCATCGCGGCGGGACTGTTCCTCCTGGTAACCAGCGAGAGTAAACTGCTCATGCGCGTTCCCATGGACAAGATCACGTGGCCCGAGGATCACAGGAGGAGGTTCAAGCCAGGGGGTGTGGCTAATGCTCAGGAAGGGGAGGCGTTAGAAGTCACGTGAATGGACGGTAGATTATTTGGAATTTGAACTTTAAACAGGTGCAAAGTGTGGCAATTAAACAATGGCCCGCACTGAAGAAACTTGGGTTTTTTAATACTGTTATATTATATATAACATATATTTCTGTGAGAGAGAAAAAACGACGTGTTTCACACAAAATTGGAGCTAGTAGGGCGTATCTGCCAATCTTACATCGTACAGGCACGGTTCTAGAACCAATATTTTTTTGGGGGGGGGGGCTAGCAGAGTGGATCCAGATTTTTTTTCAGGGAGGCGTGCTGAAATGTAGACTGGTTATTTTCTCCAGACACTTAGGCCTCTGAAAATCAATTGGTGGGTTGGGGGGGGGGGGGGGGGGGGGGGGGGGACTCATGCCATATTTTCAATGGGGAGCCCCAATAAAATCCTAAAATCATTCACACTATATTAACTACAAATGCACCCTTGTCATGACTATTTCTTTAGGGGGAGACAGTTCGCATGTACATCACAATCCTTCTTTTTGCTAATGCAATTTCTTTTTATGTAATTTATTTTGGGGGGGCTAGACAAAATTTTTGGGGGGGGATAAAGCCCCCCCCCCCCAGCCCCCCCGTAGAACCGCGCCTGACATCGTAATAACTTTGCATACGCAAATAGAAGACTTTTAAAACTGTGTAAAATAAAATTTTAACTGTAAAATATCTTACTGTATTTACTGTGATGAACGTTTTTCTCAGACGGTAACAATCCTTGTAAATAAAACTTTAAATTTAACAATTTTTTTTTTTTTTGGGGGGGGGTAATTAACTGTTTTCAATTGTCTAATCACTTTTTAAATGGACTGAAATACACCCATTCCTTTGTTGGCATGAAAAATTCAAAATTGTTTTGTATAATATTCTATTGTTGCTATAATTAGCTAATGATTTTTTAAAATCAATTTTAAAAACAAGCCTATAATTCTGTTCTGTAAATACATTAGGCACCAAAACTGCTCTCTTGAACAAAAACTAATGCAAAGGAAAAACTGAAAAGAAGTATTAAACAAAAAAATTTGAAAAAAAATTCCCGAAAATATCCTATAATATTTTTGTAAGCATTCAAAACAACAAAAACAACTGAAATAAACAAAACATAAAATAAGACAAAAGAAACAAAATGATATTTGATTTCCGTATAACGTACATGTGTAGTTTATTTTGTGTTGAATAACAAGTTATTTGAGGATATGGACTAAACTGATACAACATTTTTCCGAGAAGCATTTTGTGGTATCTTCAGACGTTTCTATAATTTAAAACATCGGTAGTAAACGTCTACTTGGGTAGATTTTTTTTTTAGATTAAGAGTTAAAGGGAAGATACAACATTTGCAAACATCACAAAACGAAACGATCAAATTATTACGAAAAATCTTACAAAATTGTTAAGGAACGACAGTCTAAAGCAACCTGTAAAATCGTGGCTCCTGGTGTGCTGACATTTTCAAGAAAAAATTGTATTTTTCCAACGCTGGTCGGCCGACCAGCGTTGGAGAAAACTGGCTTTTTTAAAACGCTGCTCCTAATTTTTCCTAATTTTTTATTCCGCATTTTCTTCGCAATGGATTACAGACCTGTGAAGGGGTACAAGCCTGCTAGACTGATTCTTCGACCTTACAATTCCCCAAAGTCTATAAATTGCTCCAATTCAATTTCAGTGAGGTCAGGGAACCAGACTATAAGAACATGACTGGTTTTCTTGGTTTTTCCAGCATCTAAAAGCCCAAAACTCGAAACAAGTCATTTTAACAATATTTGCTATAACATACTGATCCTCCAAATTCATTTATTTCTGAAAATTGCAGCAAAAGCAAATGTTGTACATTCCCTTTAATCTATAACACTGATTTTTGTTATGGATTTCCACGAACAAACATCTGAAGAAAAAAGGAAGCATGCCCACTCTTCGATGGTGCTTTTTACTCGAGTTCCTCCGCTGATCACTAAATATTAATGTTTAAAATCCTTTGAGGTCGTTTAATTTTCATACATAATAACAGAAATTTGCACGATGTCCTAGAAGATTAAATTTGTCTCCATGGTTGCTTTTCAAAATGAGGTGTACATGTACTGTCAACTTTGTTCCGCCGAAGTCTTAATTCACAAGTTTTTTCATTAACCCTCCTGCTATTTAAACAGTCACAGACAGTTAAAATGTCCATCCACTTCTGCTGCTATAGTTTTACAGTCAGATCATGTGTCAAGCAAGTACTGTGACTAGTCAAATTCAGTCAACAGTGGGCCCAATTTCATAGAGCTGCTTAAGCACAAAATTTGCTTAAGCACAAAAACGTCTTGCTTAATAAAATCAGGTTACCGGCCAAAACTCCATGCGATTGTTATGCTAAGTAAACAACCGCTAAATACCAGTCAAAAGCAATGTACATCGCATGGAGTTTTGGCCGGTAACCTAATTTTACTAAGCAATGTTTGTTCGTGCTTAAGCAAATTTTGTGCTTAAGCAGCTCTATGAAATTGGGCCCTGCAGACCATGAACAGACAAAGCAGGCAAGTTGTGGGGACAGCTGGCTTATCAATCACCCACAGCCAAACCAAAGCTGTATCAAGTTACATAGACAGTCACAGCCAGTCAATCCTGCTTTATGTAAGTTGGGAATTCTTAACTGTTGAAAACAGTCACTTGATTGAGCTTGACTGAAAGGACAACTTGGCACAGAATATGTTTGTATAGGAAGGTTAAGCTGTACTGCCAATAACTTTCTAGTAATGCTATTTTTGTATGGTAAAGTGAAGTACGATAAAGCATTCTTAATTACATGTAAAGGGAAAAAACGGAGGTAGGAATCTAGTACAGACACATAACTGTGTGCTTGCTTCGTTGCCATGCTATGCGTTGCAACTATCAGATACCCTTCTGGAATAAATTTCAAGTTTACAAACCAAACTCTGTACCTGCTAGGTGTTCTGGACATCAGTCCCTGATCCTAGTTACAATTTAAAACTGTCAGATATATACAGTCGAATCTCGTTCGTACATGTACAAACTCTGTTAATACAAAATTCTGGTTATAACAAACATAAAGCCTTAGTCCCGACCGTGCATTTATGGGCACAATGAATGGGACTGATGTTCCTCTTAATACAAAATTCTGATATAACAAACAATTTGGCTACGGCAGAACGAGTTTGTATTAACGAGACTCGACTGTAATGTGCATCAAGATTAGCATCCAAACCCCTGTCTTAATTAACGTTCCTAAAAATGTGATACAAGTGGAAAAGAGCAAGACCCTTGAGATTTACCTCCTATTCCTGACAAACCTCATCCTCTCATGAAGATTGCTTCCCAGATGGCAGATGTGGATAACGTTACTCAACCGGTACAAATTGGTCACTTCCTTCATATGTCAGCCTTCCTCAGTGAGAATAACCTCTGACCTCAATGTCAAAGGTCATTGTTAAGAAGCTTCCTTCTGATCTTCTGCTGGCTTGGGATCCTCTGGCTTCATCGCTGGGAAGAACAACACCTCCTGGAGAGGAAAATGTAAGTTCATCAGTTTCGAGATAATTACCTTTTCCATTAATTTCTCGAGACGAGTCAATGGAATAATTAATCATTTCTTAACTTTCTTCAACGAAGAAAGATCAGTATCATTTGAAACTACTCCTTGCATTCTTCTAAGGAACATACTCTCTGATGTATTAAGAAAATGTTCACACATCTTGTTCTTTCAGAAGCAATATTTCTTCAGAGAAATACTATCATATGGCACTACCTGCAACCCTCATTAAAATTAAGATTGAACATAAGCCATGTGTGTACTATAGTTAGCTGAGAACGGTAACAACGCATTTCATGGTTTTTACCTTGATGTTATTGGAGTCTGTCAGGAACATTGTCAATCTGTCGATACCCAAGCCCCACCCACCAGTAGGCGGGAGACCGTACTCCAAGGCCACGCAGAAATTCTCATCAATGTTTTGGGCTTCATCATCGCCCGCTGCCTTGTCCTAGAAGAAAAAATATCGGGATGTTTAATGGACGAACATTTTTAGAAGGAAATTTGACAGATACCTTATATGTATTCATCATATTGCAAATTAAAACAGCAGGAGTACAAAATGATTCACAAAAATGATCACAGATCCTTGATAATAAGTTTTTACTTGTCTACACTTCAAAAAGTATCACAGCATTATTGGCAAGTTTCAAAAATACCTTCTAAATAGTGAAAATGTCACAAATCACTGCTACATTTTAAGCACATTACCCTTATTTGTAATGATTTAAAGATATGTACTGTAGTATGACTGCAAGGGTTAATTATCTTTAAGCAAACTTGTATCCTCGACCCTGATTGGTCGATCCATGGCAACAACAGTGTGATATGAGGCTGTATTGCACGGTCAATATCGCACCCTGCGTATTGCGCTATTTCCAAGATGCGAGTGACATTCCAGCTGCATGCGCTGAACTGCTGAAATGTTCGTAAAAAACGTGCTCGTTCCAACTGTACTGCGCGTCAAATTTGCTTGAAGATAAATTCGTTATCACGTTCGCGCTCGTGGAACACGGAAAATGTAGTGCGTCTGTGTCCCACATACCACTCGGCCGGACACAGCGTACTACATAATTCTGTGTTCCACTCGCGCTCGCGGGATATTTTATAATATTATGTGTCCCACTGACATGTCCTTCATCCTTCAACCTCACTTACTACAATTTATCAATACCCATCACAGATAATCAGAGTTTTGCGCCTGGATGGCTATGCCCAATTAAACAGATGGGATGTCCATCAATTTTTTTTCTCGAATGTTTATCCTTTAAGAAGATTGTAAGAGATTGACAATTCAATCGGATGTTTTATTAATAGATCTGATGATGTCTGTCGTAACAAGGAATTTTCCTGAATTCTTAGTGTTTTTTCTTATTTTCTTTTACCTTGGCCTGCAGTGCAAATCGTTCGCGTTGCACCAAGGGGTCGTTCAACTCTGTGTAGGCGTTGCAGATTTCCTTCTGCATGACAAAAAGCTCAAAGCGTTCGGTCAATCCCTTCTTTGTCCGGTGCCTGCATTGAAATATAAACCAGTCAATTTGATTATAGGTTGCCAGTGGTCGCGTAGAATTATTCCTATGGATTGATTTTAAGTAACGGAAAGTGAAACAGCATGATATACGTGTAGTGATGTACATGTCTAGAAATGATCATGCATGACAAGTGTGCAATTAATTTACTTCTCTGCTTCATTCTGCATGCTCATAGAAATCCAATTACATGTATTGCCACCATTGATGTACCTGAGCACAAATTCAGCTATTATCAGAAATTACATCCTTCTCTTTTCAACACCCCCCCCCCCCCCCCCCCCCCCCCCCCCCCCCCAAAAAAAAATCAAACACCTATGCAGCTTGGGCCTTGTTTTTTTTTTTTTTAATTCGACATATTCTCTATCAGAGCTAAACATTGACAACAAATGTCAGAGGGAATTCCCAAACACCAAATTCAACAAGAAAGTGCAGGTGCAGCTGAGCCGCCACAAATTCAATTGTGTGAGTGCTCCAGGTGCATTGGTGGCAGCTGCGGGATAGGCACGTTCCCTGAAGTAGGACGATCGGTCAAGAACAAAAAAAGACGGTCCTTGATATTAAATTGTAGCCAAACAACATGGATTCACTGACCTTCAAAGCAAGAACAATTACAGTTGAGCTAGAGTTTGAAATTAACTTTTGTGATAGTGGCTTGAGCCGAGTGCAATTAGTGAAGTGCAAACTGGTGGCAGGGGTGGGATTGTAATAACCAAGTGGGATGGACAAATTATCTGATTAGAAGTACATGTAGAATCAGTAAGAAAGAACCAAAACCTCCATCGACACTTCGGACGACGGACTGAATTAAAGAACTGTTTTCATTAGTGAAAAGCCAGTGATAACAGTGAGGGATTAAGAATTCCCAAGTGTTGGTAAAAATTCAAGAGGTTCAAAAGATTTTGCAAGGTCAATTACGACTCAAACCTGCTTGTTACTCTTGGGAAATGGTTGAAATTCTTAAGGGAGTTTTGGGGAAAAGCCGGTATCGTTTGTGATACAGGCTCCAAAATTCAGTAGGGAAATCAGATGAAAATGGCTCACCACTTAGAGAGAGGACTCATTATTTCTGGGTGGTCGATGATGAACGTTGGGCTTATGCACTGCACCTCTAGCAATTCCCCAACCAGCTGTAGAGAACAAAGTTAGAAAAATACTTGATTTTGTATCAAATTGCTCTGCCTTTGGGGTTAAAGGGAATGTACATCATTGGCTTTTGCTGTAATTTTCAGAAATGAACTATTTGAGGGGTTAGTACAATAGATCAAATATTGTTTAACTGACATGTTTGAAGTTTTGTGTTCGAAAATGCTTGAAAAACCAAGAAAAACAAAATTGTTTAAGTAGTCTGGTTCCCCAACTCCACTAAAGATAAAATGGATCAATTTATAGATATCAAAAAATTGTAAGGTAAGGGAACCAGTCTAGCTGGCCTGCACCCGTTCATGAACATGTAACCAGTAGCAAACAAAATTTGAACTGAAAAAAAATTGTAAATTTGGAGCAGTAGTTGAAAAATAGTTAGGTTTTTCCAACGGTGGTCGGCCGACCACCGTTGGAAATGTATACAAAAATACCATTTTCTTGAAAATGACTTGACACCAGCACCCGATTTCATCAAACTCTTCGTAACTTACGATGCATCGCAGCGATGCAACGCGTCGTATCTCTACGATGCGCCGCAGCTGCGACGCGTCCTGCGATCCATTTCACGAAACACGTCGTAAGTGCGACGTGTCGTAGGTGTATTTATAGCACAACTCGATGACTGTTCTATGCATATAGTCAGCGTACAGTAAATAGTCGTCTGATATTCAACAAACAGTCGTCGGATCTCAGCTCGAAATTTGTTAAAACGTAAAACAAAATGGCGGCCGTGCGATGCAATTTTGAAGGAAACAAGCTCTCATTGGACTGTATAGCTACTTTGAAATTTCAACTCTAATATTCCGGTCTAATTCATAATTATTCAATGAATTTCCTATTTACAACTTTACACACATTGCTTTGGTATTATAATCTCGTTAATGTAATGTTCATGGCATAAAACTGGCTTAGAAATGACTCTTCTTACTTTGCGACGACCACTAGACACGTCGTAACTTGCGACGTGTTTTAAGGCGTTGTCAAGGAACTTACGACGCATTCAACACATCGCAACTTTCGTGAAATGGAAGATATGACGTGTTGCGAGTTGCGACGTGTTACACGTCGTAACTCGAGTTGCGATGCGTCGCAGCGCTTCCTGAAATCGGGTGCAGGTGCCATAATATTACAGGATGCTTTAGACTGTCATTTACCAACATCCTGTAAGGTATTTCGTAAAAACTTGGTAGTTTATTTTTCGATGTTTGCAAATGTTGTATATTCCCTTTGAAAAACAAACAGTAAAAGTACACTCCAACAAATTGTGAAAAACAGGAAGAGATAAACAATCTGAGATCTAATGACTGAACTTTTCATCAACAGAAAACAAATGAAACTTCAGAAGAGCAGTTTCAAAAAACTGAGTAAAAATAATACCTGGAATTGGGACAAAATTATAAAATAACATGACAATGTGTAAGAAGTGCAGGAAAAAATTTTTGCAACCTAACGCCACTTTTTTTCTTCATACGTCATCTCAATGAAGGTCATTCATTGCAAAAATGATGATAAGATATGAATCTGGGACTAAGAAACATTTCCAATTTTGTTGGGAAATACTTGGAACATTTTCTTGACTCTCTATAAACTTTGTGCACAATTGCGGAAGTGGTGCCAGGTTGCAACATTTTTTCTGAAGTGCAAGTTACAGCTCCTCCTCATCCTTACCTTGTCCAAGAGTCGAGCTACTGTCCTTGGAGGAGAACACTCTACTCCCTGCTTCACACAAAGGTCATCAAAGAACTTGCGAGCCTCTGCAAAATAACAAATTATGAAAACCAAATTGTTAAGTTTTACTGAATCTCCACTTGTATTTGGTTTCACGACTTTGCTGTACTTTCTGTACAGACACTTCAAGTAATTGGGCCTGGTCTTATCAGCCTCGACTCCATGGGCGCTTGCGCGTTCCTTCACTAACCCCTGGCCATGATGTACACGTAAACGATGCTGACTGGCTTTTCAGAGCGTACTGCGTGCGCATTTCGAATATTGCACGCCGGGAACACCCATAATGCGCTTGGGTGCTTTACACGTCAAGTCAAGTACGAATTAATTTTGTTTAATTTTCAATACTCGCGATGCATGTACGATATGGATTATGGCAGCCTTGTTTTTTGCTTTAAAAAAACCCTGTATCTTCGGTTGTAAAGGGACGAAAGGGGTACGTACATTTAATACAAATCTTTGCTAATAACGCAACGTCTAAACCTTATGTTTGAAAGGATTGATTCTTCAAAATCACAACTTTCAACATTTTAAAGATGGCGTCAGCACGTAAAACAGATAACACCAGCCTAATTATAATGTGCCATATTTTGACACATTTAAAGGGAATATACATCATTTGCTTTTGCTGTAATTTTCAGAAATGGATGGAATTGGGGGGTTGGAAATATATAGCAAATATAGTTACACTGACTTTTTTGAGGTTTTGGTTTCGAAAATGCTATAAAAACCAAGAAAAACAATCATTTTCCTGTAGTCTGGTTCCCTGACTCCATATAAGAAGAAACAGAGCAGTTTACATACATTGGGGAAATGTAAGGTCAGGGAACCAGTCTAGCTGGCTCGTACCCGTTCATAGGTTTGTAATCGATTGCAAACAAGTGCGATGGTCAATTGGGGCCAGTATTTGAAAAAAAAGTCAGTTTTTTCCAACGCTGATCGGCCGATCAGCGTTGGAAATTGATACAAAAATACCACTTTTCTTGAAAATGACAGTATTCCAGGTGCCATGATTTTACAGGATGCTTTACACTGTCATTCACTAACAGTCCAGCAAGGTATTTCAAAATGATTTGGTAGTTTTATTTTTTGATGTTTGCAAATGTTGTATTTTCCCTTAAGTTTGACTGAATGTCCACTTGTATTTGGTTTCACGACTTTGCTGTACAGACACTTCAAGTAATTGGGCCCGTTCTTATCAGCCTCGACTCCATGGGCGCGTGCGCGTTCCTTCACTAACCCCTGGCCATGATGTACACGTAAACGATGCTGACTGGCTATTCAGAGCGTACTGCGTGCGCATTTCGAAGATTGCACGCCGGGCGCGCCCATAATGCGCTTGCGTGCTTTGCACGTCAAGTCAAGTAAGAATTTATTTTGTTATTCAAAACTTGCGATGCCTGTACGATATGGATTATGGCAGCCTTCTTTTTTGCTTTAAAAAAACCCTGTAACTTCGGTTGCAAAGGGACGAAAGGGGTACGTACATTCTACGCAAATCTTTGCTAATAACGCAACGTCCAAACCGTATGTTTGAAAGGATTGATTCTTCAAAATCACAACTTTCAACATTTTAAAGATGGCGTCAGCACGTAAAACGGATAAACAGCAGCCTAATTATAATGTGCCATATTTTGACACACTTAAATTACACAATTCCAGGGGTTGAGATCGTGCAAGGCATGATGGGAAACAACATGGCGCAGCAAGATCTCGTACCCATGGGATCGAGGTTGCGTTCTTATATGCAGAATGACCACTGTTACTTGTACATCTCATCTGAGAGGAGATACAATCTTAACCAAAACACAAATTATTCCTCATACCTGGCTTGTCAAGCTGATCCATAGGGGGGAAATCCACCTGAAGTAATTTCTGCAGGTCATCTATCATGTGTATTCTTCTGAATGGAGGGGTGAAGTCAATCTCCTTTGCCTCTCCCTCTGGGCCGTCTGGATGGTAGGTGACCTTCAGGGAGCCACCCGTGATACACTTGACCATACCTAGGGAAGAGAGAGCGTGAATTAAATGAGGTTCACTGAGGAACTTCTTGAAACCATGACAGCTGGAGATGTTTTGTGAAGAAACCTGAAAGGGGAAGCATACAGTAGCTGCTGCTATGACATATGAACGACACTGGTAACATTCGTAACAAGTCAACTGAAAGTCATCCAGTTTGGAGTCAAACGACAAGCTTTTCAAGTGAACTGTTAACAGGTATATTTCTCTCCTCTCGTTTGTCTCCTAATTTTTGTGACATGACTTAAAGATATAGTCCATCATTTGTAATTTGTGCATTTTGTTCGTTTGAAGCAACAAAAGTGTTCAAAATCTAATGAAGGATACTGAACAACTAACCTGATGAAGTTTCAGCTCAGCTTCAGCTGTATATTCTGAGAAAAACAGCATTCTAGGATCTCAATTTCAAACCAAAAGTTGCTGAATCATGTTTTGAATTGTTTTGAATTGCAGCTATACGCGATGTCGCGCACTGATCCGACGAATTATAGCAACCGCACGCGCCTGTGCGTCGTGCCAATGCTTGGGCGCGCTGCGCAGAATAACAAAACGAACTACTAATTTAAATTTTCCTACGGTGTGTCTCAAGACATACCGTTGGAAAGGCCTTCTTTCGTTGATTACTTCAAAATGATAGCTTGCCAGAAAGATTAATTGCACAGGGAGTTTAGTCCACTTACTATCTTTCAACCAATTGTGTTTTTCAACAATAATACGCCAGTTACTTTTTCGGATGGCTGCAAATGATGGACTATAGCTTTAAGACGTATTTTAACTACAATCCTGGAAGAGTGACTAACCTGACAGCATTTTCTCTGTGATGTCCATGAGGTCGTTGTAGTCTGCGTAAGCCATGTAGAACTCACAGGTCGTGAACTCGGGATTATGGGTAAGATCAATACCCTCGTTGCGAAACTGGCGACCGATCTCATACACGCGTTGAATGCCACCAACCACCAGCATCTGTAAATAGTCAGAGAGAATGAACTGTCATGTTATTGTTTCAGTCTCGAATCCAATTGTTGGGCACAATGCCCGTGTCCTTTGGCAAGGCACTTTACTGAAATTTACCCCAAAAAAATCCCTGTCCATAACAGGATTAAGCGAGGGCACCATTTTGGTTGTAGTCCAAAGAGCCTTTAACCCTAAAAGGGGCGGGGGGGGGGTGTGGAAATCCCTCAATTTTTTCCACGATAGCCTTAAAAAAAAATGTTTTCGCAACCCGAGCTGTTATGACTTTTTAGCCTCGAGCCATGAATTTTCCGGGGGCTAAGCGCCATGAAAACTGAATTTTCCCATGTACGTCGTGTACAGAGCAACATTACCATTCGTAAATATGAATAATTAATTAGCCATAATTCCAAAACCCTTTGACCTATAGTCATGAAATTTCTTGGGTATGTTCATGATGAGTTGCTCTATGCATGTACCGAGTTCCAAAAAATTTCGTTACTCGATGGCCGAGATTTTAGGGGGGGGGGGGGGAATCCCCCCTCCCTCCCCCCGGCTGAGAGATGGTCAAACTAACCCGGCCCTTTTAGGGTTAAGGCTGCTTCACATGGCTCTATTTGCTGCACAGCGAACTAAGACTAATCCAGACGAGAAACAGCTGCTCTGCTCACCTTGTGGTATAACTCTGGAGCAACTCTCATGAAGAGATCCATGTCCAGATCATTATGATGAGTGACAAACGGTTTGGCGGTGGCACCACCTGCTATCATGTTCATCATTGGTGTTTCCACCTAATGAAAAAACGACAAAAAAATTCACATCAATTGGAAAGGTCAAATTAAACGTCAAGTTTTTATAACAAAAAGACAAGTTCCATAAACTGGCCATGAATGTCTACTTGGTATTATTTATCAACCATAAATTATGACAGATGCAAATTGGATACCGTTTTTAATCCTGCAGTTCGAGGCTTATTTTACTTTCCAACTATCTTATTAAAAGAATTAAGATGTGTAAAACATATCAAACTTTGAAGAACTAAGAATTAATTTACCTCTAGAAAGCCGAGATCATCCAGAAACTTGCGGACGTAGGCAATGATCTTGGCTCGGACAACAAACTTCTGCTGAACGTATTCATTCATGATCAGATCCAAGTACCTCTGTCTGAAACGAGTTTCCTGGAGTAAAAGAAAGAAGACGATTGAGATAGAGATATTTTGGTGTTAGTGTCCACACTCCCAACCCTATTGGGAAGACCCTCTGGCCCTCCTCCTCACCGTTAGAAAAGTTACCTAAAGTCATCCTAACAATTCAGCAATTTTCCACAGCCATTATTACTAACGTTCAAGGCTTTAATTTGACCAAACTTTCATATTGATGGTTGTCGGCTATTGGTACAATGAACACACTTCCCAAAATTGACACGAGAGCTTAAAGGGAATATACAACATTTGCAAACATCAACAAATAAAACTACCAAGTTTTTACGAAATACCTTACTAGGATGTTGGTTAATGACAGTCTAAAGCATCCTGTACAATTGTGGCACCTGGTGTAAAGTCATTTTCAAGAAAATGGTATTTTTGTATAAATTTCCAACGATGGTCGGCCAACCACCGTTGGAAAAACCTAACTGTTTTTCAACTACTGCTCCAAATTTACAATTTTTTTCAGTCCAAATTTTGTTTGCTATTGGTAACATGTTCATGAACGGGTGCAGGCCAGCTAGACTGGTTCCCTTACCTTACAATTTTTCGACATCTATAAATTGATCCATTTTATCTACTGCTCCAATTTACCATTTTTTTTCAGTCCAAATTTGTTTGTTATTGGTTACATGTTCATGAACGGGTGTAGGCCAGCTAGACTGGTTCCCTTACAATTTTCTGGCATCTATAAATTGATCCATTTCATCTTTAGTGGAGTCAGGGAACCAGACTACTTTAACATTTTTGTTTTTCTTGGCTTTTCCAGCATTTTGTAACACAAAACTTCAAACATGTCAGTGTAACAATATTTGATCTATTATACTAACCCCTCAAATATTTCATTTTTGAAAATTACAGCAAAAGCCAATGATGTACGTTCCCTTTAAATATTATGCCTTCGCCATATTTCAGAAGTGTTTGATTACCTTATCCTTGAGACCAAAGTGTAGATGAGGTAGCATGTGAAGACAAGGAGACAGAAGGGTCATCTCAGATGGGACGATACTTAGCTCACCCTTCTTGGTCTTACCTACAAATAAGAAACTTTGATCAATTATCAATGTACAGGACAAATGGAACTTTCTAGTAGGAACAATCTGAAGCCCGGTTCATACTTCACGCGAAAGCAAAAGTGAAGCGAAATTCGTGACGTCAACAACACGTTCGAAGCGCGTCCACCATTGTTGACGACATGAATTTCGCTTCGCACTTGTTTTCGCGTGAAGTATGAACCGGGCATTAGGCATCACAGTGGTTTGAATTTAAAGTTAAAATTGTGAGAGATATCTCTGCCTACCTGGGTTACCTCTGACACCGATGATGTCTCCTCTACGAATCTTGTCATTTGCCTTGAAGAATTCTTCTTCTGATGAAAATTTGCTGCAATTGACAAATAAAAAAAATTATCAATAACCTTTTTATATTTCAGATAGCCATGAACCTATCACATGTCCTCTGAAATTTTAATACTCTACTGATGAAAGTTTTGTTTCCACTGTTAAAAAAAGAAAGATGTAAAACAGGCTTTGAAATTAGCAGTAGCTCGCTAGCCAAATGCTAGTCAAAACGGCGGCAGGCTAGTCAAACTATTCCTTAAGTAGCCCGGCTGGCGAGTCAAAATATTATTGGGCTACGGCAAAGATGAAAGGACAGGAAGAAATAAATCATTAAATTCAGAAAGAAAACCTCATTAATTTGTGTCTCGTTTTTTCAACTGTTTTAAAAGGTTAAATTATTAGATCTGTTTATATTTAAAAACACTGACAAAATTGCCTCAGAATTGAGCCTGAAAATGCACCATTTTGTATTTGAGCTAAAAAAAAATGCGGGCTAGTGAAAATGCCTGCGGGCTAGTTAAGAGGCTGTTTCAGTAGCCCGGCTGGCTAGTGAGCAAAAAAGTTATGGTCGAACCCTGTGTAAAATGACAGTTTTCGAGGTTTTTTTTTTAGCTTCTTGACTTTTTTCACATTTGGTAAATTTTAGGTGACTTACGAGGCATTAGACATGACTTGTAGCTTCTTGCCTTCCGCTCTGAGATCGTAGAATATCAACTTGGCTCCGGACGCTCTCTTTGCATGCACACGACCTAAACAAAGAATCAAACGAAATGAAGACATTGGCCAATAGACTTCATTTCCTTCTCTCTTTTGGAAATTGATATCTGTTATTATATAACCGACACACAGATCCTTGTCATTTGATTGGTGGAACTCACATCACATGACATTCGTTATTACTACCATTCACGCCGGGGCTCAAAAAGTCCCATTCGCCCATGGGGAATGGGAAATACTATTGAACAGTTAGGATCATTCTTGTTCCATGACGCGGTATTTGTGTGCAAATGCATGCTGGTGTGGGCATTCAGCGTTGCGCGTATTGTTCCAAAGAGCCAGCGCTACAGCGTTAAGTTCAAAAAATTTTGTGAAGGGGTGGTGTGGAAAAGAGAAATACATTATCCACCAATTTTGTATTGAAATAAAAGTTCAAATAATCAAATGACAAGGATTATATGTCAGTTTAATATATAAAACAAATATTGAGTGGCTTTAAATTGTGAAATGGGAGGAATATTATCGCTCGGTAAAATCTGGACTTTTCCAGTTCACTTGGCTTCGCCTTGTCAAATGGAAAAGTCCAGATTTTACCTTGCGATAATATTCCTCCCATTCCACGCTGAGCCACTCTATACTTGTATACAGTATGACGAGGATACATGTTAGGCATGGCTATTTTAAAAACCATTGGGCTGTACTGATTTTTCAGTTGACAGTTACACCAAAATACAGTGTATCAACTCAGAATAAGAAAACGAGAAAGATCGTTAACCCTGAGCCTGCCAGACGCAGCACAGTGCATCAGGTGGAAAAGAACTGGTGCACTTTGATGCATTCTGCTACCAACACCAGTGCATAAACGGCCAGCTCTGAAACATAGTCTAGAGGCTAGACGTTGTTATTGTTTGTACGCGATAGCCCTGGTCAGCTCTTTTGTTGTGTGTAGTGTGTGTGGGACTGAAAATGGACCGTAATTGCCTGCAGAAGTCGCGCATGCGCACTAATTTCCCCCATTTTTCAGGGGGAGATTTTAGCAAGTGATCTAGACGTTGTTCTGACGGGTACACGGGCGATATTGATTGGTCGTGATAGTGCCCTCGTGCGGCGGCCGGTTATCGCGTACAAACAATAACAACGTTTAGCCTCTAGACTATCTGAAACACTGAGAGCTAGTCCCATTGAACAATGCCAGAGTTGCATCCTGCTGCATTCGGTGACCACAGACTCTGAGGCAGTTTGACCTTGAGAATTTTGGCCTGATGGATTTTGCTACACTGGGCAGACAAGTGTTGCATGTTGGCAGGGTTTCTAGCCAAAATACCCTGGAGGGTTAGGGTTAAAGATATAGTCCATCATTTGTAATTTGTGCATTATGTTCGTTTGAAGCAACAAAAGTGCTCAAAATCTAATGAAGGATACTGAACAACTAACCTGATGAAGCTTCAGCTCAGCTTCAGCCGTATATTTCGAGAAAAACAGCATTCTAGGATCTCAATTTCAAATCAAAAGTTGCTGAATCATGTTTTGAATTGGGCCTGAATTCAGCGTCCGAGACACGTTCTCACTGAGCCGATTGCAGCTATACGCGATGTCACGCACTGATCCGATGAATAATAGCAACCGCGTCAATGCTTGCGCGCGCTTCGCCGAATAACAAAACGAACTACTAATTTAAATTTTCCTACGGTGCGTCTTAAGACGCACCGTTGGAAAGGCCTTCTTTTGTTGATTACTTCAAAATGACAGCTTGCCAGAAAGAATAATTTTACAGGGAGTTTAGTCCACTTACTATCTTTCAACCAAGTATGTTTTTCAACAATAATTACGCCAGTTATTTTTCGGATTGCTGCAAATGATGGACTATAGCTTTAATAAGCCCTTTCGATTTTTAGCGCAACACCTAGTTACAAAGTTTAACTTGGAATAACAGAATGAGCAGGGACACGTACCTGAGATGGAGTGTGCATCACCATCTAATATCTGGCCTGCTTCTACGTGATTATATCTGTCAATGAACTCAGTCAATGAGATAGTGACAAAGAACTTGTGTGGGTAGGGAGATTCATTGGCCGCCTTCAAGTTGCTGATCATCTGAGAACGAATCTTGAAGTATTCCTGGATCAAATGAGAAAAACAAAATTCTGAAAATCCAGACCTTAATAATAATAATACCGAAGTCTTATAAAGCGCACGTATCTACCAACAATTAGCTACCCGAGGCGCTGGAAATTATGTCTTTTACTAGAGACAGGTAAATGAAGTACATGAGAAATATGAGAACCATTATGTAGCACCTTTATAATGGTTTACAAGGTGCTGCGGCGCATTAAGCAGCCACTGCCAGAAACACCGGGGCAAACCCCATCTCTTGGCGATAAGTGTTTAACGTGCATTACACAAAACACGGGACCTACATGTGTACGGCTTAACGTCCCATCCGAAGGACGAAGCAATAATGGTAAAGTGCCTTGCTCAGGAGCGCAAGCACCATGTTCCCACGGTCAGGATTCGAACCCATGTACCACGGCACACGAGTCGAACACCGTAACCACTGGACCACAGCACCCCACATGGTTTGACAAGAAACTAGGGATATTCAAGTTCATGAGCCATCCAGAATAGAAATCTACTTTTTCTAATATTGGCAACATTGTCATAACTTTTCTTAACCCAAATACAGTCAACTGACCAGCAATCTCACAAGGATTTTCATTCAGGTTGGTAGATATTTAAAATACTGAAAGACAAAGTTAAGGTTAAGGGACATTTTCTGTCAGGCTTGGGAAGCTAAAGTGTCTCCAGTTTACTATTTGATACAGTTTTCAAGAGTAGTGTACGTTTAGGGTGGAATTGAATGGCGCGGGTGTCACTTTTAGGTATGCCTAGCAAGACCTCAGACTGGGACCGTGAGTGCATAAAAACGTGCAAAATTACTACTGACGTTTTTTACTCACCATTCAGCTAATTAATGCCCACACAACACATACATCAAAATGCTTAAGTTGCAAGCATGTCACCTGCAAAATTTGAGACCTTAAATCCAATTTTAAGGCAAGTTTTTGACAGTTCAAAAACCATCCAGGTCATTCTCCATGCTCTAGAAATGTATGTCTGATTCCCAAGGTATTCTGGGTAGGTGTAGGAAGAGCCTTGCAGCTTACTTGTTTTTTAATCGATGGCCAAATGAACATAGCGCCCTCTGTTAAAAAATGAAACATTCTGCATTCACTCAGATCAATAAGAGGGCGCTGTTTTATCTACACGATGAAAATGTTTTAGCTGAGAAGTCTTTGTGCACAATGCATTGCAGTACACATCAACGTGATGTTTCGCGTTTGGATTTCAATAACTCCCTGCAAAATTAGAATTAAACGCTGAATTTTTGGTGATGCAATGCTCACAACAGCAACTTTGCGAGGCAGAAGTTTCGGGGATTATTGAAGAAACTGTAGCGAGTAAGAAGCTTGCACATTTGATTCACACTGGTTTTATTATGCAGCACAAACTTTTGCACGATATGGATACCTTAAGTTTTGGGACTCTCATACACAGTATTGAGAGTCCCAAATTTTCGGACTAGCAAGACCTCTGCAACTGATCAGAGAGCTTACAGCTTCTACCTACCCTAGGATCCAGTGACTCCTCATCCACTGCAGGTTTCTTAGCCCCACCCTTGGCTCCATCTTGAGCTTGTTTCTCAGCTGCTGCACGAGCTTTCTCCTCCTTCTCTTCTGCCTTCTTGGCGGCCTTGGCTCGCCTCTTCAACTCACTGATAAAAAAAGTAGAGAAAAGTTTGTTGGTCCAAGTAAGTATGATTTTACTTCATTTCTTTTTAAACTCCATTAGACATTACAAGCAGAGCAAGGAATGAAAGGGTTGCCACAACATGGAAGACTTTTCAGACATTTGCAATTGCAGTGAAAATATAATTTGTCAAACCCTAACCCCCTAGGCCCTTGTTGTTTACAACCATCCTCAATCCTCCAAAATCCTCCAAAATTTTTCAACTCCGCCTAAATTTTTCAAAATTGTCAGACAGTCCTGCCTCAAAATGCATTCATCCTCAATCCTCCAAAATCCTCCTCATCCCAAAACTTTGCACTCGTGTTTAAATGAAGGACAACCAACGCCAAATCCTTCAAAATCATCAGACAGTCCTGCCTCAAAATGCATTCATCCTCAATCCTCCAAAATCCTCTTGTGCTTCATTCACCATTCATCCTCAATCCTCCAAAATCCTCATGTGCTTCAATCACCATTCATCCTCAATCCTCCAGAATCCTCATTTGATTCAATCACCATTCATCCTCAATCCTCTAGAATCCTCCAAAACCGCCAGGAGGATTTTGGAGGAGTGAGGTGGGTTAGGGTTAAAACAGCATGATAAACAGCAGCAAATCATGGCAGGCTTTCAAGGGGTCGACTTTTGAAACGACAATGACAGGTTGTGACGAGAATGGACACTTACAGCAAGAAGTTTCAAATCTTCCACTAACCTGTCACTGTCTGTCCCACTGCTGAACAGGCAACAGCAGTTGACTGCCACCCGTTTTGATTTCAGCACCCCGATCAAATTTAGGACTTGCTTGGGTGATCCAGGCCTGGCAAGAGCTCGGCACAAGTGGGCGCCATATTTCAAGCTTGTGTACAACATGGGACTGCCTCTTGACGCAAGCTACGTGTGGGGGCTGTTTGAGCAGATTGAGGCATATGTCATGTATTTGGAGGCGCTGTGTGTCTTTTCATTGCTTGCTCAGCTTCAGACTGTTACAAAAACAGAGGGGAAAAATGACTGCACGATGACCTTGTCTCCCATGCACATTTTATACAATAAAAATCCCTCAAATATTTACTTGTCTTGTATATAACCATAACAAATGTGTGTTGGGAAAAAAATCCATGAATTTGTGTCTGAGAACATGGAGCAACATTTCCAACTTTAGTAAGTTCAAACCGTGTCCGCACATCATCAGTCACAATTTAGATTTGAGAGATAAACAGTTTGCCACACGCGTGCAAAATAATAACATGCTGGGTAGGCCTACCAATGAAATCAAAGAAAAGTTGTTGTTTTGAAGTAAATGCAAAGTTTTGATTTTTTTTTTACAGCATAATGGTGTAAGACTAAGAGGTTTTGTAAAATTTGTATACTCCAAAATGGTGTGCGAACAGAAGCGTCAATCTTCTTTTTGATTTAGATGAAAAATTGCAGAATGTGGATTTGGTTACCACCATGTCCCCCATAGACTTGTGTGATTGTATTCATGTTTCATCTGCATTATCTCTTTAATTAAATACTTGTAAGCTCTTGTGTCTTGATGTACTTAACTTATGCACAAGCGCAGTTGAATTTCTGAAAAAGGCCGATACTAACTTAATGTACATGTAGCCACCTAGGCCCTATACTAGGCCAAAATAAAAATTGGCACAAATATTTAAAACACTGATAATAATATTGAGTGATAATTCACAAATATTTAAAATATTCACAAATTTTTATTAACTATTCATAAAAGTCACAAATATTAAAATATTTACAAATTCCCATATACTTTGAACACAAACACCAAAATATTTACACGTAGAACATGTAAACAGACTGACGCAAGGTCAAGAAAGAGAGAGGATGACGCAACGGCTTTTACGCCAAACGTGAAATGAACGGGATTCTGTGCCAATTGTTCGTGGGATTCTGTGCCAATTGAGGCCAACAAAACACAAACTCCCTCCCTACCTTCCTACCAATTGGACCCATCCATAAGAAAAACTCGTTCATTTTGTTAAATATTTTCAAGTCTCTGGTATTCCAAAGGAGGTTATCTTGTAAAAAATGGTAAAATATACAAACCTCTTGCTCGGCTTCTCGCTCGTGTCTGCCATCTTTCACGTGTACCGGTAACCTTGAAGAGCGCCCTCAATCGATAAATGCACTCAATTGTCGTTGGCACATCCTGCAGCCTGTGCTAAAAAATGGACATTACAAGTTTTCCTCCCTTTTATAGTTTTTAATTTCAAATGATGAAACGCATTGAAATTATCACGGATATTTTTTTGAAGCGAGGTTTTCCCGCATGATGAAAAAAAAAATCCCCCAGTAAGTTTTATTTATTTACCATAAAACCCTCAGATGATGCAATACCGAGAAATCCAGCCACCCAAGGGAACTTTAAATATTTCATTTTAAACTAGTCAGATGTAAGCGCAGAAATCGTAAAAATTGCCTTTTATTTCTATTTTTTAAAGGTAGAAATAAATGTGTACATGCAGACACATTTAGTAAAATCATGTGTGAAGATAAAGATTTTTCAGGACACGCCCCTTAAGCTTGAATTTTTGTTGGTTTAATTCTTGCATATCCCGCAGTGATCCCCCTTGTCACAAGCTATTTGCATCGCTGTGATCGTTGAGGGCGACAGATGTACATCAGTCGCGATTCTGGCGTCTCCACAGCTGGGTGGTCTGAGGGCTTGGTCGGCACAAAAACAGCCGAAAATGCCCCCAAACCAAAATCCATCAGGTAGCAGAGGGAGGATTTTTCAGAAGGTGGTCTCTATAACAGTGTTTATGGCCTTTAGAGAGTTGGTGACGTAAGGTAAAACCTTTATGGTTAATTTTATTACGGGATTGAACATGGTCATCTAGCGAGGAGGGGTTATACACGAGCCCTGCTCCTCCCTAGGCGAGATCCTGCAGGTCCACAGGTACAAAGGTACATTTTGAATAACAATAGCGCAATGTGTGTGCTGGATAGCACTGTTGCCTTTTGAATTTGGTCGGGTGTGACCGTTTGCTTTTTAAAGTAACTGAATATGCAGTGCGGCTATTGTCATAACGGCGAGACCGGAATGCTTGTTGAGGCTATATGGCGTCACGGGCCAGCGCGCTCAAATTCAAACGGCGTTTCAGTTGTCGTGTTGCGCTGGTGTTGGTAGCGCTCGTACAGGCCTTCGACCACGGTCAGCTATGGAGGAGGTATACGACGCAATTGAGGTTAGTTACACTCAGGATGAAACTAAATAAATAAGAAAATGACAAGCATAGCAAACAACCTCGTTGAGAAACAATGAGACAAAGCAGGAACAGTAGAGAAGACAAGGGTTCGTTTCCAGGAACGTCACCAGGCAATCAAGGGGGTTCAAATGACACAAATACAGAGAGGTTGCAATTAACAGACGCGCTAGTTAATAAGGCTCAGCACACTTAGCAGGCTTAGACCTAAATCGAATGTCACTGCGGCTCCTAAACTGGGCGTCGAGAGGGAATAGATATGTATTGGTATGGACGGGTGTAATTGGTGGGAACCGTTAATAAATCACAATATAAATTACAGTAAATTCATATGGCTGTTCTACCATTGCGTGTGTTGAGACATTAATCTAGATTTGATAAAATGTTCCTCGTTTCAGGAGAACGCTGGGGCCTACGGAGACGCTGCAGGGCCGGTCGGGGCATTGTTCAAAGGCCTTTGCTCCGCATTCAAGATTTCGGAGAAGTGTTTCCTGGCTTTAGTAGAGGACGGATGGGATGAGGTGCAGCAGTTAGCAGACCTGACAGGGGCCTGGAAGGCGCATGTCCTTGCCTTGGCGCCAAATGGGGGCCAGAAAAGAAATCTCGAAAAACTGATCGAGCGGGTGGAGGCCGGCCCTCTGGAGGGGCAGGTGCCTAAGAGAAAGCGCCGGCACGATGAGACGGACCCGCCTTCCCAAGTGGCTGCAACCCAACAGGAGCCAGACAAGGATCAAGGTGCAGGCCCCAGCGGATCAGCGGCAGCAGGTCAGACCGCTACGGAATCGACTACCTCCCAGGTACATACACTATTACCATGTATAATAATCATAAGGAAGGGTAAAAGTCCCGTTTTCAGACAATAATTTATGCAGGGGAAAAGCCCCATTTTCAGGCGATGGTAAATAAGGTGTGAAGGGAAAAGGCCCCGTTGTCAGACAACAATAATCTTTGGAAAGGGAAAAGCCCCGTTTGCATTGCAGGCGATGAGGTATGAAGGGAAAAAGCCCCGTGTTCAGGCGATGAGGTATGAAGGGGAAAAGCCCCGTTTTCAGGCTATATGTATGAAGGGGAAAAGCCCCGTTTTCAGGCTATATGTATGAAGGGGAAAAGCCCCGTTTCAGGCTATATGTATGAAGGGGAAAAGCCCCGTTTCAGGCTATATGTATGAAGGGGAAAAGCCCCGTTTCGGGTTATTTATGAAGGGGAAAAGCCCCGTTTTCAGGCTATGTGTGTGAAGGAAGAAAAAAAAAAAAAAAACCGTTTTCAGGCTATATGTATGCAGGGGAAAAGCCCCGTTTTCAGGCTATATTTATGAAGGGAAAAGCCCCGTTTTCAAGCTATATGTATGAAGGGGAAAAGCCCCGTTTTCAGGCTATGAAAAGCCCCGTTGTCCGGCTATATTTATGTAGGGGAAAAGCCCCGTTTTCAAGCTATATTGACGAAGGGGAAAAGCCCCGTTTTCAAGCTATATTTATGAAGGGGAAAAGCCCCGTTTTCGAGCTCTATTTATGAAGGGGAACTTGAGCCCGTTTTCGAACTAAATTTATGAAGGGGAAAAGCCCCGTTTTCAGTCCAAATCTATGAAGGGGAAAAGCCCCGTTTTCAAGCTATATTTATGAAGGGGAAAAGCCCCGTTTTCAGGCTATATGTATGAAGGGGAAAAGCCCCGTTTTCAGGCTATTTGTATGAATGGGAAAAGCCCCGTTTTCAGGCTATAAAGGGAAAGGCCCCATTTTCAGGCGCTGGTGTATGAAGGGGAAAAGCCCCGTTTTCAGGCCCTGATGTTTGAAGGGGAAAAGCCCCGTCTTGAGGTGATAATCTATGAAGGAAAACAAATCAAGAACAAAACCGTTTTCAGGCATAGAAAGGGGAAACCCGTTTAGGGTAAACCAAAGAGAAATACTTGGTTTCTTAATGATTTATTGGGGGAAGATCGTTTCAAGAGATTAGGTTTGGTGAGCAGATACTTTTGTTTAGTAGTAATGTATGTTGGGGAGGAACTCCGTCGTTCTTTGTATAGACCAATAAAAGGGTGAGGCAACCATTCATAATTCAACCTTTTCAATTTTAATGGCGGGCGTTGGAGATCCCCTTGACCGCCGCAATATCTCAAAGTATCTTTTATGGGTACAAATTATCGAACATAAGAAATACATATACATAATAATAAATCGGTATGGGAACACCTGTAGGGATGGTTTGAAAGTAGCTAGATGAAGGCAGGCGAAGAAATTGCCTATTGGTTGTAAGATAAAGGTCCAGGAAAGTGTGTTAATCGCACACACACACACAAATAAAAAATCTAGATTTATACCGATTAGTAATTGCATTACAGAGATGGTTCGTAATGGGGTGAACCCTGACGAAGTCGGTAATAGATGATACCCCCCCCCCCCTAATAAAAAGAAGGAAAAAAGGGGGAAATATTTTGGGTTGGTTCTTTTAAACTGCAGGCCAGGTCGGCTTTGGAGGTACACAAACCCCGCCGCATGGAGCTATTGAGGGCTTGCACAGAGACGGGCTATGACAGAAATGTGGCGTACGTTATGTCCCTTCTGCGCAAGTACGTAGACGAGTTCATTCCCCTGTCAACAGAGGACTGGAAAGAGAAACAACTATATGTAAACCTCCTGTCCGAGTGTACAAAGCATGTAGAGGCAAAGATGGAGGGAGTGGCAATGTACATCTATAAATCCATAACAGGGGAAGACTCTGACAAGCGTCTACGTTTTGCTAGAAAGCACTTGGGGTTGACTTCCCCGCCCGTTGATATCAGAGCGCGAATGTCCAACCAAGGGGGGCAAAATAGGGGCAGACAAGGGGCACAATACAGAACAGGTTACCAGCAGTTCCGTCAGTCCTTTGGTCCTCGAGGGGCCTTTGCGGCATCTAGGTTGCGAGATACATGTTATCGGTGTCAAAAGAAAGGGCATTTTGCCAGAGATTGTAAGGAGATCATATAGTGTCTATTGTATAAGGAGCACAGCACACAAGGGCTAAACAAGACGAAGGGGCAGGAAAGAATAAGAAAGAAAACAAAATGAAAAGTTGTTGTCAATGAATCCCTTGATCTTTGAGTGACAGAATAGGGATATAAATACCATGTGGTCAAGCGAGGTCGGGGCCGCTTAGATGAAAAGTGAGATTATAACTGAGGAAAATCGATCCTTGATATTATGTTGAGTGGAGTGTTTGAGACTGAATAAAACAGCATAGAAATCTCTTGCATCGGGTTTTCTTGTCAGTATGTCATTTCTTTCCCCTTTCTCCCCATTCAACCCAAACCCTTTGCAGGAATACAAGCGATATCTGGAAATCCTCAGAACTCATAACTGGGAACTTTCCACGGGCCATGATTTTGACCCCGTTGCGGCGCAGGTCCTAGTGCGGAGGCGTGGAATATATTCATGGGTAGACATATCGGGGAGAAAAGCAGACGCCCAAAGTGGGTCTGCCCCGAAGCCGGCGGATGTTTTGGCCGGTATTTGTCCACCGGATTTCAGGGCCCTTCGCTTTCGCGACCCTAATTTCTTTGTTTCTGGTAGTTTACACGACCATCTGGAAATTTGGGATCAGGTTTTGGCGGAATGCCCGGGAATGGGTGATCAGGTCAGGGTGTGGTTGCACGGGGGAGTGGATTTATTTGAATTTTTCCAGCCGTATCAAGGTAAATACCGAGGCAGGGACTTTAATTCAGAAACGCCTCCTCACATGTATTTTCCTAACGCACCTATCTGCAAGCAGTTTGTACCTTCCATCAATGACACAATCACAAAACGGTTAATAGAGGGTTCAGTGGAGTTATTGGGGGCCGTGCATGAGGTATCACCACCAAAATGTGTAAATGCCCTATCGATTGAGCCAAGTAAACCCAGACTGGTCCTGTCTATGAAAGGCCCAAATCTATGGTGTAAGGACACACCCTTTAAGTTGGTACCATTGGGAGATATTGTCAAGCCAGTACATAAGGGAGGTTTCTTTTCAGGAACTGACGATGCCCAAGGGTACAAACAGCTTCTTCTTACAGGGAGGTCTAAGACATTTTGCGGGTTCGAATGGGCGGGGTTTTATTTTGAAGATACGACCCTGCCGTTCGGCTTCAAAAATAGTGCCTATATTTACTCAACTGTCGGCTTCTGTCTTTCGACATGGCTAAAAAACAGAGGCATTCACACAGAAGTTTGGATTGACGACCGCTTCATAGGGGAAGCGGGCGGAGATGGAAAGGTGGACGGCTAAGTACAAACATTTCGTACCTCATTTACAGGACCCATCGGATGCTAGTGGCGATGAGGCTTACAAGAGGGCGTCACGGGCGTTATACGTAGTGTGCTACATGCAGTCAAAGTTGGGTTACTTTGTCAACTTGAAGAAGAGTCAGCTCCAACCAGTTTCAAGTATGGTCCATTTGGGGTTGGGGTTATGCTCGACTTCTTTGTCATTCTGGATACCAGATAAAAAGAAGGAAACCTTCGCCGGAGTGAGGGAAGATATTTTGTCTGAAGACAGGGTGTGTTTGAAGACCATGCAGAGGTTCATTGGAAAATGCCAGAGTTTTGTATTAGTGTTTCCTGCAGCCCGTCTGTTTGTAAGGGAATGCTGCAGTTTCACGTCCCAGATGGATGACGTCACGCCCGTTCAGCTGACGCAGTCGGTACGAGAGGAGGTCCTATTTTGGAGGTTCATTGATTCAGTTTCGCAACCAATACCTTGGAGACAAGAACGTCATTTAAGATTACTACTAAGTTCAGACGCATCCGGCTATAGATGGGGTGGAGTGCTGGCACAAGGGAACAAAGGCATCACCTTTGGAGATTACTGGCCCCCGGAAGTTCAGAGGTCAACGGACATCTGTTATAAGGAAGCTCTGGCCCTTTACTTTGTCCTTATCTCAGTGATGAACCAGCTATGGGACAAAAGGGTGGATGTTCAGGTGGACTCGGAGGGATTATACCATGCATGGTCAGGTCTGAGGGCGAGGTCGACTGCTCTAGCGGGAGTTTTGAGACTCATATTAGCGTTTACTTTGGAAGCGAATTTTGATCTGCGGCTTCAGTGGGTACCATCCGGCAGTAATCGGGCTGATGTTCCCTCAAGGACGCTGTCCAGGGCTGATTCAAAGCTTTCCTCGTCTCTGTGGTGGCTTCTTCAAGAGGAGTTTGGAGGAAACACCGGATTCACCTTGGACCTGATGGCTCTGCAGTCGAACGTACCGCAGGGAAAAAATGGGCTTCCGATTAAGTTTTTTTCCAGAGACCTGGTCCCTGGCACCTCAGGGGTAAATGTCTTTGCTCAGCCGTGTCCTAGGGGAGAAGTATTGTATGCGTTTCCCCCTTTCGTCCTAATTTCATCTGTCATCCGGCTGTTGCGGGAGTGGGGGGACGTGGTTGCTACACTGGTCGTCCCAAAGCACCCTCACCCTAGGCCCTGGTGGCCGCATCTAAACTCCTTCGCTCAGAAGTCTATGCGTCTAAGTGAAGCAGGTCAGACAGGAGTACTCGAGGTGCCTTCTCGTAGCGGTTATGTGCCTAACGGCAAGGGGCTTCCATTTGAGCTTTGGGCTTTCAGGTGTTATTTTCCGCCAGGACCCGATATCCTGCGAGAATCTCGTACCCTCACCGAACAGAAGTCAGTCCTGATTGTCTCTGATTCTATGTTCAAAGGTATAGTCAAGTTCGCGTGGCCCTCCTTCCTCAAGGTCAATGTGAATGTAAATGGTGGAGCAAAGATGGCAACCCTGCTTAGGATCCTGGCAGCAGCATGTCGGTCACAAAAACTTGACTTGGCAGTTTTGCATGGTGGTATCAACGACATCAGTAACAAGGGGAAAGGCGCAGCGGGAGTAGGGGAGCTATTACGAGTTTTCAAGGTAGCGTCGAGGCGTTTGCGTGTGCAATGTCCGGACGTCCAGTTTGTGCTGTCAGCAGTTTGTCAGACGCGGAGCGTTGACATCAATCATCGTGTAGCGTCAGTAAATTCCGCACTGAGAGAGCTTTGTGAGAGGCCTGGCTGGCACTTTTTGTCGAACGATCACATTTATCAGCGCGATCTCAAAGACCAGGTCCACTTGACAGTGTGGGGCAGCCTCAAGCTACATCGGCGGCTGCAGATGTTCCTGAGATCCATTTGTGGCGGGCGCACAGGAGTAGCCATACATCCCGAGGCAGATCGACCTTCCTCTTAGGCACACTAGCTTTAAATTAATGAGCATGGTGAGTAAAGGAAATCCTTTCTTTTCTGCACAGCTCACAACAGTGAAGACCAGACTAGACGAGCTGGATAGGAAATTAGATGATCGCCCTTATTGCAAGCAGAAGAGCAGTTTAGTGATCAGTTTGGGCGTATTTCTACTGCAGAACCATAACAGCGGCTACTGCACGGAGGGCAGCAGATTGGACGACGTTTTCCCTGAGGACATTGTCAAATTTTTAATAGACCGGGACTCCAGAGGGAAGACTCAAGTTCACATTCTCGGGTGTCGTAATCTGGGTAAACAAGGGTTTCATGGATGCGGGTGTCAGCGGCGGTTAGCAGCCGGAACAGTTGACTCATACATAGGACAGTTGAGAGCCCATTTCAATACAGTAGGTAGCAGGCACCCTTGGAACCCTCGTACCAAGGACGGGAACCCATGCATATCGGATCGGGTAAGGAGATATTTGAAGGCGATTCGATTGGAACAGGCAGAAGCACACATTACTCCAAAGCAAGCGGTTCCAATTTTCTCTGACAAACTGCGCTGGCTCGTTGGTGAGATTCGGGGGCGTGTCCAGGGTTTGGTGGAGGCGGCAGAGCCAAGCTTCATCAAACATTACCTTCTCTACAGAGACCTCGCATTTTTTCTCTGCCTATGGTGGGCGGGAGATCGCGCGGCGGACTTAGGCCGCACAAAGACCTGTGAAGCGACAAGAATTGATGGCAAAGACTTGCTTTTTAATCACACCATCGGCAGGACAGTGAGGGAAGGAGATTCTTCTCTCGTCGTCATTCCAAAGTTAGACAGCGAGGAGATAGACCCGGTTGGGGCTGTGGACAAGATGGTGGATTTAGCTCGCAGTCACGGATATGACTTGATGGGAGGTTATCTTTTCCGTCCGGCTACGCCAGATCGCAGGTCCTTGGCAAACAAGCCATTCACGGGGAATAATCCCAACAATCGTCTGAAGCTGTATTTTTCAGCTTCATCGGATCAGAGTGACTTCGACCTCAGGACACATGGAGGTAGGGCTGGAGTTGCCGTTACTCTGAGGTTCTTGGGAGCGACAGAGCAACAAATCATGGATCACTGCGGATGGGCGACACGGCAGACGTTTAAACACTACACCGAGGTTGAGCGTGTCACGAGGCGTTGCGGCACAGTTCAGATGCTCCGACAGGCAGTAGATAAGGACAGTGGCGGTCAGGCATCTAAAGCAGACCTCGCGGGGCAATTCTACCGGCTGCTAGACTCGGGATTCAAAGCGGAATCGGCATTTCAGGATTTGGGTGCTCATTTGTAAGACAGACAAAACAAACACGTCAATCGCATGTCAATCTGTATATACACAGTAACCCTAAACGCCAAGGTAATAAAATGAATAACATACTGGATAAGTTTTCAAAGTTTCGATTATTTTAGAAGTGGGGTGAGATACGGGAGGAGTTGGGGTAAGGTATTCTAGGGGGAAGCGCGGTGCCTGTCGGGGGTTTGGAGCGAAGAATCGTTTCCACCCATATCTCATAAATGTAGAAGCCGGAGCCCGAGAAGAACATGGTGATGCAAATAGTTTACTATTTGCATCGCTGTGATCGTTGAGGGCGACAGATGTACATCAGTCGCGATTCTGGCGGATCTGAGGATGAGGTAGGAGTGGGAGCCGCGGTTACGCACGACGTTGTTGTAAGTATGGGAGTTCTTCCTTTTGCCCCGCCCACCCACCCCTTTCAGGTAGGATAGCGACAGCTGGCTCGGGTTTCTACTCTCGAATCGTTTCCACCCATATCTCATAAATGTAGAAGCCGGAGCCCGAGAAGAACATGGTGATGCAAATAGTTTACTAAGGGCATCCCTTTTTATTTCTTTGGCTTTCATTTCCGACCGACCCTATTTTGGGATCCCAACCAAAGGCAAAAAAACCCACCTTTTTTTTATTACTGCCGACTATCTAGAACCCAATTCTACGGAAACGTATTACCGCCACACATTTATTTATTTTTTTCACGTACGTACGTGATAAGTTTCACGTACGTACATGATAAGTTAGGTCAGGCAGCCATCTTAGGTCAGGCAGCCTCCGTGGCTAAAAATAAACATGACGACATTGATGGCCCTTTATCAAAGCTCGGCTTCGTTTCCGATTTCGCTTTATCACGTTTAGCTTTTTAATGTTTTGTGATCAAATTTTTAAGTAAATCACTTGCTTCGTAATATCATACAGTAATGCTAATACAGTTTGATGTTTTTGTAAGATAACATTGACTAATGTTGATCTGGAATCTTCAAAATTAGGCACCCAAATAGCACTGTTAGCAGGCGGAGCCGAATGAAGACAGAGTTTTGGAAAATCTCAGTAATGGTCGTCAAATTCAAAATTGTACATGACACAGCAAAAAGTTCGCCCATACGATCCGATTATATTTGATGCACAAAATCGTCGTTGAATTTCAAGATTTCTAAATGAAAATAGCAGTGAATATTAATTATCAACTCTTTTAAAAAAAATTAATAAGCAATTAGCAGTTAATTAAACCTATATTATATTCGGAAATACTCGGGCGCTATCCGATGGTCGACGAAACGAATTCGGCAAAGTTCGGAAATTTTCGGGAAAAAGGAGGAATTCCTCCCGTTTTAGTCACAAGATTCATCGGGAATAGTCAGAATGTTTTGGTCTGGGAACCAGATGAGCGTTTAGTTTCAGTTAGTCGCGGCATGTCAACGATGTGACCAGAAGTGCGTAAGTCATACGAGCAAACTAACACGTGTAAATGTACTTCCATATGTGAAACTTATCGCGTACGTATGTGAAAACTTATCGCGTACGTACGTGAAAACTTATCGCGTACGTACGTGAAACTATCACGTACGTACGTGAAACTATCACGTACGTACGTGAAACTTATCACGTACGTACGTGTAACTTATCATGTACGTACGTGAAACAGATAACTTATCATGTACGTACGTGAAACTTATCACGTACGTACGTGAAAAAAATAAATAAATGTGTGGCGGTAATACGTTTCCGTACAATTCAGACAAAAAATTAACAAATGAAAAAAAAAAATCAAAAAAATCAGGGAATCGGGTTCTATGTTATGCGCCTATCAATTGTTTCCCCACCCCTCCCCCCGGGCTGCCCCACCCAAGACGTGGGGATTGTCACTTTTGAAATGACAAAATCCCCACCCCTTTGGGCAAAATTTAAGTGACAATCCTCGACCATGCCCCCACATACATACGTGGGGCGTACCAGTGATTGCCTTTCCATGCAGTATGCCAATGTAAACAATGTAATTTGAGTGACCAAAATCCCCACCCTGTGGCATGAAAAACGTGACCAAATCCCGACATCGGACCTGGGGCAGCGCGGGGGGGGGGGGGACATTTGATAGGCGCACTATTTGCAAAGCTATTGAAACTGAATACCACATTATTGTTTTTTTTTTACCAAGTACGGGGTAAGGTAACCAGTGGAATCCCAGAAGTTAGAGAGGACATTCCTCCCCTCAAATTATTCGTCTATATACCCGACAGGTGTAGCGTGAATATCCGACTCCATGAAATGTGGACTCATTGGTAGTACTGCGCACGCGTGAGTACGATACTATGCTATTTTTAGGATCGTTTCGGGAGAGTGACCTGTCACGTGCGAGGGATCAACCAATAATAGGGAAATAGGGGTCCGATTTTCATAGGAGTCGGATTTTCATGTGACACCGGTCATGGCTGCCTCTACATTTAAAACGTTGGTGAGCAGCTTGGTGCAGAAATAATGCAAGTCAACTACATGTGCGTCTTGCCAATTATGGTTTTATTATTTAATTCAGTGTATCAACTCATGATGAACTCTTGATAAACAAAACTAGAGACAATATGCATTTGACATTTAATTTAGGAACTAGCGCAACTGCAATTTTGTTTTGATTTTCTTCAGGTGTTTAATTTATGACCGACCGACCCTACTTCAGTGGCAAAAAATATGAGAATCATAGAAATAAAAGGCAAGCCCTTAAACAAAACGAAACGAACATCCCCCTCCAAAAAACCCCGAAGGTTTTGCCTGCTTCTAAGAAATGTCTGAATATTTGAGGAGTCGTCAAATCCACCAGTACATGTACCACACAACTCAGGCAACAAAGTTAACGTTGTTAAATGTAGGGTATCAACATAATTATAATCATAACAATTTTACAATTAATCTAAGACTTTTGCCCTAATTCTCTCTTCTTGTTTCCTTCCTTCTGCTTCTTCAGGAAGACGTTGGTATCCAGCTGAGCCATGCTGTTCTTGATCTCCAAGATGGCTGCTGCATCTCCTTGCCTCTCAGCTACAGACAGAGCTCTCTTGTAGTGACTCCTCGCCTCCTCAAATTTCTCTAGAAAGTCAGAGAAAAGACACTGTTTGAAATGACTGATGTTCAGAGGATATTGATTATATATTCAATTTGAAATATAAAACTAAAATGACAGAAATGCTGAGTGAAAGAAGTTCATTCTTTCAAAAAATTGAATAAGACAAACCAATGTTCTTTTGGAAGATATGAAGTTGCATGCTGGGAGGGGGACTTGAAATCGTGCTTGAACTAAGATGAAGCATTTTGTACCTGCATGCATATTCACTGATGCCAAGTTGCAAAGCACTGTGGGTAGGTCATGTGGTGACCTCTCCTCTGCAAGGTCAGAGGCCCTCTCTATGAGTTCAATGGCTTCAGCAAAGTCACCTCCAAGGTCATGGACGGTGCCGAGGTCATTCAATAAGATAACCGTCTGCAGTGGGAAAATGTGAAAAGTTGAACATTTCAGGTTAGTTTTCTTGAAACTAATGGTGTTTGTGTTCTTGAGTAAGACACTGTACAGTAATCTGGTCATTATGGGCCAAGTTCGCGCAAGGACTATAGTTGACCAATGGTTAACTAACGTTGCCCGAACTCTGTCTAGTCGACGGTGACTGACTACGCTAGTCGACTATTTGGAACCAGCCTACTGGGGTTGGTTGCTTCGCTGGTAACCAATAGCCGCGCGCATTCATAACACTAGCAGAGAGCCAGGATCCAGAAGTTTTGCGATGACATTTTGACCAGCGTTTGACTAGAGACGTTCGCACGTTGCTACCAGTGCGCAGGCGTAAGGTACATCACAAATCAACCACTAGTCGACTAATGGTCCTTGCCCGAACTGGGCCTTAGTTTCCCTCTCTCTCTACCAAGGATCAAATGGGTACCTATGAAGGTGGCTCATCACTGCAACAAATTTCTAGAACACGTAGGAGTAAGGACAAACAGGATTCGTGGTTTTATCTCATAAATAAAAAGATGTATACAATTCTAGTCAAGAAGAAATAGTTGATAGTAAAATTACTGGTTATTATATTTGAAATAAGGCATTTTACCTGAGGATGTGGTATTCCATCAATCTTTAATTCCTCTTCACAGATGTGAAGGGCACGTTTGTACATCTCTTTTGCCTCCTGTAGTCTGCCATGAGCAGCTAGAAACCTGGCGTGGCAGTCCAGGCACATTCCAAGGAGGGACTGGAGGTTGCGTGTTGTTTCCTTGTCGTTTGGCTGAGCAAGCTTCTTCTCTGTGGTGGAGATGCACCACTTGAAGCCTTGCTCTGCATCATCGTACCTGAGGAGGAGCAGATCAGATGCAAGGACTTTGGAATAACTGATAACAGAGAATTGGCGTTTAATACTTTTTTGTGAGGTTCAATTGGATTTGTTTTTCCCTGAGTGTAAACTCTTCACTTTACACTTTGTTCTCGAATAGATGCCTAAAAATTAAAACGTTGACAGAATTATGCAGAGTGACAAGTCCATGTACATGTAGCCTCTGAGCACACAAATCTAATTAAGATTAGCAGAGAACGTTTGCTTAGCTCAAGACAGTTAATTCTCATTGAACATTTGCTCAGAAAGAAACTTTGCTAAGCATGTTTTTTTTCTGATGAGCAACTTCTTACCTTCTCATTCTGTCAAACATTCTTGCCAGCTTTAGGGAGATCTCAATCACAGCGCTGTCGTCCTGCGCTGTTCCTGAGGAGATCATCAATTTCAGTGTCTCCTTGAAGAGACCCTCAGCCTTGGTTAGGTTGCCGTGCCTCATTGATAAATTAGCCATCTTGAAAGAAACATATTACCAATAAGAAAAATCAGAGGGCATAATATTTAGGTTCTGGCAGGACTTTTCTCAAAGGTAAAATAACAGTGGTACAGAAACAAACGAGTAGGGACAAACAAGCACGCAAGGGTGGGAGGAAAAACACTGCTGCAGCTGTTTTTGGAATAGATGTCTTCTTTTGTCTGTTTCTAATATGGTTGATGTTTGTTCATCACATGTGAATAAAGGAAATACATTTTCTCAAAGGACTCGGCTGGTCAAACAACTGAAGAAAATTCCTACGAAAAGTGGCTTCTACCTGATCAAAGATATAAGTGACTGCATTAGTGTTCTTATCATCCTGTGCCATCTTGAGAGCTTTGTGGAGAAGAGCTTCTGCCTTGGCTAAGTTTCCTTCTCTGTCTTCTGCCTAATAAAGAAGCAAAGAAAACAAAGTTATGTTTTTGCCAATGAGAAAGATCATGTACAGATCAAACTGTCGGGCCCTCTGTTACTGTTATGATTTCTTCAACTGAGTTGTTAAAAATAAACAAACTAAATAGGCCTAAACCACCTAAATAAACCAAACAAGCCTTAAATGAAGACAACAAATGGTAAAATAATTTGTAAACATGGCAAATTAATTTACAACAATAAAACAAAGAATCAAGTACCAAATACACATAAATACTACACTTGCAAAATGGTAACCATAGGCCTTACCCAGACTGGGACCGTGAGTGCATAAAAATGTGCAAAATTACTACTGACGTTTTTTTACTCACCATTTGGCTAATTAATGCCCACACAACACATACATCAAAATGCTATAGTTGCAAGCATGACACCTGCAAAATTTGAGACCTTAAATCCAATTTTAAGGCAAGGTTTTGGCAGTTCAAAAACCACCCACGTCATTCTCCATGCTCTGGAAATATGTGTGTGATTCCCAATGTATTGTGGGTAGGTGTAGGAAGAACCTTGCAGCTTACTTGTTTTTTAATCAATGGCCAAATGAACATAGCGCCCTCTGCTAAAAAATGAAACATTTTGCATTCACTCAGATCAACAAGAGGGCGCTGTTTTATCTACACGATGAAAATGTTATAGCTGAGGAGTCTTTTTGCACAATGCATTGCAGTACACATCAACGTGATGTCTCACGTATGGATTTCGATAACTCTCTGCAAAATTAGAATTAAAAGCTGAATTTTTGGTGATGCAATGCTCACAACAGCAACTTTGCTAGGCAGAAGTTTCGGGGATTATTGAAGAAACTGTAGTGAGTAAGAAGCTTGCAAATTTGATTCACACTGGTTTTATCATGCAGCACAAAGTTTTGCACGATGTGGATACCTTAAGTTTTGGGACTCTCATACACAGTATTGAGAGTCCCAAATTTTCGGACTAGGCCTTACCCAAGATTTTGCAATAAGAAGTTCTATCGTATCTTTCTGCTCCTTCTTGAAGAGTGCCAGTGCTACAACCACTGAGCAACACAGAATACCTAAAAAAAAAAAAAAAAAAAAAAAAAAAACTCAGACTGACATTGTATTTTTCAAAAACTTTTCTCAAACTATCTTCTTTTTTTTCATTACCGAAATGATTTTGTTTTGATAATATGAATATTTCCATACTTGCAAATCCATAGTAATATGCTGGTTCATACATCGGCTTTCTTTTTTCCCGTACAATGGGCGGCTCCTCCACAAACTGGCCAGGCCCTTGATTACTGTCGTGATAACCTTTGAATGTCCTCCTCTTGCCATCAGCACCAAATTCACTTTCAGCACGGCGACGGTAAAAATCTGGGTTCTGTGCCTGCTCTTCTTGTGACTCAACTGTCGTTTTTAAGTCTGATGACAAGTCGTACAGAGAGTCATGACTGACGTTGATATCTCCTTTCAGTTTTTGTCCAAGTTGTTCCTTAGGGCCTGCTATCCCTGTTCCACTGTTATCGCTACGGAGAATCTCTGAGTCTGACGATGTGACACTTTTCTGACTTGAGGAAGTTGTGCGCCGCGCCGCTTTACTGAACCCGACGTTATCGGTCGTACTATCGGTGCATAAAGTTTTTACCAATACCAAAGAATGGTTTCGCAGGCAAATATTTCCACATCTGGTAGATTCCAATTGTTTCGGACGTATCGATGGTACTTTGAATGCATTCCTATGTACCAACAACGAGCTATGTAGTGACCTTTTGAGCAGAAATATTCGAGATAAATTTTGGTAAACTCCCTTCATACTGCGCAATAGTCGTAGCCTTGTTGCCATTTTGTGATTGGTCAATTAACGACGTTGAAGTACATGTACGCAAGTACGTACGGTACCATGTTCACGTATGGGCGCCGCATATGTACATGTTCATCGTACAAGGCCAGATTCTGCAGGTTTTTTGTGACACATTTCGTTCACATAATGATACAGAAAGGGGGAAAAGAAAAATCATTTCACAAAACCCTACTGTGTATACATCTCGATATTTGAATGAACATTGCAAGCTATCTGCAATGATTCGTTGGACATTAATTTTGTGCATAAACTTTGGGAATGGAAATTATGGAATACTTCTCTCTTTAAAAAGAAACTTATATTATTCATCTATATTCATGCTTTCTTTAAAAAATGATGTTATGAATGTAAATTTATTAATTTTATGTACATATTAATTATTATGCGTATTAAATTGATCCCTGCTTTTCTCTTCAATAATTGTTTTAATTTAAAAAAATACCTCCCTAATATCTAAAAAGGACTGATAATGCGACCGGAAGAATTACTTAACACTCCAATTCCGTATTCACTTTCCTCCATGCTTTCATGCATTTATGGGAGGGGGGGGGGTGTCTAAACGATCTCACGATGTAATCATAGATCATTTGGAAAATTACAAATTTATTTTCTTTACATGATGTTCATTTATGAAAACAGAGCGGACGGATCCCAGGTGCGTATACGGTAAGCAGCACTACCGTGCGACCCCGCTTGCAGCTACTTGCACTGGAGGTACGAAGACACCATCAAATGAACGTCGTTCATTGTCCAATCACAAAATGGCAACAAGGCTACGACTATTGCGCAGTCCCTTCATGGACGCCGCCATCTTGCTTTTAAAAATGATTCATCTCTTGAGGGCGCACTTTCACGGTCTTGTTACCTGACCTAAGCTTATATATTTGATAACAAAAAGAGACCAGTGAAATAAAAACCAGACTCATGTTGACGACAGTAAACAAAATTGAGCGGCTGGATGAATTTTGATGTTGATCAATTCTCGGCAAAAAATATTTGTTTAAAGAAACTGAGATGACGCATTTATCATCGTTACAAGTACTGAGTGCAATATGTAAGTTATTAATTTGTATGAAAATCGATGATCGCTTGCTTGAAATTAATATTACGATTTATGATTTTTTATTACCTGATCTGTGATCATCATGCTGATTGTCACTCAAGTCAATCATCATTTTTTTCGTAGCTCTAGCTATTCCTCCAACACCAGCTGACATGCTCATCAGGAATTCACATGCATGTATATGTGAATTCCTGATGAGCATGTCACCGTCAGCTGGTGTTACTCAAGCTGTTGTACTTTCGTATCTGCCGTTTTTTTTTAGTCCGTAGTCGATTTCTAAAACAAGGTAGCTGGAGTTACCCAGCCCTGAGTTTTATCATTGGGTTGTCTATTAGGGCTGGAGCGCATTTTTCTCAAAACTTGTAGTATTTGCAAAAAAATTTGGAAAATGTTCAATTTTGTCCCCGTTACACACTAATTGCAACTGCAACTCACCCCAAACTTGCATGGAATAACCATTACACAGGTCCTTGAAGTAAAAAACGATCCACGATGAAGATTCAGCCTACAATTGCAGTGAAAACAGGAGGAATAACCGCTAACTTGGCCAGGACGGCTATTGGTTTGTGCACAAAAAAAATTGTGTACAATGAATGGCGGTCGATTAACAGGCACAGAGAGCGATCGCTGTCAACTACTCGGTTTTGCCAGCTGCGCTGGCTGTTGGCGCATGACGTCCGCGGAAGCGTAACACCCGATGACTGTTTCATGCACTATTGGTTGCGGTTCCAGTACCAAAGCTGTGATGCGAGTGGTAAACCTTATACTAGTGCATGAAACAGTCATCGGGTGTTACGCTTCCGCGTGACGTCATGCGCCAACAGCCAGCGCAGCCGGCAAAAACGAGTAGTTGACAGCGATCGCTCTCTGTGCCTGTTAATCGACCGCCATTCATTGTACACATTTTTTTTGTGCACAAACCAATAGCGGTCCTAGCCAATCCAGCAAGGTTGTCAAGTTAGCGGTTATTCCTCCTGTTTTCACTGCAATTGTAGGCTGAATCTTCATCGTGGATCGTTTTTTACTTCAAGGACCTGTGTAATGGTTATTCCAGGCAAGTTTGGGGTGAATTGCAGTTGCAATTAGTGTGTAACGGGGACAAAATTGAACATTTTCCAAATTTTTTTTTGCAAATACTACAAGTTTTGAGAAAAATGCGCTCCAGCCCTAATAGACAACCCAATGATAAAACTCAGGGCTGGGTAACTCCAGCTAAAAACAAGGTAGGCCTATTTGTTTTTTCATATATTTTCTGGTTCTTTAAGAAAAGGAATATGAGTATTTCTTTTTAATTTCAGGTTCATCCATGAGATCATTTCTAGGACCAGATCAGAGGTAAATTAACTATAAATGAGGAACTTACCTTGTTTATTGTTCATTGTTGAATTGTTTCTATTATTTTAACTTTTTTTAAAGGGAATATACAACATTTGCAAACATCGAAAAATAAAACTACCAAGTTTTTACGAAATACTTTAATAGGATGTTGGTAAATGACAGTCTAAAGCATCCTGTAAAATTATGGCACCTGGTGTGAAGTCATTTTCAAGAAAATGGTATTTTTGTAAAAATTTCCAGCGGTGGTCGGCCGACCACCGTTGGAAAAACCTAACTATTTTTCAACTACTGCTCCAAATTTACCATTAATTCAGCCCAAATTTTGTTTGCTATTGGTTACATGTTCATGAACAGGTGCAGGCTAACTAGACTGGTACCCTTACCTTACAATTTTCCGGCATCTGTAAATTGATCCATTCTATATTTAGTGGAGTCAGGGAACCAGACTACTTGAACAGTTTTGTTTTTCTTGGTTTTTCCAGCATTTTCGAACACAAAACTTCAAACGCTGTCAGTGTAACAATATATGATCTATTATACTAACCCCTCAATTAGTTCATTTCTAAAATGACGGACAGCAAAAGCCAATGATGTATATTCCCTTTAAAAGGTCTAGATGCTAATCATTTATAATATTTTTTTTTAAATAAACAGTTATTTTCTTTTCTCATCATAACTAAAATTGTGTAGACTATTTACTGTTCTTAATACCTCACTTTAAGTTTGACTGGTGCTTACTAAAGGATTGTTTTGTATATTTTGCAGGATGAAATTCGTCCTTGAAGATGAAGATGGAGATAGTTGTCTCATTTCCAGCTGCTCTGAGCTTCTCTGTAGCCTTGATGTTGAGGTATGGACAGGTGGTTTGTGAAGCCATTTCTGAAACATTGGCTTTGCCTCAGCTTCAAGCTGCACCTTCACCATTTATGAAGCTGCAGCTTGAAGCCTCAAGCTTTCAGTAGTGGCCAATGAAAATGGAAAACTGCCTTCTGCAACAATTTTGAATTTCATTTAATTGTTTTTATTTATCCTACAGCATCCTGTCGGCCGCATAGCTGTTGAGGCTTCAGTGGCTCATCAGAAGTCACACGGCACAGGGACTACAACCATGATGACAATGGCAGGCCTGTGGGCAAATGAGATACAATCACTCATAACTCAGGTAAACAAAGCAGACAAAAGTTATATTCCCACAGGCAGTGTTTTTTTTTTCCTAAAAGATTTGCCAGATGAACAAAAAAATGCTTTGCTCGTCAAAAGAAAAAGCCAGACAGGCACATATACAAGTGCATTTGTAGATCCTCTCAGTTCCAGTATTCTAATTTATCTTCTTTTTGTATAACACTTATATTTTGAAGTGTATTTATGTTGTATTTTGTGACTCTTTTAGGGTATTCCTATACCAGCAATCATCAAGTATGGAGATGAATGTCTGGAGCAGTGCCTATCATCCTTGGAGTCCATTGCAGTGCCATGCACCAAACTCATTGAATTCAGTGACTTGGAGATATTCGCAGATGCCAAACTTCAAGCCAATACTTCCTCCAAATGGTCTAATAACTGTGAAGATAACTCAAGCACAAGGGAACAACTCAGGACCTATGATCAGTTTGTGGAAGTTCAGTTTAGCAGCCAAAGCGATGATCAGTCTATTTCAAGGCCTACAATGTTTGAGTCAAGAGCAAACCTCCCTGAAATCGACCTGTTCAGAGATTCAGCTCCTGAGATGCAAGATGATGATGATGATGATGTTTCTTGGTTCTTTGAAGGAACGTCCCAGACTGACGACTATTCTTTGGAACAGCATCAATCAGACTGTGCAGCTGTATTCAGAGCATTGGAAGGAGAAAAGTGTACCAAGGATGGAAAGGAGGCAACTGAATCTCTGACAGAACATGCCATCAGAAGAACTTCTGGGAATGACAGTGATGATGAATTTGATTCTTGTTTTCCTCTGCAGGTGCAAGATGCCATATTTAAACCTACCAAAAGTGTGTATGGAAAATCTGCTCAGGATGACTCAGATGACGAGTTTGACTCTTGTTTTCCCCTGGAGGAAAAGGATACCATTCCTAATAATGTGGGAAACTCTATCCGAAAGCCCACTCAGGATTACTCTGATGATGAATTTGACTCATGTTTTCCTGTAGAAGTACCAACTACCAGCCAGAAGATTAAGACAGAAGAGTCAACAAATGGCATCAAGTCTGAGGGAGATGATACTGATAATCAGCAAACCAATGAACTTGATGTTAATTCTGCAACAAATCCTTTGGAAGCACAGCACACTGCAGAGAAGCTGGAGCGTTACCAAATGGCAAGTTTGGACGCAGCCAGGCGCAATATGGATTGTGCTACTCGGGATAATTCAACCAGAACAAAATGTCAAAGTGCAATCTTAGAATCAATTCAAACAGTATTGAAGACAAAACAGGAAAAGGTGCTTTCAAAACAACTTGGCACTGTACAAAATAACAGCAGGCACTTCAGAAGTTTTGAAACTGTGATGGGCCAGCTTATAAACGAGGACCAAAGTTCAACAAGTGGTTGCCATAGAAATGAAGCAGTATCAGAATTTCTCAAATCCGAAGAAGGCAGTGGGTTTACTTGTCCAACAGTGGCTTCACAAATACCTTCCAAATGTGACACAAATGTTCATAAAAGAAGCTCGTTGCCTAACCCAAGTCCACAATATGGAAAATCAAAAACTACAGTAACTAAGCCCCAACAGGAGCGTGTGTCTGGAATGCAAGAAGTGATTGAAGATCTTGTAAAGGCAAGAACCAACCAGACTGTTGCGAGGCGATTAGTCAGTTTACAAAACAGCAGCAGGCACTTCAGAACAATGGAATCTGCTGCGATACAGAGTGTATCCGAGGAGGTACATATGACCTCAGGTCAGGGGTTAAACCCTGAGGTCACTTTGGCAACATCAGAGGTTTCAGATAAGCATAAGAGAATCTCCTCATCCAGAGATGACTGCCAAGAATCAAGGCGTGGTGGCAGCCATGTTGAGCTTTTCTCCGAGACCTACATGAATACTGCAACAAATTGGAGAGATTTGAAGGATACTGATGAGCAACAAATATGCGATATTGAACAACTTGGGTAAATATAAATATAAGATTCAAGATCATGACAAAGCAGATACTGGAGTTGAACAATTTGAACATATTTTTGATGAGCATGTCAATGTTTTGTTAATGTTTCTCTACAGATTTGGATTGAGTCATGGGTCAGATCTTGAAATGGGACTAATCATTGAGGCATTCAAGATACAGATTGACAAACAAGGATTTAACGACATGATAAGGTATGTATGTATATTAACCAATGTTGGCCATTTCTTTCTGAGGAGGATGTGTTGCATTGAAAAGTAGTGCGGAATGCTCAAGAAGTGTCGTAAGCCTTACCCTTTCTTCAGCGTTGTAGTCAAGCCCATCACAAGTCAATCACAAGTCATCAAGTCCAAAGCCAAGTCATCACATGCTCTTCAAATTAATTATGTAGTTGCTCATTGCTGTCACTTGTGATGGTACTTGTGAATGGACATGGGATGAGTAAGATTTGAGGCGTTGCATGGTGGAGAAACTAACTAAAGAAAGGTTTGCGGAAACACCATGTGCAAATAATTTCTCAACTAAGAGAATGGTTCTAAAAAGAACCAGAGGGATAAACTCGACGTTCCGGTCAGTATGCTCTGACACTCTCCTGAAGACGGTCAGAGCATAGTGACTGGAACGTCGAGTTTATACCTCTGGTTCTTTTCAGAACCATTCTCTTAGTTGAGAAATTATTTGCACATGGTGTTTCCGCAAACCTTTCTTTACTTGGACTAGTGATGGATTCGACTACAACACTTCTTTTCTTTATTTTACATCTACAGGGTACCAGACCTGAATTGCCTCAATGTGTGCACTATCGCAGGGCCACAAGCCTCAGATTCACATCTCCAAGCTGGTCTGTTGCTGTCAGTTGATCCTTGGCACAGAACTGTCATTGCAGAATCTGAAGGAAAATGTCTGGCGGCGTTGGTATGTTCAGTTGCAGTCAGTTCTAATGTATTTTGTAAGTACCGGTGCACAGTGCATCATCATTCCAGTCACAGGTAAATCACAAGTCAGTTCACAAGTAACAGATGATGAACAATTACAAAGGAATGCCTTGTCACAGTTCATTTGAATAGTCTACGAGTTGACTAAACTGCAGGACTTCTGATTGACTTGCAGTCAACAACATGTACCTCGACTACGACACTGACTTTGACTGCCATAAGTTTTGATAAATTGATGGTTGAATTGAGAAGATTGACTGCGGATGCATTGTTGTTGTTATCAAATGTTCCTTTCTGACCATCCCATAGCTTGTTAATGGAGACGCTACGCCAACCTTCAAACATGCTGGATACAAGAATAAAGTCAAAAGGACAACGGTCAACACATGGACAGGAATCCCTTCAACTGAGGAGAAATCTTGGCTCAGACAGATAGTGATCTTACTGCAAGAGGTATGAACTCCATGTTTGATACTTTGGATAAAAAAGTAAGAGGTCACATAGACAAGTGCTTATAAGTCTAGATTTGATTCAACCCATTGTCATAGTTTTCAACCCTGTGGACATAACACAAGTATATTACTGTCTTGCAATATTACTGTCTAAATAATAATTTTATTCCCCACAGCTTGATGTTAAACTGCTCATTCTGAAGGGTCACGCAGATGAGCACCTCGTCCATCATTGTATCTCCAAGAAGATCCTTCTCCTTCAAGATGTTCCTTATAAGTCCCTCTTGGCTCTGGGGGAAGCTTGCAGCGCTCCCATACTCACCTACCTCACTGATGCCACGGTGGATGACACTGCTTGTGGTATCAATGTTGCATGCTGGGAGTCTGGATGGGCTGAGAGGACTAGGGTAAAGGGGGAGGGGCTCAAGAGGAAGTTGTTTGCGAGGGTTTGTGTGGATGGGAAGGTGTTGCAGGTAGGTTGGATTGAAAAGAAATACATGTTGAAGATGTAATCTTGCTTACTTCTTCTCCATTGTCACATTTTATCCATTTTCAAATTCAAGTTCACTGAAATCATCTCTTGAATTATCTCCATGTTATCAATTTTATAACCACAACCTTATCGTCACTATATCACTGCATCATCATCATTACTATCTTCATTGTCATTTTGGTCATATTCCATTGTTTTTATCACACCAGACCTCAACAAATATAAGGCAGCATCCTGATATTGTCTAGGTCTTTCACAATTATAAATATGTGGGAACGTGCTAGCAATATAGGCAGGAGTAACTGCAGAAGCTTATCTCAGACATGGCCTTATATGACCCATACGCCACCTTCTTCATCATACCCACCCCAACCCTATCTCCACCCATTGACCCGTGCCTGTCATGATACAAAATTAACTTTCAGATCCTCATGATTAATTCTTAACAGACTGCAGTGCTGTGCCACCCCGTATCTAGCCTACTGCCAGCATCACAGGCCAGATTCTGGGCCAGTGCTCACAGTCTCCAAGGCGTTGTAGCAGACGGCTGTTTCCTGCCTGGAGCTGGCTTGCCTGAACAGACGGCCATCAAACAACTCCTGAGATTAAATGGTAATTCATAATTATGATTCTAAGATCTAACAAGTGTGTGTCAGAATAGGGCTCGCTCAAAGACGGCCATTTCTGTTGGAGGACTGCAACTGCGTATTTTACGCAATGAAGCACGCATTGCGCAGTGTTGAAAATGTTCCAAACATGCGCGCTTGTTGCTCGAAATGTGTTTGAAATACGACGCAGCTGATGCACGTTGTGCAAGTTGACGCCCAAACTGCAGATGCACGTGGATGGTCTGTAGGAAATGACGTCATTTGAATGAGACCTTTTGAAACAAATTATTAAAATTTCTAAAAGGCCGATCTACATAAAAAAGGACAACAATTTTGTTTTCGGTTTCTTTCAGAATTGACTCACACTGCTGGGTACCATGACAACCTGACTTTCTTCAAGAGCAGCATTGTGTCGTCTTTTGTGGAAGGATTCATTCACTACCTGATACAAGTCTTGAAGAATATGGGAAAGTTGGATGATAAATCTCTAGCCAAAGCTAGTATTATGAGCGGACTACAGAAGGACAAGTTAGAACCGGTCCTTTCCAGTTCAATCCAACCTGAACCTATTAATGGAATCGATTTGCCAGATCACACACTAAACCCAACAGGCCGTAACTGGCCAGAACCGGATAAATCCAGTAAAAGCCAGTTTAATGCTCTAGCTAGTGAACCTGGTGGTAACCTTGCGTGCAGTAGCGGATGCAATACACAAGCAAAGTGTCTATCTGAAACACATTCATCAAAAAGAACTGATACGGCCAATCAAAATAAAGACAGTCTTACCAGCTCTGGAGACAAGACCTCAATTGGTTGCGATGGCAACGGTGTGGTTTACGACAGCTACACAGCAAAGAAAACTGCATGGGAGAATGCATGGACATTGCTGAAAACAGTTCTGCGGATTGATGCCAATATTGTGACGGGGGTTCAGGAGCAAGACAAGTCTGGTTCATCCTCCCATTCTGGAAAATTAGTGATTTTGTGAATGATGTTGAGGTAGTTCTGGGGTGAATGTAAAAGGGAGGGAACGAAGAAACTTTGAAAGATTTTTCCATGAGATGAGCTTGTAAAGTGAGACCTTAAAAATTTGCTTACATGTGCGATGTATTTTCTATCATAAAATGAAAATAAACGCCATTGTTAATTTGAAACGTATGTCAAATGTGCCTGTCTTTTGCTATCAGATCTGGACTAGAGGGAAGGAAAAAAGAAGTGTTAAGGCCAAAAAAAGAAAGTCTCCGGTTTCTGGTATGCACTCGCGTCGCCGTAGCCATGCGCGTCGGCAAAATGAAAAAGTTTCAATGAAAGATGATGTCTCAAAACTGCCAAAGTCACTGGTTTGACTGGAATCCTGCTGCTGCACAATTTTAACGTGTTTTTAGATGGGGTTACGACTCGAGACTAAGCTTTATGTGGCCTCTCTGGACTCCCATATATTTGCACTAAGCTTAGTCGGGCACCATTTGCAGTCATCAGCCGACATTTGAAGAAAAAAAAAACGGTAAAAAAAAAAAAAGCCGCATCACCGCACCAATTTTTGGGCAAGCTCCATACCAGAAACCGGAGACTTTTTTTTGGGCCTAATTTTGGATCCTGCTCCCCCCCCCCTGTAACCACCCCTCCGCCCTCCCCCCCCCCCCCCCCCCCCTCCCATCTTCAGGCCTATATGTTCATTCTATCAATTTAGGGTCCAAAGTTTAATTTGTAATTTGCCAATCAAGTGTCGTTAAGAATGACTCCAAACATTTCTTTATTTTTTGTTGGGGAGGTACATGTATAAGTGCACAAATGCAGTGTGATATTCATTACCACTCTTGGAGATGTATAACTTTTGTCCAATCAAGGGAGAGCAAATCAAGGTAGGCATAATTGACATTTTGAAATAATAGGCTATACATGTATTAAGGAGAGCTTCAGAATATAAAGTCATACATATGTCAATGTAAAAGGACATGATAAAAAAGTGGACCACAAATTTATAGAATTATCCAGACTGAAATTTAGCTACATGTTATCTCTACATTTTATAATTTGAGTGTCCAAAATGAATTCCGGCTGATTATCAGTTTGCATAATTAGCCTAGTATTTCAAAATGTCAATTATGACTACCTTGATTCGCTCTCCTTTGATTGGACAAAAGTTTATACAAATTTCCATATGTTGCCTCACCTGCGGACTGTCAAGCTTACGACTGTTATATGCAAATCGTTTTATACACATGGAACAGCCGTTCACCTCTCAGTGACCTTTTATCACTTCCGTATTGACAATAACAATGCTGAGGAGGTTTTTCACGCGTAGCCTGAATAAATCCAACGTAAAATTTAACAAATCGTCAAGGAATCTCGGCAGGAATATGGCAGAAACGAGTATGTACCCACCCATCGAGCCGTATGACACCGGCAGGCTGAAAGTTGACGATATACACGAGCTGTATTACGAACAAAGCGGCAAACCAGACGGCAATCCAATCTTGTTCGTGTACGTACAAAAATACAATCAGTCACTAGTGATGTCTGTGTAGCCTAGCAGTAGCATGCCTAGTACTAGTAGTCGTGTATTTTGTGTTATTGTCATCATTTATCAATGATCACTCACATTTAATAAAACTGATTATAATTTTTTCTGTCAGTGTCATAAGTCATTATTTTTGCCAATCACGTTAATCAATAAAATTGTTATTTTTAAAATAACAATTTTATTGATTAACGTGATTGGCAAAATATGAAGTCGGTTCACAATCACATTAACAATGTTAATGTGATTGTGAAGCGACTTCATATTTTGACCGATGTTATAAATTTGACAATAACAGGTACAAATAGGGGCCTATGTCCGAAACTCTGGCAATGTCTCGTTTGATACTTTGAAAGTGCATCATGCATTGTCAATGCATGTCCTAGTCCGAAAATGCCCTCGAAGCCAAACTGACATTTTCACATTAAGTTTAGGCATGTAATAACTCCAAGGTTTAGGCTAAATTTGAAATGTGAGAGGGATTGTAGGATAAAGGATGGGCACATTTAGTCCGAAAATTTGGGACTCTCAAAACATGCAAAACAAGAAAATAGACTGGCACCTAAAACAACCAGTCCAACACGGATTCAGAACTGCATTATCAACCATGCCAAAAGAATTTAAGAAACATGTGGCATGAAGCGGGAACTAGTCTCAATTTACTACACATTTCTCCATAGTCAAGCCACCAGACTATTGACACTGAATGAAGAGGTCAGTCTTTTCAAATGGTTGGACCATGGTTGGACATGTACCAGTCTAGTCTTTAGCCTCATTTTGAAATCACTTGACTTCCCTCTCATGTGCAAAATATTGAAGAAAAGTCTCTTTCAAAAATTGAATTCAGTCTGCAAACTTGCTTGGTGAAATACTGAGGACATTTTCTTTGCCCAGTGGAACTTTTGGAGAAATTTGCTGACTAAACTGTGAGTAAAGTGGGCCTGATTTAGTTTTGCACGTTTCAGAGCACTCCAGAGCCCTGTCTGGGAGTATACATATGACCATACTACTAGGACCCAGCGCTGTGATATGACATGTAGGATAAAGGATGGGCACATTGGCAACAGTGGGGGAAATCCAATCTTGTGAAACTAGTTCTACATATTGTCTGAGATGTTATCAGTCGCTCTTTTAAGTTTATTTTTATTCTCATTGTATCCTCTAGTCATGGTGGTCCAGGGGGCGGTAGCAGCCCTGCCGATCGTTGTTACTTTGACCCTCAATTCTACCGGATCGTGATCTTTGATCAGCGTGGGTCAGGCAAGTCAACACCGGCTGCAGAACTTCGGGTAATTTACCACAAATGTAATGAGGACTGATGACCCTTTGTTCTTTAGCAATAGCAAATTCCACAACAAAACCCAGACTGGGGCCTGGAGTGCTGAAAAACATGCAAAACAAAATCAGGCCAACTTTACTCACTCTTTGGCTGACAAAATTCTCCAAAATGTTCACGAGGCAAAGACAAGATCCTCAGTATTGCACCAACCAAGTTTGAGGTCTCAATTCAATTTTTAAAGGAGACGTTTCTTCAATATTTTGCATCTGATGAGAGGCAAGTGATATCAATTTGAGGCCAAAGACTAGACTGGTACATGTCCAACTATGGTCCAACTGTTTGAAAAGACTTGACCTCTTCATTAGTCTGAGAAATGTGTAGAAATAGAGACCAGTACCAGACAAGCCGGATGTTCTTGTGGCACAGTTGACTGATGCAGTACTAAAGGGTTGTTGGACTGGTTGTTTCATGTGCCAGTCTATTTTCTTGTATTGCATGTTTTCAATATCTTAATTTTTGGGACTCTCATACACAGTATTGAGAATCCCAAGTTTTCGGACTACACAAAACCCAGCCCTAAGGCCAAAAAAAAAAGTCTCCGGTTTCTGGTATGGAGCTTGCCCAAAAAGTGGTGCGGCAACGCGGATTTTTTTTTTTTTTACCTGACTTTTTTGCTTCAAATGTCAGCTGATGACTGCAAATGGTGCCCGACTAAACTTAGTGAAAATATATGGGAGTCCAGAGAGGCCACATAAAGCTTATTCTCGATCATAACCCCATCTAAAAACACGTTAAAATTGTGCAGCAGCAGGATTCCATTCAAACCAGTGAGTTTGGCGGTTTTGAGACATCATCTTTCATTGAAAAAAAACCTTTTTCATTTTGCCGACGCGCATGGCTACAGCGACGCGCGCGCATACCAGAAACCGGAGACTTTTTTTTTTTGGCCTAATGTACAATGCCACTTTCAATATCTCTCCCCCCCCCAGTTTTAGTTTTATTTCTCTCAAGACAATGTTTTTTATGTTTTCCTCTCAGAATAACACCTCATGGCATCTTGTGAAAGACATAGAAACAGTGAGAGAGCACCTGAAGATCGACCAATGGGTGATATTTGGGGGCAGCTGGGGGGCAACACTGAGCCTCTTGTATGCAGAGATTTACACAAAGAGGGTCAAAGCAATGGTGCTGAGGGGTGTCTTTACATTTCAACCGTTAGTATATCATTACTAATAATATATTGAATGGCTGATGAGCAGAGTTGCTGACTCGAGTCATGTGACTTGGACTCGAGTCGGACTCGAGTCGCTATTTTTGTGACTTGTGACTTGACTTGTAAATACCAGCTTTGACTTGTGACTTGACTTGGACTTGCAAACAATGACTTGTGACTTGACTTGGGATTGCAAAAAATGACTTGTTACCAACCCAAGTCAGACGCTACTCGAGCGACCCAATACACTTTAATTAAGCTATTATACTTTTAATTAGCTTTTTCATTCCAGAAAATAGACCTCAGTGACTGAATCCAGTAAAATGAATAGTTCCCACTAGTTTAAAAAGTGTTCAATAAGACTGTCACAACAAACTACAGTTTTCAATGACCAATTGTCTCTTGCTTAATGTATTGGTTGAACAAACTTTGAAAGGAACCTTTCATGAAAAGAAAGCAGGCCTTTGTCAATTAAATGTAAAATACCGGATAGCCTAACCCATTGGTAGGCGTTTAGTATACATGAAAATTGAACAAGAAAAGTGTTAGTATACTACATGTAATCGAGTTGAGGAAGTCTTTTTTTCACGGTCATCTCAACATTTATTTCTACAATGTAAAGTAAATTTATTAAAGTATACAAAGGGCTAATATCCGACAGATATGTGATAAACTACAAGAATAGTAATTGCAACACATTGAAAAAGGGGAATTAAGGAGGCATGTTCAAAATAACTTGTAAGTTCACGCCAGGTTAATTCTTTTAGCTTATTACAGCTGGACAAAATAATGTGCAACTTGACGTGTTCTTGGACAAAGATACTTGAGACTTGACTTGTGACTGGACCTAATGACTTGGGACTTGACTTGTGACTGGACCTAATGACTTGTGACTTGACTTGTGACTGGACCAAATGACTTGTGACTTGACTTGGACTTCCAAACAATGACTTGTGACTTGACTTGGACTTGCAAAAAATGACTTGCTGCCACCTCTGCTGATGAGGGCACTAATACATATCTATTTGCCTAGAGGGACTGTGCATGAACTGTAGGCAGTATTTCCTAGAGCTGTAGAAATACTGCTAAAGCACTGGACTGTGCTGGGTGGTCTTGACATTGCAACAGTAGTATGGTACTGCCTAACAATGCATTGACTGGATGAAGGCACTAGTACACCTATTTGCCAAGAGGGACTGGAATGACAAGAAGGCAGTATTTCCTAGAGCTGAGGAAATAATGTTACATAGGCAAATATTCCTCTGTTACATAGGCATATATTCCTCTACATGTATCTTAAATTATAAAATACATGTGTACGTGTGTAACATTTTTTTCAAGACTGACTTGTTAAATTTGTTATTTCATCAAGGAAAGAAATCAAATGGCTGTACCAAGAAGGAGCAAGTTATTTTTACCCAGATCATTGGGACAGCTACATCTCTGTCATCCCTGAGGTAATCGAGCAACTGAGCTTGTAGTCTTGGACTATGACTTTATTTACTTTGGCACCCATGTGCAGCCTCTCTGACAAGCACTGACGGGCGATGAACCAGATCCAATCTTGGGAACTGAGGCATTATAGGACCCAACAAATTCTGAGCATAGCCCATGAGTGCGCAGTAGCTTGAGATAGCGCACACGAGCTGTGCTTTGTATTTCTTGGGTCCCACTGAAAATGTTCCCAAGGCATGATTTGATTCATCGTGTTGATAATGCCCCTGTCTCAGTTGCAGCTTGTCCGCACTTGCCACAAGGGTGGATCCAGAGAGCTTACTACTGGGAGGGGGGGGGGGCTCTCTCAAGTGTCTCAAGGTCACTGCCGGGGGGGGGGGGGGGGGGGACCGGGGGAATTGCCCCCTTCACACCTCCTGGATCCGCCACTGCCAAGGGTCAGGATTTTCTACGTTAGTGGAATACAATCCATATCCAGTCTTTGACCGGGACTCCTGAACTTTGAGAAGACCACGTCTGCATATGTTTGTCCATCTTTCTGTCTCTATTTTCATTTTATGAATTCCGGCCCTTTCTGTAATCATTTCAAGGAGGAGAGAGGCGACCTTGTCACCGCTTACCACAAGAGGCTGACTGGTGATGATGAAGACGTCAAGATGACGTGTGCCAGGGCTTGGAGTCTATGGGAATGCTCTGTCTCCAAACTGGTTCCCGACAAAGAAGCAGCCATCAAAGTGACCAACGATCTCTGGGTGACTCAGTTTGCTAGGATTGAGAGGTATTAGTCAATGAACACTGTGTAAAAGGTCCCCCCAACACACACACACCCATAATTACAAAGAGAAAGTGGTAACCGTTTGGGAGCTCATACTTTGACTAATACAAACCGATTTGAAGATGGAAAGATCGTATTAATGTTTCCCCCTTTTTTTCTTCAGCCACTACATGATCAACAGGGGATTCTTAGAGTCGGACAGGTACATCTTAGATAACGCCATCAAGCTTAAAGACATTCCTTGCAGCATAGTTCAAGGACGTTATGATATTGTATGCCCACCTGAATCTGCCTTCAAACTACATCAGGTTGGTATTTTTCTTAATCCCCCCAAAATTAAAATTTGTTTGTGAGTGCAAGCTTCAATAACTATTTACTGGTAACATAGATAAGACACAGCCTTAAAGGGAAAATACAACATTTGCAAACATCAAAAAATAAGACTACCAAGTCATTTTGGAAATACCTTGCTGGACTGTTAGTGAATGACAGTGTAAAGCATCCTGTAAAATCATGGCACCTGGTATACTGTCATTTTCAAGAAAAGTGGTATTTTTGTATCAATTTCCAACGCTGATCGGCCGATCAGCGTTGGAAAAAACTGGCTTTTTTTCAAATACTGGCCCCAGTTGACCATCGCACTTGTTTGCAATCAATTACACACCTATGAACGGGTACAAGCCAGCTAGACTGGTTCCCTGACCTTACAATTCCCCAATATATGTAAACTGCTCTGTTTCTTCTTAAATGGAGTCAGGGAACCAGACTACAGGAAAATGATTGTTTTTCTTGGTTTTTATAGCATTTTCGAACCCAAAACCTCAAAAAAGTCAGTGTAACTATAATTGCTATATATTTCCAACCCCCCAATTCCATCCATTTCTGAAAATTACAGCAAAAGCAAATGATGAATATTCCCTTTAAACCAATAAGTGTAGAACTGGGCCAAGAACACACACATTTCTGGTCTACACAATGGGCTGGATTTAGCCCATTCATTGGAATTAAAGGGAATATACAACATTTGCAAACATCGAAAAATAAAACTTCCAAGTTTTCGGAAATACCTTACTAGGATGTTGTTAAACAACAGTCTAAAGCATCCTCAATATTATGGCACCTGGTGTGAAGTCTTTTTCAAGAAAATGGTATTTTTGTACACATTTCCAACGGTGGTTGGCAGACCACCATTGGAAAAACTTAACTATTTTTTAACTACTGCTCCAAACTTAACCATTTTTTTTTAGTTCAAATTTTGTTTGCTATAGGTAACATGTTCATGAAAGGGTGCAGGCCAGCTAAAACGGGTTTTCTTACTTTACAATTTTCCAGCATCTATAAATCGATCCATTTCATCTTAAGGGGAGTCAGGGAGCCAGACTACTTTAAAAGTTTTGTTTTTCTTGGTTTTTCCAGCATTTTCAAATGCAAAACTTCAAACATGTCAGTGTAACAATATTTGATCTAAAATACTAACCCCTCAAATAGTTCATTTCTGAAATTACAGCAAAAGCCAATGATGTACATTCCCTTTAAAGGGAAATCCTATACAATAGCACTGCCCAGCTCACAACTTTCAGTTAGTGAGTCAGTCAGTCAGTGATGAGATTGGTGAAAAGAGGACAAAAACTATGAATATCTTTGAAACATTTCTTTTCTCTCTCAGATACTTCCCAAATCAGAGCTTCATTTCCTTATAGCTGGCCACTTCTCTAAGGAACCTCTGATCCAAGAGAGTCTGGTGAAATCCACAGACAAGTACAAAACTCTGTAGAGAAAATCTATGTGAGTATAACATGCTGATCAGCTTAACATCGCTCTGTTTCAGGATTGATTATTGAAATGTGCAAACTGAAATTCCTTTGACGTGATATTTTCATGAGGCTTACATTACGTTTTTGAAGGTGTTGGGTTTCTAAGATACCCTCGGGTAAATCTAGTGTATGGATCAGAATGCCTGCACAGAGAGCTCTCAGATCATTTAGTGACAATAAAAGTACAATTAGGGGACTATTCATGCGTATCACAGAGAAACAATGAAATGTCCTGCGAGTACTGTCGCTATTAAGTTCGTTAGAAAACTGAACTCAATAAGACTGCTGTCGTTTAACACTGCTCCATTCACAACACCAGGGCCCAATTTCACGGCGCTGCTCAGCACACAAGTTTTTGCTAACAGAGCCATCCGTCTATTTCATGGAGACCGTAAGCATAAGCACAGCAAAAGGCACGCTTACTTCAGAGGAAATATTTGCTTAACTTAGTGACGTAACAAGAGAAATCTCCATGCACACGCGACTGTTAACACATCCTCGCTGTGAAATACTGCTTAAGGTTAGCAAATTTTTCTGCTATGCTAAACATAACTTTTCTGCTAATCGTTAAGCTAGCTAGAAATTGGGCCCAGCTGTTCAACACACCAACTACATGATAAAAATAAAAATTATAAAAGAGCTCCCCATCAAACAACTGAGGACGCTGTTCAAAAATAGCAGAGAAAAAATACACTGTTTAAAGCAACAGTGTTATTTTTTTGGAAAACAGTAGTCTTTTGTAACATTCACGAAGAGCACTGCTGTCATTTTCTCAGGTTTTGATACAACTGTGAATATAATTTTAAGAATATCAATTCCAATGGTTATAATTGATTTGAAGTTTAAAGCTATAGTCCATCATTTGCAGCCATCCGAAAAGTAACTGGCGTAATTATTGTTGAAAAACAAACTTGGTTGAAAGATAGTAAGGGAACTAAACTCCCTGTGAAATTATTCTTTCTGGGAAGCTGTCATTTTGAAGTAATCAACGAAAGAAGGCCTCTCCAACGGTGATTCTTAAGAAGCACCGTAGGAAAATTTAAATTAGTAGTTCGTTTTGTTATTCAGCGCAGCGGGCGCAAGTATTGGAACGACGCACACGCGCGTGCGGTTGTTATAATTCGTCGGATCAGTGCGCGACATCGCGTATAGCTGCAATTCAAAACAATTCAAAACATGATTCAGTAACTTTTGATTTGAAATTGAGATCTTAGAATGCTGTTTTTCTCGGAATGTACAGCTGAAGCTGAGCTGAAACTTCATCAGGTTAGTTGCTCAGTATCCTTCATTAGATTTTGAACACTTTTGTTGCTTCAAACGAACAAAATGCACAAATTACAAATGATGGACTGTAGCTTTAATACCTTTTATTGTTAAACTTTCTGTTGTGCATGCTATGCATAAGAATAATGTATTACCGGAGTGTGTGATGCTCAGTGGAAAAAAAATGTTTTCTTTACCGGTTTTCTCTGTAATTTCCTTTTTTTTTTTAAAGATGTTTAATTGATCATATTTATAGGATGCGAAAATTTCACATCCACTTTCACAATGTTGCTTATACAGTTAATTAAGCTAAACCCAAGAAAGAATATAATAGAAGTAATGGCTTTGTCAAAATATTCCCATCTAACGATGTTGTTTTTTAAATTGTTATTATTTTCCTTGAAACGCTATCAATTATTTTCGTTCCTCTTTTTTTATTACTCATTTTACTCTATTGAATATTTAGTGGATAGTTGACATTTTATAATGATAAATTAAGTTCTTGGCTTTCGAGTTGAATGTTTGTATATTTTAATTTCTTGCTGGTTTCGCATGTTTTGATGAGGAAGTCTCATAAAGACTTTTGTTTTTGCCACATTTTTTTTTATTTTGCCATTCTGTTTGAGTTCTTTACATTTGACCAGTTGATCAACATAATCTTATCTCACAACTGTATTACACCTTTCAAATATAAATGTCAAATTTCGATAAAAAATGAACAATGCGAAATGGAGCACTAGTCTCTTTCGCAAACGCAAAGCGCCCTCATTCCCCAGGTATAGATGGAGAAAGATATATGCCATTCCCGAAATTTTGGCCGAACTTCAGTATCCGGCTTCAAAGCCCAAAACCGTTAGCTTCAGCACATGTCTGGCTCTTTATGTGCATATCAAAGCCGTTAAGAATGTATTTAAGCAGGGGTGTGAAATCTCAGCTTTTAAGCTGATTTCAGCTTTTTTTGTTTTGGATTTCAGCTTTTTTTCCCTCACTTGCTGTGTACAAAAGTATAGTAGATTTCCAAAGTTCAGCTTTTTTACACCTTTTTCATCTGTTTTCAGCTATTTTTATCAGTGGTCACTCACACCCCTGTTTAAGATTTAAGCCCGAGTCGTATCCTGTCGAGTTGAATTCACATGTATAAAGGTTCCCAGCTGGCACTCGGGACAGAGAATCGGTACCGCACCGCGTCGCGCACTGCACCTAATTTTGAGGTAACAAAATGGCCCTGTACTCCCTTCGTGTATGTGCACGTTCCCACTGTCAGGTTCACTAGTACTGGTGGTGCAAACCTTTGCCTTGACCCTAGATTATGTAAACTCTGCCAAAACCAGAGAGGAAGACGAAAAACATCTGATTTGGGTGCTGAGCGATATAAGCAGTGTTATCGAAGGCACATCGTTCTTAGCGATTTATTGACTTCTGACGATATAAAGTTTGGATATGGGGCGGTGTCCCGGAGCGGGGGTACTACTCACAGATACAACTCTTGTCATGCGCGGTGCATGCTGCTTTGTTTAAACGATATAGCTCCATGTTTAAACTAACATGGTTGTTTAATTAAACAATAACGTATGAGATTGATTATCACTATAACTTAAAATTGAAAATATATATAGATTATGTTGTCCCTACACATATACCTTGAACTTATCACTAAAACATGTCACTTGAAAGTGATCTAACGAAAACAATTATGGAGCTCGTTTATACAAGAGACCTTTGCGAGTGTAATAAAGATATTTCGCACTGCAGTCTGGTAACCGACACGCAGTGTGGGTCATAGTAATGTATCCCAAGGTATGGCGTTGGTCTAGACCGCCGACATGCTGGCTGCCTATAGAGTCGACCCATCTAACACTGACCCGTATTCTTAGCTAGCTGCAATAAACTCCTTGGTGGTGTCTTATGATGATGGATAAACGTAATCATGAGTGGTAGTTTCAGACCCACCGGAATTCGCAAAGCTAAATAAAAAACGGGTGTTTAAAATGTGATATTTTGCTATATTTGGAAATGGTTTCCCAAATAACCAACAAAACAAAGAGGTAATGCCAGATTTCTTGACACCCGGTCCATGATTTTCTCCCCTTCCCTGGCCATGTAATCCTGAGTGTACTCCATGGTAAGACGAACTCAAAGTCCAAACAATCGAAAGTTCTCGGGCGACAGGCCAACAGTTTCGGCACAGGTGGTATTTCATTTACTGAGCTCGATACAAGTCACCCTGAAGTCGAGGAAATGTGGTCATAGGCAACGTCGAGAATGTTCATGAAAGCTTTGCGTCGTTAATCGACCCTGGAATCTCATTAAAAGCAGTGTATAATCGGAATCGTTACCACGGCAACGTAATGAATGCCATTATTTTGTTTGCCGGAACTGACCTTTGTTATGACGTGTTGATTTTGGAAGGTGGTGGAGATTCCATTAATTGGAAGGGGGGGGGCTTCACTTTTTATGACAGTTGATAATTATTCCCGTTTCCTGACTGTAATTCACATCACACACTTGTCGTTATGGTGAAATACTTGATTGCAATGGTGTTTTCATGGTTTTGGTTTGGGATTGGAGTAAATCTTTGAACTTATCCTTGACCCTCGAAGAATTGTCCATTCATTGACATCTGTTTTCAAAAGAAAACTACGGCGAACCTGTACTCTAGTACTAATAATATTGGGTTAACTTGGAAAAAGACGTCATTATGTCGTCAGTCGAACAGGAAATCCCAGTTACTGTGCATCTTGTAAAAACGGTGCTTAAATTAAATTAAACCTGAAACCCGATCGGACTTGTTCCAAGGTCTTCTAGAAAACCCCCCGCAATATTACTAAATTTGTGTAAATCTGGAGAATTTCAGTTCGTGTACATAAATCGTATGGGACATCTTTAGTTAAAGACCATTGATATGATATGCGCTTGAATCAAGGATAAACGAATCATTGAACAACTGCCGAAGGAACAAAAGTTTGCGGCTCAATCACGTAACCTCTCAGCGATACGCGTTCCGAATGCGGTCGAAATTCCTCCTAAGCGAATTACAAACTCTTGAAGAATTTAGCGACCCCCAGCTGCCAAGACACGACCGCAGACGGTTAATCCACTCCCGCGACTTCCAATCGCGTAAATAAGACGAGGACTGATTTCATCACCAGACACCCACCCTCCATCAAGGCAATCCAAGGGGTAAACTCTTGGCAGGAGTCGGTAGATCAAGTCCTTTGGGGATCCTTGGGATAATGAAACCCAGCCGTATCGAGAAGGCCAGATTGTCCAACATGGCTCACCAAGTCACCAGCAAACCGACACTTCTTCTTCTTCTTCTTGAACTCTCCATTATCTGTTTACTTCTTCCTCTCATCAGCGCAAACGATAACACAGACAAGGTAAGACACGACATTTCCTACCATTTTTTAATTAAGCTGCCATTGCAATTCGTTTCTCTTCTTTTCAATTTACATTGGTACCTTCTCTTGGTCTCAATGTTTTGAAATCGTAGGTTAAATACACTTATAGTCGTGTCGTTAAAACTAGACCCCGCAGAGTTATCGGCGTATTTTTGTCGATGTTTATTTTCGTAGGTAAGACCTTGATTGCCATTATGTGACATGAGTGACATATTGTCATAGTATAACTATAGGTAAATCACATCTGGACTCCCAAACGAACTTAAAACGTCAAAAAAATACAAGGGTTACCGTTAAGAAGCAAAAAACACCGTAACTAAAACCAACTAAGACGCATAAACTGACTTTGTTATCGTCGAGACATTGTATATATATTCATAACTTCGCCCACAAGTTTTTATTTCTCAAAATCTGTAGTTTTTTAGTACTGTGAAAGCAGCAATTGTAAATACTGAAAAAAATGGAAAATATACATATGCCAAACATTGCTTTATTTAAAAGTACAAAAGTGGATTCAACCTTGCACGTCGTTGTATATCATAAAAAAATATTAATGGGGATGTGGAAGGAAGCATACAGTTTTAGGAAGCAAGAATTGGCAAAATCCTCGCAAAGCATCTCAAGTCTTCAACAACACAATGTGGAACTCCCATCGAAATAAGCGGGAGCATATTCATCACTACAACCACCAGAGCATCAACAGTTCAATCAGTTCCCAACTCTCTCAATTTTTCTTCCTTTCGGAAGGAGCCAAAAAATGAAAATAGACTGTCAAATTCGTTATAAATCCCGTTGAATGGTGTCCCATCGGGGGATGGGGTGGAGGTTTCTGAGCTTTTTTGCAGATGGAAAAAGGCACCATGTGGGTCAGTATTTCATCGACATGCTGAGATCAGAAAACAGCGAACTACTTGAACTTCGGTGCACGCTCCTGATCCAATCTGCGGTTGCTTCTTCGCACTTTAACCCCTCACGTATAGATCTCATTAATGACGAAATTGCACAAAAAAAGTTCGTCTTGTGTGTTGAACTTTTGCAATCACAACTTGACTCTCCATATGGAGATACAATTGTTACCAGACGTGTTTCTTTGTAATAACATACCCTTGCAATAATTTGGATCGTTTTTATTTAGTTGTTTTTACTCTGTCACGATCATCATCGTTTTAACAGAATATCTACAAAAAGTGTGGGGCAAATCCAATTTTTATTTACACCTATCCGTTACATACCTCTTCTGAAATAATAGCTTCAGAATGATGCAAGCTTCTTTATGTTTTTTCTTCAGTAAATAAGCCCATGTATCGATTCAATCGAAAGTGATTCTGGTTTGGAAACACTGTTTCGATATTGTCACAACTTTGTCTAGGCTCGATTTTTATTCCTCATTCCCGCATTTTACAATTTGCCTCAAGTGAAACAAAAGAACACTTAAACCCGGGCAATAAAAATAATGCTCGTGTTTGATTAGATGACAGGATGATATGATAGGAAGAAAATCATGCAATGATAAAAATATCTAGTGTATTTCTTGCTGGTTTATTCGTCAGGTTATTGACTTGTTGCAAGGACATCGCAGTAAGAGATTTGTAGAGGTGCCTAGATCATGGAGATACACACGCCATGCTATTGATGTGTTGAAGCACGATCTCAACAACAATGACTTGTATTGTAAGTTCTGGAGCTTCTATCAAAACGTCCAATATTAAAATGATAATAAATAAACGAATTTTAAAACATTAAAATATCTCAAACAAACCAGATTGACTGTGAGCAGATGTCTTAAGGTCAATCTTACTTGAATGGAATAATCACAGGAACTACATATGCTAATTCGCTGGAAAATAGGTTACCAGCCAAACTGCTTTTTACCTGATTTTAAACGGTGGATGTGACTGGTTCCCGGCTTATTTTTTTAAGCGCTTTGGTATAGAAGCTCAGTAAAATTGGGACCAGGTTCTAATATTTGAATTTTCCAACTTGGACACAACTTGGGGCCGGCGGTCAGTTTAAAATTTATTTAGAAAAAAAACCCTTTATTCTCTCTCGGTCATGACCAGTTTGTCGAGGTGATGCCTTCCGTGGGGTCCAGTGCCCAGAGGAACCATTCTGCGCAGCCTGGGATCAGATCTGCGACGGGGAGCAGATATGCGCCCTGGAGCATAGAGCTGAGTGCTTGGAGAGGTCCGAGGCATCCTTTGGCCGTATGGATTCTAGGCTTTGTGACGGAGATGAGAATCCCAAATGGTGTCATTGGAAATACCAGGCACCTGTCAGTACGTAAAGTTGTTAGAATTTGTTTTATTGATTTGTTATGTTTTCAGAAAAATCCTAGCATGCCAGTTTTGCGGATCTAAGCATTTCAAAGGTAACTAAGACGAAGATGAGGAGGATGCCTTTGCCACTTATTGCCAGGATCCTTTGGGGATATACCAATTTCGTCACCACTCAAAAATGACAGTGTTTTACCATTACGTATCATTCTTACTATCTTGTACTTTCATGGTTGCAAGTATAAAAAAGAGTCATGACCTCTGTAGATCACTGTCTGTATGCCTGCCATCTTGCAACTTCTCATGGAATTTGTCGCTGTTGTGATTGTCACTGTCGTTGCTCATGTGTTGGAAGAGGCTACCCCCTCCACCCACTTTTTCTTCAAAATATTTAAAGTAATATATTTTGTGTGACTATCTCCGTAGGATGTGGAGAGGACATCTTCCTAGGACCCAACAGACGAAAGTACCGGATCCAATCCCCCGGGTACCCTGACCTATACCCCGGGGACTACTACTGCTTCTGGACCATCTCGGTCCCTGAAGGTCACACTATGACCGTCGAATTCAAACGTTTCGAGACTGAGCCCAACTATGACTTGGTGTCCCTCGGCACGGGCTACAATCGGGAGAACGAACGCTCTGTGATCATCTTCAATCACAGCGGCTTAAAGAAGCCATCTCCCAGTAAGTTCGATGTCAATAGCAACACTGTCTGGTTGACCTTCAAGTCTGATGATTGGGAGAACTTCAAAGGATTCTCCATCGAGTTCATGGACGGAGAGAAAAACCGTAAGATACATTTTGCTATCACGGAGAGATACGAACCAGTTGTGTGGCATTCTTATAGAATGATTTGGTGGCAGCGGTGGGATCAGCAATGTGATGAGATGCATAGCAGTACATTGCAAAAATTGATTTGATTATTTGATTATTGTCAGTTTCTGTATGAATAATTGCTTACATCTTTTCTGAACAGATTTTGGAGTTCTGGGAAGGAGTCCCTTCAATCAGGAGCCTAATAGAGGTAAAATATTCATCGACGAAGCTTGGAAAGATAATGTTCATTAACAATTGAAACTATCCAGAGCCTTAACAAAAACTTTGGATTCTGAAGAGTCGCTCTTTCTTTGCTCTTAGATTGCGGCGGTAAAATCCTCATGCAACCCGACAAGGAGACCGCTGTCCATTCACCACGCCACCCAAGGTTCTACCCTAACAACATCGAGTGTGAATGGGTCGTGTCGATCGAGGAGGGGCTCCGTATTCGAATACATTTTGAAGCCGTGAGTTTTGATTTTTTTGGGGGGGATTCATATTTTGTTCGTAATTTGACTAAAAGATTTGATGACAGATGCTTGATGAGCACACATCATTTTCATCACCACCTCCACCTTCCTCGTCATCCTCCCCATCAGTGGCGTAGCCAGGAATTTTTCAGTGGGGGGGGGGGGGGGGGGCGCTGGGGGGGGCGCTGGGGGGGGGGGGGGGGCTGGAACATTTCATGGGGGGGGGCGTCATGTAGATCAATGATAATTTTTTTAGAAACTCAAAATCTCAGTGGGGGGCGCTGTCGCCCCCCCCCACGCCCCCCCCCCCCCCGTGGCTACGCCACTGCTCCTCATCAACCATCCAAAGTCTTCCACCTACATCCAGCCATCTTAATCTCCTCCTCGCCTTCTCTTGCCAGTTCGATGTGGAAGAAGTCAAAGACCATCTCAGCGTCGGAAATGGCGTCAGTAGCAGACGGGCCCCGATCCTCTACAAATACAGCAGTCGCACCAAACCCGCTGATATCATTTCAAGGGGCAGTGACGTCTGGTTTAAGTTTGTCACCAGCATTGCGGTCGCCCGCACGGGCTTCAACGCGATCCTGACAGAACAACCTATTAACGGTATGTCACCTTTAAATATTTGAATTGGCAACTTTTGAATTTATTGCTGTTAAAACTGGAGGACTGGTAACTTTCTTTCAACTGTAAGATATTAGTAGTTTCTTCTTTTTTCGATGTAAGTAGTTTCTTCTTTTTTTAATGATAGCTTTCAGTAGACTTAAAAGTGTGACAATGACAAGAAATCGTTTTGACATATTTACGCAACTCTGTTTAAAAAGAGAGGATTTATAGTAGTTGTTAGAAGTTACTTATTTGGTTTATGCCGGCTATAGGTGCTGACTAAACGTACCAACTTGATGAATTGCCACTTTTTCCCAAACAGATTGTGGCGGCATTTTCACAGTCCCCAGTCACGGCAAGATGAGTTTCGGTTCCCAAGACTATCCCAACAACTACCCGGCCGACACCGACTGTCTCTGGCAGTTCCGGTCCGGTTCCAACCGTCGCATCCACATCGGATTCAAGGATTTCGACTCGGAGTACGCTTACGACGTGATGCGCATTGGCAACGGATTCGAACCCAACGTCAACGGGTCTAATATCGAGATAGAGCACAGCGGAGACTCTTTGCCCGGTTATAGCGAACCTGGAGACCTGGTATTCGAGTCTGCCGGACCGGTGGCTTGGCTGGACTTCAAGGCGGATGATTTCAACCAGAAGAAAGGATTCCGATTCAATGTGTACAATGAGGATTCGTCACCCTGGTGAGTTGTTTTAATCAACACGCTCTCACGATAGCTTCCTTACAGTACAAATCGAACCAAGTGTTGGCCTACTTGAAGTTATAACGAAGAGACTTAAACACGATACATGTATTGTTCAATTGGATTTCATATCTGAGATGTGTAAGTCGTTGTATGTGATATTCAACAATTCTGGCAAAAGATGCCGTACGTTTGAATTGACTTGCTCAGTTTTGTGAACTCTGAACTGGGTTTGACTGTTTGAACCGAAATTTAGACCACTTTGTCTATGTCACATGGTGCTGTTGGAACACCAATCCAATGCACCAAGACCAAAGTTTGAGATACTCTTCGTTTAACGTTGTTTGACAATTTGCACTTTCTGTCAGGGTTGTGGCAGAGTCCATCTCCTACGGAGAGCCAACATCAGACACAGATGTTTTAGTAGTAGGCTTCAGCGTGGGAAGCGAGTTACCAGGCATACAGCTTCAAGACCAGGAAGTTGATGATCCCAATGCCCACCAAGGGAGTGATCAGGACGCCACCAACGGCGGGAAAACAGAGCCTGAACCTCAGGAGCCTGAACCTCAGGAGCCTGAACCTCAGGAGCCTGAGAACGTGGACGTTGTCACCGACCAAAACCAAGACCAAGTCAACACCGACGGGAATTCAGACACCCAAAGACCTCCCAAGAGAGGAGGCAAGAAGCCGAAGAAGAACAAGAAACCCACGACGCAGGCACCCACGACAGAAGAGCCCACGACGACGACAATGGCAGTGACAACCACGGAGGCAGTCATGACAACCGAGGAAGAGACCACGTCGTCTGACGCTGACGCCGAGGACAGTTCCAGTTACAGCTCTGACTACGAAAGCGGATTCTCCACGTCTTCTTCTAATTAAAGAACCACCGCAAAGCATGGGCACAGAGGCGACACAATCTGCAAAAAGTTGAACTTTTGTCTCTCAATATCCATCATGCATTTATATTTTCCCAAGTTATCTTCATCTGAACACAACCTTATATCCATATACATAATCTTGCATAAGATTTCAATTGTTTTAATCTTAAACTGAGTTTTGATATTTTAAATGAGTTTTTTTGGGGTTCAAGTTTTATTTTTAGTAAGTCAAATTTTAATCGCCAACATTATGTCTTGCGATGTACGCAATATAATGCCAAGATAATTTTTTGTATAGCTTTAAGAAACTGTAGCAACCAAGTACATTTTGTAATTATTAAACTCAGTGTCTGATCACTCGAATTAGGGTATACATCATTGGGCTATGATTGACCAAACAAGTACACGCAAGAAGAAGTTCTGGCTTGACCAATCAGAAATGAAAGGGCAAGATTTTCAACCAATCAAATCTCCTGTTATGACAGTGTTAGTCCTTGTGACCTTGTTTGGTAAATGCACCTGACGCACTATCACGGGGTTTAAATTACTAGGTAATTGGGTTATACCCATGGTTATACGTTCAGGCTAAATACAAAGAACAGCTTGGAAACATGTGGTACCAATTTCTGACTTAAAAAACTCAACATAACTAGGAAGTTCACCTGCGAATGCATTCAATAAAACACGTAGGAGCAAGGCCACAATTTTAAATCACGATCTTAATAATCCAAGTTTATAAATAGATTTTGATCAATGTTTGATCCACCTTTAATCGTTTGGTGTATTGACGAAGAGGGCGCAATGCGCCTGCCAATTATGACAAGTTACGTGTATAGTAGAATTTGAATAATGTAGTTATTAGCAAATTCTAAAATAAATGTACACAACGTTTCACTTGCTGTACAGTGAAGTACTTGATGAATTTGGTAATAAACCACTTCGTGTACGCACATTTAAGCGAGTGATAGACCTGCTGGATTTATTTACTCGGTTTCTCTAGAACCGAATAATTCCAATTTATTGACCCAAGGTCGTAAACGTGTACAGACTGTGACTTTCTATCAGTTGGAGCCCATAAAAGTCGAGAAATTATTATGAAAGAATTTTTGCAAACAAAGAAACAGTGGGTTTTTTTAAAATTAAAATAAAAAATATTTGTCTAGGGGCTATTATACATGTTCGAGTCACGATATGATTATGAAGGAAACATGGGGATACACTTTTTGGGGGAGGGTGGAGGGGCTGAAATGAGCCCGCTGATTCCATCCCGTGCACCTGTCGTCGACTTGCAAAAGTTCATTGTTCTGACCTCTCACTAGCGACTAATAAATCACTCATGTCCAAGGTTAGCGCTGTGCTTTTGGTTTAGGCCATTAATTATGTTTTCGGCAAAAACGAGCTTATACCAGCATGACCATTGCGATATATTAACGCAAAGTAATAATCGTACAATAATTGGTTCATGCAGTTATACAAAGTTACGACGAAAAAAAAAATCACTCAAAAGAATGTTTCTTTCCCATTTTTTATTCGAAATGCCATTTGCTGGCTTCTGAAAAAAATGGGTACCTCATAAACTCGAATATCTCAAGGGCCCATGGAACATACTTTGGTTTTCTGGTGGCCAAGCCTCTCAGCACATAAAAGTCGTTTCTGATGATTAGTTGATATTTCCCCAAATTTGGAGCACTGGAAATCCATTAATTTTCGATCTTATAATGTAATTGTTAAAAAAAGAGAGGAGATTTTGATGCATGACCTGCTTTAAATTGAACTTGTATAAGGCAGTTGACGTCGTCGTGCACGTAGCCTTGAGAACCTTATGTAGTTATTTTTTTTATGTTTGTACAGTGCAACGCTTTTAAAAACAAGGTCGAGTTGACCAAGATGGTTTTATATGAAAGCTTTTTTTATTCTTAGCAAATTTGCCTGCTTAATAAAAGATGATCCACACCAGTCACAGCTACTATACAACACAATGTGTTATAATATTTATCAAGCTCACATGTTTTCTCTAAGCATAAGCAAATTACTAAGCAATCTAACTGCAGGTTAGTTGCTCAAGGGATAACACCCCTTTTAGATGTTCACCCGATTTCTTGGAGTTGACTCACACGTTTTTAATCAGTAGTTAAGTAGAACCGTCCTACGCATTATTTGGAAACCGTTACCGCATAATGTTACGATAAAATATTAATTTCTTGAGGTATTTTTTTCCCCGCAGGGTGGCGCCACAAGCTACAGCTGTAGGCGAGATGTCGCAATTTATTGTGATTAAATCAACAGGTGCTGCGTGTACTAAATCTTAAAGGAACCGTTTAATAATCACCACTTGATGATATTGATTTCTGAATGAGTATTGGTGAGAATGTGTTTAATATTTTGTACACGGTCACTCTGTCCATGCTGCGTTAAAAGTCAGTAGTCAGACAATTGCAAGAATATGCATAATGCATGTGTTTTAATATAGTTTATGGTGCAGGATTAAGTCCTTTTACATCTGTTTACGACGAAAATATGTTCGAAGTTGTGAATTTTAAACTCATCAAGTGTGTCGATAAGGTAATGTGTTCACATTACGAATTGTGTGGTTATTTGATAAAGCTTGAGCCACCATCTTTCATCAGAGGACTCCGTTAAGCTTTCAGCAACTTTCCGGAGCTGTTACCTAGGTAACCATCTCCCCCTGTGGCGGTAGTTCACGGTAAGTCAGCCTTGGGGTTAATTCGAGTTTTGGCAGAACCCAGCCGGCGGGCTCGCCCTGATTGGTTCCTCCTTCTAACCCCCTGAGGGCCTCCCCACGGCCCTAAAGATTGATTTTCCATCTCCCGTCTCAATCCCAACTTTCCCCTGTCTCTTAAGATTTTGGCATCCTTTCCTGACACCTTGCACAACCCATAAATTAATGAAAGGAATATTAGATGACAAAACACCGGTGTGAAACAAGAAAACGCTGGTACGCACGATTTGGTGTCACGCAGCATCGATGAGTGCAACACGGAGCACTAACCCCATCACCAGTAAAAGTCTCACTACCCACCCCCATAAATCTTCTGGGAACTTGTTTCCCAAGTGAGCTGAGCCCCGGTTCTTGTGGCTGGGTTTGCCTTGTCTGGGTTGCCCTTTGTGGAGGCGTTGGATGTTTTTTTTATAGTTTTTTCTTCATGTTATATTTGCTGACGCGTCACATCGTAGGCGACTGGTAGCGTCTTATTAAAAACACCGGCTCTGCGTGCAAACCAGCGGAGACTGGTTGGGTTTTACGGGGCCAGGAGTTTACAGGGGTCTGAACTTTTTTGGGCGATTGTTTGGACGGTTCTAACTGATCATGGGCCGGCAAATCTGGATCTTGTGGCTGGTGCTGTTAGCGGGGATTCTGTGGGTGGAAGCCCGACCGAGAACGGCTCTCTTCGGCTATGAAACGGTAAGAAACTCGACTGTAAAACGGTTCACTGAGTCCCAAATTGTTTCTTGATATTTCACTCTTACCTTAGCCACGTTAGCTCTATGGTCTCGCAAAGCCCGTCTGTCTGACCTTGTCCCAACCTCTGCTCGTTACAGATTGGTATCGAATGTTCAACAAACGCCCGAAGGGCTTTCATCTTTACGCCTCAATTTGCGTCTGGTTTTTCGTTTACTTTTTAATCCTCCAAAGGCTACTTTTGTTTTACTTATTGCGTTATAGTTGGCCGCTAAAGGCCATTTTTTATTTGTTGCCTGATAAGTCCTCAATTAAATAATGCCTTCAAAGTGCTTTGTTTCGAGGTACCAATAAATACGCCATTTAAAATATTTCGAAAGTAAAGTGTTTCACTTTCAGCTGACTAGTTTATTAAAGACGATTTCACAAGTAATTAGAGAATTGGGCTACACAGCTGATTTCATTTTGGCCGTATTGATTATAGGGTAGGACCTAGACCTATACAACCATGTTATAACCATTTTTAATTTTACGTAAACGCCATAATGATTCACACAATGTACACACAGGCATATTTGTCTTAAAAGTAAACCACATTTAGTCTACGTCTCTGTAATTTTTCTAAATCGAGATCCTGTTCATCAGGATAAAACTGGTCAGTACACTACTGAAAATGGCTGCTGTGTTTTAAAGTCATAATCGTCGGACCATTTGAGCGAATATTACGTGAGAGAAATTTGCCTGGTAAACTACTGTACGTTTCGCCTAAAAGGGGAAGAGACAGTTTGCAAAGTGACGTACAAAACCTTATTTAGTTTTTATATCTGACGAGGATCAACATTCTTGGGGTGATTAACATGTTTCTTGTCGATTTACTGCTTAAAGGACTGTACCGAGTCTAGCAAGCTCGTTGGCCTACAAATATTGCTGACATAGCTTTAGCTATGAAAATACAAGTACACGGCACCCGAGGTCTTTGTATTGTAGGACATAATGCACGTAGGGACACTAAACATTATTAAGTTGTGAATCGCAGAACGAAGAAGTCGTTAACATACATGTACATCTGCTTTTTTATGCATCCCCCAAATTGTATCTTTTTAGTTTTAAGACATTAAGGTTGTAATACGTAAATGAATCTATCATTTTAGGTTTAATTAAGAAATGTTGTTTCTAATGTCTTTATGAAACGCGGTTCGTATAGCACTTTCTGAAGATTTAGAAATACTAGTAGGTCTACATTCGGCTCTCCAAAAATACATATAACTACGGGTGCTGTTTTTGGATGTTCTTGTCGACTAAAGAATGGTTGGGGGATTTGAGAGTGTTATGTAAATAGTTTTTGCAAACATACATTGATGTTTGATGACAGATGGAACCGGATGTAGGCAATGTCACTGCTCGATCGCCCACATGGTCACCTGTTGCTCTTAGACTTGGGCAAAACAAATTGAAACGTGACTCAGAAATTCTTCGGGGAAAAATGAGAGACGACCAAAGGTGTACAGCTAGTGTCATCCGCGAACACGTTGTGCTGATAGGGTTCGACCCCATGTAACCCACATGTTCTGGTTAATAGAGGTTAGAAACAGTTCAAGGAGACAAGTTTCTCACGGCCGGTCGCCTTGGTCGGTCTATCGTGCTCATACTTTGCCCAGGTGTGATTGCACCTGGTGTGATATTAATGTTGATGCAGATAGCGACAGACGACCCCGCGCATGCGCAGTCTGCATGGATACAATCTGATCACGGGAATCGTTCTTACCCCATTCCACTTCCGTTGAATTATTCTGGAAAACCCGGGCCGCGCATCTGTTCACTTATTTCAATTTAGTAGTCGGCCAGCTCTTAAAAGGAATTAATTAAGCTATCACGTAATTGATTCTCAAAGTTTATCTTGTACTTTGTATGAGAAAAAATGTGGTGTGGTGTTTTACAAAAATAAGTGGTACAACCAAGATGATCGGATGCAGCAATCACCATTGTTGCTTTAATATGGTGTACATTTTGTTAATAGCATTCCTTGGTCCCAGGCCGAAACATCTTCGGAGTCATGTGTCTTATCACTTACCTATATAAATGGTCGACCGCCAACAATGTCTTATTTTCATAAGGTTTGGTGCGGATTTTCTCAGACCGTTTGGTCCAAATCATTCCTAATTTCTAGCTCATAGGGTCGCAGGCCAAGGGAAATCCAAGCTCGTTATTTCTCCGGAGTGTACGTGCTGAGCTTAAAATCTTATCTAATTTTGGGCTAAATGCCAAACTTTATGAGCCAACTGTTCACGACAGCACGGGTCATAGTCGTTCAATCCCTCTGTACTTTTCAATTGAGGGCGCTATTTACACCACCATCACAATGAGAGTTGTGAATTGCCCTTAAAGGGATAGTCGAATGACACACATTCAAGAAACACTATACAGAAGACAAGTTTAGGCCAAAAAAGGGTCTCCGGTTTCTGGTATGCGCGCGCGTCGCCGCAGCCATGCGCGTCGGCAAAATGAAAAAGTTTTTTTTTTTTTCAATGTAAGATGATGTCTCAAAACCGCCAAACTCACTGGTTTGACTGGAACCCTGCTGCTGCACAATTTTAACGTGTTTTTAGATGGGGTTACGATCGAGTATAAGCTTTATGTGGCCTCTCTGGACTGCCATATATTTGCACTAAATTTAGTCGGGCACCATTTGCAGTCATCAGCCGACATTTGAAGGAAAAAAAACGGTAAAAAAAAAAAGCCGCGTCGCCGCACCACTTTTGGGGCAAGCTTCATACCAGAAACCGGAGACTTTTTTTTTGGCCTTAATTAAATAGTTTTTCTAAGGCTATGGAGGGTCACATGCAATATTATCCTTGCCCTACAAAGAACAAAGATACGCACAATACCGGCAGAAAACTCGAACGATAGGCCTACATTGTAAAACCTTTTGAAAATAAGACATTGTTGGCGGTCGGCCATTTCTATAGGTAAGTAATAAGACACATGACTCCGAACTGATGTTTCGGCCTGGGACCAAGGAATGCTATTGAACTGTCATTTTTCTTTTTATGAACCATTTTCTCACCATGCCTTTCATCATCTTACCACTCCTCCATGATCTTACAGGCTGGACAAGATGATGAGGAGAATTTTCTGAAGCGAGTCCGGCGCCAGACCGATGGAACCCCGACTACCATGAGGCAGTCTAAGTACCTGCTGTCCATCCTGAACCAACTCATGGATGACCTCAGCCTGCAAGGTAAGACCGGATGTATCAACCACTTCCGGGTCACTTATAGGGGACTACACTAAGGCCTACTCAAGGGCGGATCCAGAACACATTTTTTTTTTGGGGGGGGGGGAGGCAAAAAAATGTTGGTCCCCAAAAAGTGGGTCCAAAAAATTACGGCGTGGGGTTCGGGGCCTGCTTTAAGGTAACATACAACATTTGCAAACATCAAAACACGAAATATCTTACTGGATTGTTAGGGATCGACATTCTAAAGCACCCAATAAAATCGTGGCTCCTGGTGTGATGACAATTTTAAGAAAAATTGAATTTTTCCAATGCTGGTCGGCCGACCAGCGTTGGAAAAAACTGGCTTTTTTTCCAAAATTGCTCTTAATTTTCCATAATTAGTTTTTCCGCATTTTTTGTGCAATTGATTACACACATGTGAAGGGGTACAAACCTGTCGGACTGGTTCTCTGCCCTTACAATTCCCCAAAGTCAACAAACTGCTCCGTTTCATCTTAAGTGGGGTCAGGGAAGCAGACTACAAGAACATGGTGTTTTTCTTGTTTTTCCCCCCAGCATATTCAAGCCCAAAGCGTGAAACAAGTCTGTTTAATAATATTTGCCATCACATTCTAATCCCCCAAGTCCATTTACTACTGAAAATTACAGCAAGAGCAAATGTTGTACATTCCCTTTAAGGGCCCCCTTGGGCCTACTCCTGTTTATTCATACCAGCACTTCTAATAGGAAATGACCACTATTATATTAGATATCAATAAACAAGGTATCTTTACCTGTTTGTCTATGCAGTGTGCGAAGGAGACATCACCAAAGGCGTGCAGTGTCCCGAGGAGAACCTCTGCGTACCATGGGAAGGGATATGCGACGAGGAGCAGGTTTGTGGAATGGAGACAAAAGCTGGCTGTCTAAACAGCTCCTCCGTCACCTACGGCGTGCCTCAAGAAAGACTATGCAATGGAGATGAGAACAAGGACTGGTGCGTGCTGCCGCAGTATATACCCAATAGTAAGTAGACGGGATACCAGATCTCGTGACGCCATAGTGTGTCCCCGTGAGCGTGTGACTTTGTGCTTTCCGCGTTATATTAATGACGAGACCTGGAAACAAGGGCCAGTAGGCTGAGCGCGGAAAACCATTACTCAGCGAAAGCAGAATACCGGCCAATTATTTCCTCGCACGAAATCGCCATATTTGGAATCAAAGCAAGACTATGGCCTCGTCCCAATTTCTTGTTTTGAGCTATTGTCCAGATCTTCACCCATTACAGCTACGTGGGAACTAACTGACAATAGACGTAGCTCTGGAAGCTCGTTTTGGACACAGCCCCAGCTTGCAATGCGAGTGTTTTGTGTTATTAATATTTTTTTATTGCTAAGCAATTGCGTAATGGGAAACATTCAAGTGACTTACTTTTGCAAAACAGTGAAAACCTCTCTTTCAACGTTAGACCCACCACTGCGTACATAGGCAACAAAACGTCTGCGATTTGCCAAACGTCATGAGCCGGGACTTCGAGCTTCCTGAAACGAATGATTATTTGTGGATGTTTTAGTGATTTGCCAGTCTTTTTAAGTAAGAGTGTCTTTCCTCTTTTTTCGCAGCCTGTGGCAGTGTGGTGAACGTTCCCAAGGGAGGCAAAGCTACCGTCTACTCACCATACTTCCCCGGTAGCTACCCGGGTGATACCCAGTGCGAGTGGTCCATCCAAGGTGCGGAAGGGGTCCGCCTGAGCGTCAACGCCAAGAGCTTTGAGTCAGAGGAGAACTACGACTACATAGACATTGGGTCTGGCAAGATGAAGGAGGATGATAGCACTCATTACATCTACAAGCACAGCGGGCAGAAGCTCCCGCCAACACCTGCCTTCTCTACGCCAGACAACAACCTGTTCCTGACATTTCAATCTGATATGTGGGTCACCTTCAAGGGATTCGAGATCGAGTTTGCTGACGTGGATGCTTACGGTAAGGATCTCTGAAATGTTATCCATACGTCAAAGACAATCAAAGTACGTTACTGTTTTAGCGGTGCTGTATAGGTTTTTGAGGGGGCCTAACAAAATGTAACCTGTCTGCTTGACGACCTAGTAATTTTGATCGAGGGTTGGAAAATAATATCGCGATTTGAAAGCGGTAAAAAAATCACCAATTTTAGAGGGACTTTATCCTCTCAATCAGAAATATATTTGGAGCAGTGTGCTGTGCTGCATGTTTAGGTTTCGAGAGCACCACCAGTGCATGGTTCATCAACAAGATTCCTCATTGACAAGTTGTCTAATGGACCCTTATTTCACCTGTATTTCACCTGTCAATTTTCTTCTGTTCCTTTTTAGACCCAGGAGTGGATATCACAGACGTTATGGGTGATGGTGGTGTCAACACCAGTAAGTATCATTGCTGATGACCACCATTCTAATGTCATGGCAATTATACCTTAGCCAAATAGACAATTACTATTTCAGCTGTTGAATTAAAACGAATGTAATAATAAGCAACTTGAACCGATTGTTGGATTTGAAGAGTAAACAAAACAAGAGTAAATCCAACCTGTTACTGTTAGATATCTTTAGTGGACGAGTTGACAGTATCATACAAGGGTGTGGCAATAATTACACCCCAAGTGTCACCACCATGTTATTGTTGCTTCTCAATAGCCTGCGGTGAAAACATCCAACTCAAGAGCGACGGAGAAGTAACCATCACATCCCCACGGTACCCTCAGAATTACCCGAACAACTACCAGTGCGACTGGATCGTCTCCATCGACGCCGGTCAGCGCATTGGTATCTCCTTCGAGACGCTGGACCTGGAGCCCGACGCGGATTTCTTGGAGATCGGTGCCGGAAGCAGACCCGGTGCGCCCACTCTCCGTTTAACTGGCAACAGGAAGCCCGAGGAAGCCACAATGTTGGACTCGGGTACCGTGTGGTTGAGACTGAAGACTGACCCGAGTATCAACAGGTTGGGATTCAAGGCTACTGTCAGGGAACAACCTTATAATGGTATGCTTACAACTCCACAGTTTTACTGAGTACTTGACCAAGTCCGCAAAAATCCATCAAACAAACTACTTAAGTTCCAATGCATGCTTTGCTTTAGGCCTCCGGGACCAAGTCCATCATACTCCACCATCATTTAGTCAAACCAGGCCTGCAGGACCAAACGGGTGATGGATTTTGATGCAGTTGAGGGGTAAGGGTTTTAGTAGTGGTGAACAATGCTGAATGCGCTATGAGTAACAAAGTGCATGTAAAGCTTACGCAGACAGAACATACACCTACACGCACACACATGTTTACGTTACAATTACATGCCAAGTGTGGACATTCCCTTGGTTTCGTGTAGTTAAGAAAATTCTCTGAAAAAAACCCTCATTTTACTCTCACTTGTGAACACTTTCAACCCAATTTTTTTTCTATGATTCCCTTTAGTGTTTCTCTTCATTTTGCCACAGATAAACCTAACCCAAAAATGCCTCTAAACCTGTTTTCCAGAAAGGGGGAAACACTGTGTAGACTTGCCCACGTCCACACAACGTCGCCTCTACCTGGTTTATGTGGACCTATTTTGTTCGGAAGTCCACACAGTGAATGTAATGCCTACCCACCTGCATTACACTGCAAATTTAAGAGTATCTTCTACAGTCCTTGGGTTGAAGACTACTTTCATAAAATAATGAGCTGGAGTATGAGTACGTAAAAATGTTTGTGGGCGCTCAGAATCGGATGTAGTTCGCAGATTAAACAGTTATGAACTACAGTTTTGAGCAGTGATTCTTCCTCTAGAAATCAGAGGTTTCGGCAAAAAGTTATAATTTCAGACCAACAATTTAACCGTGATTTTTTTGTCACTTTAGCTGAGAGCCTAAAAACGAATACTTAATTTTTCAAAATTGTTTACCCTCGCTGTGAGATCCTGGCACCGTAGCTGAACCATGTTTTTATAGCTCTAAACATGAATGAGCTAAACCTGTTAAAAAAAGTAGTACTGTCTACTCTTTCTGATAGAATGCGGAGGTGATGTCCCCATTAGTCGCGATGGCTCGGCCGTTGTCGCCTCTCCTCAATTCCCGGACGTTGGTTACCATCTCAACCACAACTGCCTCTGGAAGATCAAGGGTGACCCAGAGAGGGGTCTGACGGCCGTCTTCAAGAAATTCAACACCGAGAAGCAGTGGGATACGGTCTCAGTGGGATTCGGACCCGAGCCGGCCCGAGATGGCTCCAACTATGTGATCAAGAATTGGAGCGGGGACGAGCTACCGGAACCTGCCGAGTTCATGACGGATGACAATGAGATGTGGATCCACTTCAAGACCGATGGGACTGTGATTGATCGTGGTTGGAAGGTCCAGATATTCGATAATAATGTCATGTGTGAGTATATCAATCCTGTTGTTACTGAGTTGTTGTAAGTCTTCACACAAGTGATCACAGACTGTCATAAATCATCACAAATCATCATAAGTCAACTGCAGGTTATCACAAGCATCAACAGTTATCTAAAGTCATGTGTGACGAACACATTCTCCTGCCATTGTTCTTCCAAGTTGTATTTAACATTTTTGTATTTTTCTCCACTCACAGCGTCAAACACAACGGTTGAAGAGAAGCCAAAGAAGAAACCTGACAGGGGTATGTGAATATTATCATTTATTTTTTTATTATTATCAATTTAAAAAGACGTTTTTTTCCCTTTCTCCTTAGTGATCAGTGTACCCCCAGAAAACTGTGAGTAATTAACACTGCCGGAGCTAGTTTAATTGCTTGGTATGTATCGGGCGAGTGTTTCGGTGCTGTATCCACGAGCTTCTAATCTTACAATGAGGTTTCTATTCCGTTTAATAATGGTTTGCTCTCAACAGATTGCGGTGGCACGGTTCGCTTCGATCCCAGCATGGGCAAGGCTGTCATTACCTCGCCCGACTACCCGTACAAGTACCGCCCTATCCTGGACTGTCAGTGGTTCATCGACATCCCGTACGAGGGAGACGTCCTGCTGCACTTCGATCAGTTCAACACCGAGAAATACCGGGATGTGGTCAGCGTGGGCACCGGCACCAACCCTGATGATGAGTCCACGGCGCTGGTCAACATGTACAGCGGGGCCGCCAGACCCGAAGACGTCCAGACGGATCAGAAGAGACTGTGGGTGAAGTTCTTGACCGATTTCCAGACGGAGTTAACCGGGTGGAAGTTGGAGGTCATTTCTATTCCCACTGAGGGTAAGGAACGTTGATAGAGTGAACCAGATATAATGATTGCTTAGCTAAGCAGCTGGAACATATAAACACTTGTATAGGGCATATTTGTGAAGAAATACTTTGCAAAGAAACATGAGAAAGGTGGATGATGGAAGGAGAAAGTTAGGAATGTTTGTTGTCGGAGTATTATTGGCATATCAATTAGGCCGATCGTGCCACAACTTACCTCTCACAACTCTCAAAAGTGATCTTATAAGTCAATCTACTTTGCAAGATTTGAAAATGGAAGATGAAATCGGTGTTGTAAAAGATGTTGTCTTAATATTAGTAGCCGCCATTGATGACATGATGTCTTATTTTCTGTGTAAGCTCTTTCTAATAAAGACCTTTTGGGGAATCCGGAGAACCCTCAGTAAAACACTTTACTGAAACTTACATACCACCAAATTAGATTGATAAAACGACACTTACATACCACCAAATGAAATTTATCAAAAGTTGTGATTATAATAATATCTTATCCCCAACACAGAATGTGGTGGTTATATCGTGGTACCATCTAACGCCTCTATCTCCATCGCCTCTCCCGGCTACCCATACCGCTACGAGGGAGACCAGAAATGCGTCTACACCATCGTGGGGCCAAACAACAGACGTGTACGTATCAGTGTGGCTGACTTCGAGTCTGAGCTGTATGGTGGTATTCTCAGCATCGGAGAAGGGTAGGTTGGGGATTGCAAAAGGGCCAATAAGCGTCTTCTTATTTCTTTCTTCTTGTTGTTGTTGTTGCTTTTGGGGTTTTTTTTGGGGGGGGGGTGGGGGGATTCGCCCATTACAAGATTGAAAGCCACACAAGGTAAGGCTACAAAGGAAAGTGGACGAGGACAGAAAGATCTGAGAAATTAAACGAAGAGACTAGAGATTTCAGGAGAAAGGAATTTATTTTCCTCTTGAAGTAGAGCTGATTTTAACCTTTAAGTAAAGTTGTAAACTCTTTAAACTTTGTAGTAGCCGTACACCATGGAGTTATATATATCTTTTCAGCACATGCACTAAAAAGAAAGTTCTTGGAAGAATCAATTGATGAACACTCAGTGGACATTTCACTCAGTAGGCCTCCTATCTTCTGATAAGCTTCAGATCTCTACCGAGCTCAAATGGTTTTCAAGAAAATCGCATTTGCACGCGGATGGAAAACCACTTTGTTAAACTGTGTGTCCATGCCTTGGGTGTATTTTGTAATGCAGTAAGATCGAAAGCAACAGAGTATGGATCATTGCCATTGAAATTTTGCCAAGAAACATTCAATCGGTATCTAGTGTTTATGGTGGAACAAACTACATGTGGTTCCGAGAGGATTTGAAAATGTATTTTCTGTACCCTTTTCTCGTGATTTCAGGTGTAGGAAGAAGGACTTTGGTAGCAGCGTGATCGTGGACCAGCATAGTGGCTTCACCCGACCGTTGTATGACGCTTTTATCCCCCGGACCAGCGTGGCTTGGATTCGATGGATTACGGAGTACGACAGGCCGTACAAAGGATGGAAGATAGTGGCTAGCGACACGGGTCTTGTAGGCGGTAAGATGAAGTCGATTCCCGGTCAGATTTGGAATAACTCCTGTGATGATTTTAACATCTCTCCGACGTGAAAAAAATCCATCCTACAAGCCTTTGCGGTATTTTATTCTGAAGGTCGTGAGTACATGCCTTTCTAAAATTGTCTGAACTCCTCTGTTCCTCCATCATTCGAATTCTTTCCTAATCCTAAAACAGCCACTTTTTTTTGAAGGATTTGCAGCATTCAGGAAGCCATATTCAAGCTCATGTTACTTACACATAGGCTTGATGTCACTCGAAATGTTCAATACAAAGAATATGTCCTTGTATCATGCAACGTTGATTTTGAAGGATACCCCATGATGGAAGGGTAAATACCCAATGAGTTACTAACCCGGGGTTAGAGCAATATGTTTGTTTAGCAATACCAGATTAGAGGCAAGTTTGGCATAATGTATAAGTTTTGTTTCGGGAATGAGGAGCTTGCTAACATTGCTCTCCATCTACAGAACCCTCGCTGAATGAGGACGGTTCCAGGATCCCATGCGATCCGCCAGGCCCAACCACCCCGGCCACATCCACCGCAGGCCCCTCGCCAGGACCCACCGAGGGCAGCGGCAGTGGCTACCCGGACTGGTACGACGATGGACCCGGCGCCGAGGTACACATGGAAACTGAGGTGCCTGATCATGTGCCCGATGTCGAGTACTCCGTGTAAGGACGGAGTGTAGGTAAGAGAACAACCCATACTTGTTTCGTTAGCTTTGGTGACTATCCCATTGTACCATGGGGACCGAAGATGCTGTGGGGACAGCAGAAAGTCCCCATAACTCGGTCCTAGTTTGCCTAAACAACTTCTCCATAACGCGGTGACGGCCCGCCCACATCATCAGAGTTGGACAGGATTGGTGGCAGTAGATATGATGAAGTTAGCGATTTCAAATGGATGCTGCCATTTCGGAGAGATTATTGGTACTAACTGGTATCGTTTCATGGACAAAGTACATGTAGGCCCTACCCCAAAATACCGTCTTGCACAAATCTACATTTGCAAACGTGAATAGCAATTTTCCGATGCTCCTATATCAACTGTACATAAAATAAGAAAATTACTGATTCTGAATTCTGTGTATTACTGTTCCTCCCCAGGTAAAAGAGCTTTTTGCCTGATACCGTCTACAACGAGGGGATCGAGGTTGTGACGCTCATGGCGGATGTCAACATTTTTGTTATTCAGATGAACACAAATTAATAAATATCATCGTAGCTGAACCCCATACTTGAATTATCCAAACCATTACACATCTGACAATCTTTAGTGTCAGTCAAGGGGTAAATTTTGAAAAGAGTTAAGTTTCCGAGGTTCATGTTTGCAACAATCAATGTCTAAGGTCCCCCAAGTGATCACAAACCCCCTAAAATTTTCCTGAAAGGACCTAAAGCCACTGAGAGAAAGGATAACTGGACAAAATAAAGAGATATTTGTGTTATCTGAGAAGCAGAGATAAACAGCAGGTAAATGTTAAGTCTGTTTACCTTTTTGTTAGTTTAATATTAAAAATAGTTCATATTTGCCAACATATTAGTCTTATCCATTTATTTTCAGACGTTGCTTTTTAAAATAGAACTGAATGTTTGTTTTTGCTGCGATATCCCCGTTTCCTTTTTTCAATGTCATTTCGAACGCGTAGATTTAGTTTCTTAATTATTAGTAGACGTAAGTCCATGTGTTAGTGACCCTTTGTGTTAACAAACTGTAATTGGCTGTGAAATTTAAGCGACACGAAAATTAGAATATACTCATTGATAAATTCTTTTATTTCGTAAAATCGTTATATTAGACCTGAATGCTTTTGTTTTGAATAATTATTCAATCTACGAGCATGTATCTGTTTTATGCTTAACTGTTTTTAGATTCCTGGGTAGTTTGCTTATCACTTTTTGTATTTGCTTGTACTAAAGGGGTTACGCTTGACAGAGATAGTACTGTTTTCTTAACTTCTTATAAGAAACAAATCTTTACCATTGAAAATAGGACAGTACTGTTTGACCTTTGGCACTGGTGACAAAGGTCAGGTGTCAAAGGTCAGGAGACAAATTGGAAGGATGAACCCACAGCACAAAATATTAACCAAAGCATGTCGTGATGTGATTCCATGTATTACAAAGAGGTTAATAAATACAAAATAGTTATATCAAATTATGATGTTCCTGCGAACTATTTTGGTTGATGTTCTTTCATGAGTGCTTCTCACAGATTGAATTTAAGGGCCAACTAAAAAGACGATAAAAACATAAGAAAAGAAAATAGAAAAACAAAAACACTGCTTTTCTTTTATTTACACAATACTTTTCTCATTATTATTGGCATACATTCGAAAACAGGTTCCAAACCATTTTCCACAGTGTCGGAAATGATTTTTCCTCGATTAAAGATAATGATGTTATGGTAAATTTGATCAAAATTGTTAAAATTGTACAAAAAGGATTATTTCATTAAATTTCCGCGGGGGCGTGGCATCTTTTTGAGAGGGCTAGTTTCCTTTATACATTCATTAAAAAAACAATAAGTTTAAACCGTTTAACACAAACAGAAAATAATTTCAAACATCAACAGACAACGTTACAACACAGAATATAAACCTTAATGAAAACAAAAAACCGAGAAATATTACATTAAAATATTATACACCGGCGACAAAGATGCCGTAAGTTGTAGTGAGTTTGTTTCTGCATTCAATGGAGGACGTTGACCAATAAAGGACAATAGGGTCCCCAATTTGGCGATGTGTACAAAACATATGGAAGGTCTTCCTAAAAAGTTAGAGTACAAACAAAAGAGAGACAATAGGGGTCCCCAATCGCAGGCAAATACACACTTGTGTGTGTATCCAGTGGTAAAGTTGGTTATCAATCTCATTCTAGCCTAGCAACATCCTAATCTTCTTCACAACTTCTGAGTATAAATGGTTGTTTGTTCTTCTATTGAGGATTAACTGATCATTCCTTTTTCTTAGAACGATACGGAATAAGACAATATAAGTACCATGTACAGTGTCCAATATGATCCCTTACAACTTCAATGACACGTGAATGACGCACATTACGTCATAAGTGCGTGTCTTCGTCATGTACGTCCAACTCCAGCCCAACATTGTCTACTTCATCCCCGACTGATGGGTCCGGTGACGACATCGGTGACGTCACGGGCGACGTCATGGGTGACGTCATGGGCGTTGCCATGGGCGTGGAGACGGGAACCAGCACGCGGTCCACGTCTTTGGTACGGCTGGTGCAGCGGGAGCAGCGACAAACCTTACAGCAGGGACGGAACGTCTTGAGCCACTGTTTGCGAATGTCGTGATAGCGAACGCAGTGGAAAATAAAGATGAAGAAACCCTGGAAAGCCACACTCAGAACAAACAGCGTCTAAAGACAGAGAGAAAAGCGGCCAAACCGAGGCTATCATTGCTAAAAACCTGTGCAACTTTGTGGACCTCTACTTGTTTATCCCCATAACGAATGAGCACACTGTACTGAGGCCCTCGGTCTCAATTCTTATTTCAGTTCGCAGATAAAGTGGGAATTTTCGATCATGACAGAAGAACAACCGAGAGGTACGACAATGTACAGGTAGATACATGTTATGATTAATTGGAGCTCGATCTGCCAGATTATATTCCATTCTTTGTAATGTTAGCCACTCTGTGCCTTCCAATGTTTACTTTACTCATTTTATCATAAGTACTTCTCCAGATCAAAGCGTTAATCCTGTATTAATCAAAACAGTGACCGATATAACACGATAACAGCTGGTACGTGGCTTCATGCATCACATTATCTGCAATTCAGTGTTCAAAGAAACATTGAGGCATTGATCTGAATGGTCTACTCCTGTCTGCCAATCAACCAATTAGATTACGAATGATCGATTATGTGACTGCGATAGTGCGTTGAAACTGTCACAAACAATGTGAGAAATGCACCCAAAGATGGGCGTGGCTTATGGCCACTCATCTACTCACCTGCAGTATGAAGTAACCGACTGATACAGTGTCTTCATCAGGTTGTGTGTAGGTGATGGCAGCAGATGCTCCAAACCCCCAGCTGATGCCGAGGAGAACCAGCAAGGCCACGGCACCCATGAGTTGGGTCAGGAGGGACCGGCGCTCGTCTAGAAATGTGCACAGAGGGATGCGAACCTCAGACATGAGTATGTCACTATGTATGTTGGGACTTTACTACTTGACTCGTAATTGGCTGGACGCTGTAATTTGGTATATCTCATGTTCTAATTGAAAAAATGTATCGTGGGGTCACACCAATGATCATTAACCACACCCATTTTGCTCATCAACCACACCCACACCTCATATAGCTACTCCAAAATGTCCCAAGTGTCATTAATCAAATGAGCTGCAACTGGCTCCACCCACTCAATCATTAATAGCTACTTACTACGGGCCACACTGTTTGCCATAAGCCACACCCATTTTCCCACAAGCAACTACCACTTTACCATAAGCCATAACCTCTTCAACCATTAATGGGCTCACGTACCTCTTGCATACATCTTGCAGATAATCCACAGCACCATAACGAAGACAATGCTGTTACATGTCACGATAGCTATCATGGGCGTCAAGAACACAAAGCTAAAAGCCTCGGCTGATAACTGGCACCTAGTTGTCAAGAGAGGAGAGGATCAGGAGCAAAACAAAATGAGAGGGCGGTAGAAAAAGATCAGCCAGCTTGAACAAAATTTAATTTGATTTTCGAGTAGTGATTAAAATGAGAAATGATTAAAATAAGGAAAAGTTTGCAGATACTCACAAGAGTTGTTTCTACTTACACAAAATCGCAGTCTTTGTAAGTGCCATCATAGATTTCAAAGTTGAAGGCGAGTGGTACCCCAATCAAGATACCGGGCAGTCCTGAACATAAGTTAATAATACTTCGATCAATTCCAAGCTGGGCTACGACTTGACATAAAAATTCAATAATCAACATGGTTGAAACTTGAGTATCAGGAAGGGTTGAAGTTTTACTCACGAGGATGTGTCTTGTTGAAACAAGGGCTGCTGCTGGCAAGCTATAACCTCTTCAGTTCAATGATTTTTTTCTAACAATTTTTCTCAATTTGAAGAGTAATAAAGTCTTTCTTTGCATGTAAAGCCTGGACTACATTGCAATATTGCGACCGTGCAAACATCAAACTTTGGTCGAGAGTTTCTGATAACTTTGGTCTGCTTACCCCAGGCGACAACGCCACACTTAATGACAAAATGCCTGATGGGGCTTGAGAAGACCCTGACCAGCGCGATGTACATGTGGACCGCCTCCACACCGTTCCACATGAGCGAGACTAGAATGAAATACAAGCGGAGACTGTTGGCGATACGGCAGCCTATCAGGGTGTTGGAGTACAGGGTGGAGGTGACCAGGACGATGATGAGAAGCACGATGCTGATGCACAGGTTAATTAGGATCAGGGTGGGTCTGCCACGACGAACTCGACTGCAGGTGGACAATAAATCCATTATAAATGAAACGAAAAAGGCAGCTTGAGCAATCAAAATCGCTACAAAGGTGCCTTGATTAAAATGGATCACACTTGTTGGTAAGGCAATTACTTTTCTGGTAGAATTATCAGCAAGGTTTGTTGTTTTCGCTATAACTCTGTCGTTAAGTATCGTCTTCGAGTTAGCTTATTAGCTTCCTTTGTAAGAAATTTCCGTAGCCCTTCCGTAAAAAAACCCCACATTTTAACAAAAGCGCTTTACGGAACGAGGTACTTATAAATGGCTGGTACTTACGGGAATACGGCATACGTCGCAATGACGAGAACGAGGCTGATGAGCGAGATGTAGTACCCGATGTAACAAAGTGCAGTCAGTGTCACGTAATAAGGAAAATTCTGTCAACAAATGAAAACTCAGGTTTTACAACAATTATATTTCAGTCAATTCATCGGAATGACTTCAACAAAAGTTCTATACCACTCCTGAGTATACTCAGGAGTGGTATAGAACTTTTGTTGAAGTACTCGAGTACTGGCATAACCTTATATCTGTTGGTTTTCCATAATCAAATGATCTTCTTGTTGGAGGAGACTCACCAAGAATCCAAATAGATCCTGAGGAACTTCTTGCGTCGTCTGTGGAAACAATTAAAGCCAGAAATTAACCTCTCCCAGGTGCCAGAAGCAGAATCCAAAAATTAAGAGGCTTTGCTGTGTTAAGCCCTAAATGTTGCATTGCAACAAGCTTTACACTCGAAATGACGTCAGTCTCTAAAGACCACTCCGATTGGCTGGGGCGCGGGGTTGCTAAAATTTACATGCTATGCAGGGTGACCGTTTTAGCCGATATTCGGCTAACTTTGACAGAATTTTTGTTAAAAAAACGAGTTTGACGGAAAATTTGACAGAATGCATTTTTTGGGCAGATTTCTGGCAGAATTCTGCAAAAATGGTTAGGCCTATTTGACAGAAAAACAGCAAATTTGAACAAAAAAGTGTACATTTTTTTAAAAAGCTTCAATCCTTTCAAACAAACCCTTGCATAATGGGACAGGTTGGCTGGTCTAGGTGCTGAGGTTCACTGGGAAACGGACTTCGTCATGGCCGGATCCGCGTTTTACCCCAAATTTACCAATAATTTCACAAACATCTTTATGTGACTAGATTGTTTATTCTGTAATTTGAATCTCAATTAAGGCAATACTACCAATCTGCATGCGGTTTTAAGTGTTAATAGTGTATTTCGAGTAATTCTGGGGAATTTGGCAGATTTTTGATAAATCTGACAGATTTTCGATGTGCATTTAGCAGAATTTGGCTCTGACCTTCCGGTCACCCTGATGCTATGATACATCAGATGTGCTACCGTGGTTCTCTGCCCCGCGAATGTCTGATGCCCAGACGACAAGCTTTAGCAGTCCGATCCAAATTGTTGAAAAGTGAACTAAAACCGCTGTGAAGAAGATATACCTGTGGTTGAGTAGGAGCAGGGATAAGATCTTGTATCAGTCCCAGTAGATCCAGAACCTTACAGATGCAGTCAGTCTGATTGGCATCCGTGTAATTAAGCGTACAGGCCGACGAATCCCACTCAAGTTTTACTACAAGCAAATGGTTTACAAAATTAGCATTCCCTCAATTGTTATTGTTCTTATCAAGTCAGCTTATGCTCGAAATCGAGAAGTAAATAGCACGGTTGTCACTGGGCTGAGTGGGTTTCTGTCTCCAAAAGTTTATGTACGATTGAAAGGTTTCAAGACCTATTAGTATTTTTGTAAAAACTATGTAAGCTGGTAGATGATGGTCAAGCTCAGCAGAAAATGATTCGAGCACTGTCATTTTGGGATCAGATAATATCCATCAAAATTGTGTAAGGAGTTCGTTACCTTTGTGGACTCGATCAATGAAGTTCCATCGTTCTGACTCGTCTCTGGATAGACGGGCTGCCCCGCACTGAAAATCGTCTGACGGGAGCTGGGGGGGGGGGGGGGGCAAGAACAAAGATGAGAATGGAATCCACCACTTGAGAGGAGAGAATCACATTTCGTAATACAATGTCTAGATTTTATTGATCAGCTTAATGAAAAGGCAACTTAAGAAGGACTCAAAGGTTAAGGGAGGAAGTCCAGTAATTTAAGGGCCTTGTCGGGAATTTAAACGCGTTACCAACCTGATCGTCATCCATTTGTGGGTGGTAAAAGGTCACCGAGAACGGCTCTTGCAGCTGTTTTACTTCCACCCCGTCGCTGTAGACCTTTGCGTATAGCAAAACAGTATCTTCAACAGGGATTTCAATGGAAAGATCTCCAGTGAAGAACTTGGAATTGTAGTAGACAGTGGCGGAGGTCCGAACGACTGGAACGGGGATGTTCTGGAGTTGGATTGGCTCTGTATCGTTATTGCTGGTTGGATCTGCATCTCTTATCAATCCTTAAAGAATTTCAAAAACAAACTTAAGATAAATAGTTAAGTCGAGAAAAAGAGCAATAAATGTATGACATCTAAGTTGTCCTTTGAAATGAATGAAGTACAAGTCATGCTTTAAAGTTAAAGTGTTCAAAGTTTAATTTGTATTTTGTAAATTCGGACGTACATGTCAAACACTTTAATGAGCTGTTGTTGGACAAAGGAATTTGATATATCATTTTATGCGGCATCTAATGAGTGAAAAAAAAAATTACAGACCAAACTAAGGTACCACCACTGTGATGACCTACACAAGTACATCATGTGGTCGGACGTACTTGATTTAATAGTATATCCCATAATAAGCCATGATTTGGCTAGATTTGCGTTTGCTTCTCAAGTTTTCGGTTAGGTGCACCCCGATTAGAAACCTTTGCCAAATGTAGCCCAGGGCCTCTGTCTGAAATCTTTAAGAGGAGAACCTGATTCCTCACCACTAAGAAGAAAGTACGGGAATTTGATTGTGGCCACCGTCTCCGCCTGTGACTCCGGCATGAAGAAGTTGAATTCTATCGGTAGGCTGAAAAGGTCACGAGACGGTTCGTTGATCTCCAGCACGATGTTACTGAAGGAATGCTTGACACTCCGACTGATGACTGGAAGCTTGACGTGGGCCGCGTAGTTCTGGAGGCTTTTGGCTATGCTGTGGAATAGAAATTAAATTAATGCTTAAATACAGTTTAAAACATCAAGCCATTTCAAAATTTAATTCTTTTTTTTAACCGCCAGGATAACCGGCAACAAATCTGACCTCTCTTTGGATACTTGAAGCCAGAAATGTTACATTTCGTAAACAATTTAAATTGTATTTATTAATTTGCAAATAAACAAATTAATATGGTCATAATCAAAATTTAAGCATTGCAAAACTCAGGTGGATAACGGGGTACATTAAAAATGTCTACTAAGAAGAAATTTAAAAGCAACCTCCAAAGACAGCAAATGAACGTTTGTCTTGAACCCACATAATGTCAAGCGCTTCCTAAAAAGTTTTGATTAGAATCTTGAGTCAGTGGTCGAGGGTTCGATTCCCTTCCAAAAATGATGTCCCACCAACCTGGTGCATGCAGTGTGAACCGTCTCTAATATTTTCCCCTCCATCTTGAGTATGTTGTCTGCCATGGCAACAAGCTCCTCCCCTAGGTCACTGCGCAGGGGCAGTACGTCATCTACGCCAGAAGTGACACACAGGTCCATGATGGACGCCGTCAGGCTGACGTCTTCCACGGTCAGCTGATCAGTCGGTGAGAGGATTTTATTGGTTTGTTGGAGGAGAGTGATCACTGACGTCACGTTAGCCTCCCTTTCGTCGACCTATATGGTCAAAAGATCGTCATGTTTATTCGTGAGTTATTAATGGTTTAAAAAGTTGGTTTGTTGGCTAGGTAAAAAAAATCTAAAATAACAAAGTGTGTTCGTTTGTTTTGGTTGAGTAACATCGGTTCGGAAAGATAGTTGGGTTGGTTTTGGGTTTGAGGTTTGGTTGGGTTGGATTAGGATGGGTTGCGTTGGGTTGGGTTGGGATGGGATGGGATGGGATGGGATGGGATGGGTTGGGATGGGTTGGGTTGGGTTGGGTTGGGTTGGGTTGGGTTAGGTTGGGTTGGGTTGGGTTGGGTTGGGTTGGGTTGGGTTGGGTTGGGTTGGGTTGGGTTGGATTGGGTTGGGTTGGGTTGGTTTGGGATGGGATGGGATGGGTTGGGATGGGATGGGATGGGTTGGGTTGCGTTGGGTTGGGTTGGGATGGGATGGGATGGGTTGGGTTGGGTTGGGATGGGTTCGGTTGGGATGGAATGGGATAGGTTGGGATGGGATGGGATTGGTTGGGTTGCGTTGGTTTGGGTTGGGTTGGGTTGGGATGGGTTGGGATGGGATGGGATGGGTTGGGTTAGGTTGGGTTGGGTTGGGTTGGGTTGGTTGGGTTGGGATGGGGTGGGTTGGGTTGGGTTGGGATGGGATGGGTTGGGATGGGATGGAATGGGATAGGTTGGGTTGGAATGGGATTGGTTGGGTTGGGTTGGGTTGGGTTGGGTTGGGATGGGATGGGATGGGATGGGTTGGGTTGGGTTGGGATGGGTTCGGTTGGGATGGAATGGGATAGGTTGGGTTGGGATGGGATTGGTTGGGTTGGGTTGGGTTGGGTTGGTTGGGTTGGGTTGGGATGGGGTGGGTTGGGTTGGGTTGGGTTGGGATAGGTTGGGTTGGGATTGGTTGGTTGGGTTGGGTTGGGATGGGATGGGATGGGATGGGTTAGGTTGGGTTGGGTTGGGTTGGGTTGGTTGGGTTGGGTTGGGATGGGATGGGATGGGTTGGGTTGGGTTGGGATGGGTTCGGTTGGGATGGAATGGGATAGGTTGGGTTGGGATGGGATTGGTTGGGTTGGGTTGGGTTGGGTTGGGTTGGGATGGGATGGGATGGGATGGGTTGGGTTGGGTTGGGATGGGTTCGGTTGAGATGGAATGGGATAGGTTGGGTTGGGATGGGATTGGTTGGGTTGGGTTGGGTTGGGTTGGGATGGGATGGGATGGGTTGGGTTGGGTTGGGATGGGTTCGGTTGGGATGGAATGGGATAGGTTGGGTTGGGATGGGATTGGTTGGGTTGCGTTGGTTTGGGTTGGGTTGGGTTGGGTTGGGATGGGATGGGATGGGTTAGGTTGGGTTGGGTTGGGTTGGGTTGGTTGGGTTGGGTTGGGATGGGGTGGGTTGGGTTGGGTTGGGATGGGATGGGTTGGGATGGGATGGAATGGGATAGGTTGGGTTGGGATGGGATTGGTTGGGTTGGGTTGGGTTGGGTTGGGTTGGGATGGGATGGGATGGGATGGGTTGGGTTGGGTTGGGATGGGTTCGGTTGGGATGGAATGGGATAGGTTGGGTTGGGATGGGATTGGTTGGGTTGGGTTGGGTTGGGTTGGTTGGGTTGGGTTGGGATGGGGTGGGTTGGGTTGGGTTGGGATGGGATGGGACGGGTTGGGTTGGGTTGGTTGGGATAGGTTGGGTTGGGATTGGTTGGTTGGGTTGGGTTGGGATGGGATGGGATGGGTTGGGTTGGGTTGGGATGGGATGGGATGGGTTGGGTTGGGATGGAATGGGATGAGTCGGGTTGGGTTGGGATGGGATGGGGTGGGTTGGGTTGGGATGTGATAGGATGGGATGGGCAAGTTGGGTTGGGATGGGATGGGATGGGGTAGGGTGGGGTGGGTTGGGTTGGGTTGGGTTGGGATGGGATGGGTTGGGTGCGGTTGGGTTGGGATGGGATGGGTTGGGTTGGGATGGGATGGGGTGGGTTGGGTTGGGTTGGGATGGGATGGGATGGGATGGGGTGGGTTGGGATGGGATGGGATGGGTTGGGTTGGGATGAGTTGGTTTGGTTAGGTTGACTTGGCTTGTGAAGTTAGGCCTAAGTTATAGAGTACTTATAGAAATGCATCCAGTTCAAGAGCTCGTACCATTTTCTGGAGTAGTTCAATCAAATCAAACAGAATATCTTCCAACTCATTCGTGATGTCGGAGTTCCAGCGGCAAAATGTCGTGTTGACGTCTCCCCAGTACGAGTGCTCGCTACACGGGAACCGCGGTTTGGGCAGGATGTGGCGGCAGGTGGCTGGAGGCTTGCAGGCCCGGTAGGCTAGCGGGCGATCCCCGCTGGTGTTGTACGGTCTACGGACGCCGTTGGGACAGTGGGAGAAGGCATAGTCACCCGCTAAGGTGTCACCCCACGTGAAGTTACCCTTGAGATCGTTGGTGAATGATTGGAAACAAACATCTGAGCAAGGAAAATGAAGAATGTTTGAATAATTTGGCAAAGTTTACCAAAAGATACAAAAAGTGAGAAAAACAAGTTTCGATCGTGGTAAAGGAAAGTATTATTTGGAGCATGACTCAAAATGTATGTTGGCCCCAAAAGATTTATTTAATGTAGGGTGTAACGAAACAAACACTAATTTATCTGTTATGCACCGTTTTTTACACAACCTGATGTAAGGCCAAAAAAAACTAGACTTGGAACATTGTTTAATCCCACTGTGTGTTTGACACTCATAATTATACTCTCCGTGCAGTAGCCTGGGGCCTACGTGCATCGCTTGCTCATTATTATGCACAACCACACATTATGCACAATGGTGTCATGCTAACAACGCGAAGTATTGAAGGTTATATGGATATTGCAATGCGACGTAGGCGTTGCGTGTGTATAATAGTTCCAAGGATTGTTTGGAATATGCACCGAGGCGACGGTACGAATAACACCACTGTGGCGCAGCAGGAAATAAAACGAGCGCCATTTTGTAACATTTCTAACATCATTTCGAATGCAACAGCCTAGCTCGATTGAACGACAGAGATCGCCCCATTTGAGTACATTAATTCTATTTTCCACGATTCGCTAAGGTAAGCTCTATGACTTTCTTGCCTATACCAAATAGCCTGTTGCATCGCTGATAATTTACACTGCTGTTTACTTTTCCTTTGCTTTTTGACACAAATTATACCAAACTAATGCAAAAGACTGAGACTGTTTTAGGACTATACAAAATGCACTGATCTTGTTTCAGCAAAGCTCAGTTTCTATCCATTTTGTTTTCAATCAGGTCAAAGCGAACTTCAAAAGGGACAGAAAGATGGCAGAGGGCAGCATATCTGAGCCAGAATCGGGGATAACTGCCAAGAAAACACAGGAATGCTCCATCTGCTTCACCGAGTACAAGGATCCCAGGATGCTGGAGTGCTCACATACGTTCTGCCTGCAATGTCTCCAAGAACTCAAACAAGCTCAGAACAAGGAAGACAAGAACATTAGCTGTCCTTTATGCCGCAAGGAAACCATTCTGACAGAAGGAGTAGAACAACTACCTAGCTGCCAAGAGGGTGTTACTAAGGAGGAAGATCAAGACGGAGGTCAAGTGTCAAAGGTCATATGTCAGGCTTGTGATGAGGAGAATGAGGCTATTTGTAGATGTATGGATTGTGAGCAATATCTCTGCAAGGAATGTCAGAGAGCACATCAGCGTTGGGTAGCTTTTAGAAAACACAAGATATCAGAGTTGGAGCCAGACGGTAAGCTCAAGGACTATGTACCCAGGTGTAAGGAACATCCTGAGCAGGAACTTTGCTTTTACTGTAACACCTGTGATGCTCTGATCTGTAGCGAATGTACCATCTCCAAGCACAAGAAATCTTCGCACTTCTTCGACAGCATTGAAACAGCTTTTTCGAAATGTAGTCAAGAAATAAATGAAGCAGTTTCTCAGACAGCCAGGTGCATACAGGAGTCAGATCGGGTTGACATAGATCATTCACGGCACAGACTGGCTACGATGTTACGAAGGACAAAGATACGGATTTCCCTCGCGGCTGAAGAGGAGATTGCCAATATCAAACAGGAGGAGCAGGGACTGAGACAACAAGCTCAAGATATTTTCGCGCAGAGGGACAAGCAGTTCGCATTTGCTGCGACAGGTAACCAGACTGTAAACAAAGTGAAGAGCATGCTGAGCGACGCAAGTTGTTATGAAGTTCTTGGGTCAAAGACGAAGCTACTGCAGGATTTGAGAGAACACACGGAGATACGATCAGGTAGAGGCATTAGCCACCAGCAGTCATTTGTTTGCTTCGAAAAAGGTCATTCTAGGTATGGTAAACAAATTGGCAGTCTTAAGGAGCGAGAGTATTGGCGCACCGGCGGGATATCGTGCGAATACAACGATGAAATGCCCAAGCCCCACGGATGGACTTGTATGACAGCATATTCAACGGGTAAGCTAGTACTTTCAGGCGATGATGAGTTCATTTCGTGTAATACAGACTTACATGAGAAAGGCACTGGCTATAACCCAACTGCGCTCACAGTGAACAGTGAGGATCAACTAGTTCTCCTGGACGGTTTATCGGTCAAGGTTCTGAATCAAGAATTTCAGATGCTTCATCAGTTTGTACCCAGTAAAATGGCAAACATCGATGGCAGACCAACATGTCTTGCAGTGGATGAACACGATGTGATAGCAGTGGGTTACAACGAAAGAGAACAGATATCACTTCACAACCCGGACGGAACTCTCATCAAAACACTGCCTGCTCCAAAGATCGAGAACCGTTTGGTTGTCAGCAACAAGCGGCTGATCTATACAGTAGAAAACAAATCAGATAATTGTAAGATCACGGCTGCAGACTTCGCTGGAGATTCACTATTCACCATCGACACAAACCTTTCCCATGGTGTGCCATGTTGCGATGAAGCAGGGGACATTTATTTTGCAACTGAAGGCAGTTTGCTTCACTGCAGCGCAGATGGCGTGATTGTACAGTCTTGGGAACGCAGTAATATACCTCGCCCTAAAGATATTATTTATCTCCCTGATGAAGGCAAAATTCATGTGCTTGGTGAGGAAGATGTGCGCATGTGTTATGTTGGATACTGAGACTTTTTGAGTTGGTACACAAGCGAAAATGGACTTCTGTTTCACTTGTGCTCTTCAACAACTCGACTAACAATTATTTTTGGAACTGGCTTGATGAGAAGGTCCCTGACGTCATTTATGCTAGTAGACCACTACCCTGACTCCTCAACGCCCCCCCCCCCCCCTTCTTCAAAAACTTGCCTATATAGTTTGTGACTTATTTGGAAGATACTGTCCATGGATCTAGTTTTCAAATACGATTGAACATTCAATGATATATTTTCCAGAATCTTGTTAACGACAAGATTTTACGTGCTACAATAACAATTAACAACAAAATGAGAGATCACATGCCTTTCTGTGATTTGAGCGAGATTTTTCAATTGCAAACGGAATTACTGGTGCATGTTTATTTTAAAGTGTAGCATTTTAATTTTTTGAAACGCATATATGGATTATGTTAATTTAGGCTGAAGTTCATAGAAGTTAATTCAATATGCAACTAGAAAGCAGATCAGAGAGCGCAAACCTCCGCCAAGGCTAACAATTCCCCGCCATATTGTCAGTACACCCAAAAGAAATACTCGCATAAATGGTGAAGAATCCTTAAGAAACAATCCTGGATCCTCACCCAGATCCGGATCACTTCCAAAATCTAATGGATTTGTACAACTAGGACCAGCCAAAAAAACATGTTCATGCAATTCTTTCCATAACTTCTTGAGTTATCTTGTTAACAAACAAATCAATCAACTAACCAACCAACCAACCAAAAAATCCGATGAAAACATAACCTACTTGGCGGGGGTAATAAATATATCCTTACTACTAAAAAGTAATTAACTGGCACAATTTAAAAGAAAAACAATAAAAAAGAACTGCATGATGTATTGTGTGTCACAATGGGACAAATTTTAGTCGTCGCGTTGACGTCCCCCAAGTACGGGCGCTCGCTACACGGGAGCCGCGGCTTAGGCAGGATATGCCGCAGGTGACAGGCGGCTTGCAGGCCCGGTAGGCTAGCGGGCGATCCCCGCTGGTGTTGTACGGTCTACGGACGCCGTTGGGACAGTGGGAGAAGGCATAGTCACCCGCTAAGGTGTCACCCCACGTGAAGTTACCTTTGAGATCGTTGGTAAACGATTGGAAACAAACATCTGGGTGTCGAAAAAAATGCGATTTTTTGGCAGAAATGTTAGTAAATTCGAGGGGAAAAGCCAACAAATGAAAACATTAACCCTAAAAGTGCCGGGGCGGACTCCACCCCCCTCCTCAACTTTTTCCGCGATACCCTTGCAAAAAAAAAAGAATTTCCCAATCCGCGCTTTCGTGAATTTTTAGCCAGTCTTGCACATCTTTCGATACCAACTTAAATTCCGACCATGGATTTTAGCGCTACGCGCCGTGAAAACTAAATTTTCCCTTGTATGTAGTGTACACAAAGCAGAATAATATTTGTGCATATGAATAATTAATTAACCATAATTCCAAAACTCTTTAACCTATTGGCCTAGTCATGAAATTTCTTGGATATGTTTTTCTTAAGTTGTTGTATGCATTTACCGAGTTTCGTAATTTTTCGTCACTCGATGGCCGAGATCTCGGGGGGAATCCGCCCCCCCCCCCCCCCGCGGCTGTGAGATGGTAAAAATAACCCTTTGAACCAAAGTAAAACAAGACTTTACAAGCAGATAAACAGAATAAACAAGCACAAACCAAATACACAGAGCCAACATTTATCGGCTCTGTACAGAACCAGTTGGCCTATATTATCTTTCCCTGCCTCGCTCTTCATTTGCCATTTTTCAAAAAAAATCAGAAACAAATGCTGACATTCTATGATCGATGAACGAACCACTAGAACTTGATTTGAGCACACACAACTTTAAAACAGGATAGGTTTCCAGTCTATTAGGCTGGGCTACTTAATATTCACGCTCACCCACAATGTCAGGATCACGTGCATAGGTCTAGGGCCATAGGTCATGCTATATCAACACAAAATGCAGAGACGGAATGTAGTTCGCCATATTTAATTTTCTTGTCAGCGTGTACAATAAATGTGAAAGTAGGACCACTCACAATATTATTACAATAATGAAATTGATACGGAAATTGTGAGTGGGCGTTGAGAAAACTGTACTTCAGATAGGCCTATGCGTGAACATGTACGGTTGTGGGCTGACAGTTCATTTGTCGCAGGCATTACGCGGTCTCAACAGATTCAACTAAATATTGTTATTAACAGTTTTTGGTAAGTGCAACTTTAGTCCGATTCCGTAACTACCGTTATTACAATTCAATATATGTTATCTACGTGAAGTTATGGTTTAATCGGTGTAAATCGAAAAAAATCAGGGCTCAGATTTGTTCGGTGTGAGGTATTAATGAGTATGGCGATATTCACCGCAGACATGTTAATCGGTATCCCTTCGAATGATATTTTTTTCTTCGACAGAACATCAAGGACATCACCAGCATGGCAGAGGGTGGTGTTTCTGAGGAAGGATTGGAGGAAACAGCCAAGGAAACTCAGGAATGCTCTATCTGTTTCTCTGAGTTCAAGGAGCCCCGGTTGTTAGAATGCTCACATCGGTTCTGCCTAAAATGTCTCCAGGAACTCAAACAGGCGGCACAGAATAAGGATGACAAGAAACTTGCCTGTCCTCTTTGCCGCAAGGAAACCATTCTGCCCGAAGGGGGAGTGGATAAACTACCTTGTTCACAAGAGGGCGCTAATAAGGAGGAACATCCAGACGGAGGTCAAGTGTCAAAGGTCATATGTCAGGCTTGTGATGAAGAGAATGAGGCTATTTATAGATGCATGGATTGTGAGCATTACCTCTGCAAGGAATGCCAGAATGCACATCAGCGTTGGGAAGCACTGAGGAGTCACAAGATTGCAACTTTGGAAGAGCTGGGGCCAGACGGTAAGCTCAAGGACTATGTCCCCAAGTGTAAGGAACATCCAGATCAGGAAGTTTGTCTGTACTGTAATTCGTGTGATGTCCTCATTTGCAATAAATGCACTGCGTCTTGTCACCAGGCCCCCGGGCATCTCTACATTAGCATTGACGAAGCTTTCAACAGGTGCAAAAAAGAAATCAACGAAGAAATCTCTCAAACGAACGCGCGCGTACAGAATTTCACCCGCGCCAGGCCACTGTCAACAAGTCACTCGCGTGATAGACTTGCAATGATGTTACGAAGAACAAAGATTCGAATTTCGCTAAAAGCGGATGAGGAGGTCTTCAAAATCAGAGAAAAAGAACAAAAACTGAAACATGAAGCTGAAGAAATCTTCTATGAAAGGGACAAGGAATTTGCGTCTCCGATAACAGCAGAAAAGGCGGTGAGCAAGGTGAGTAACGTGATGAGCACAGCAAGTTGCTACGAGGTCATTGAGTCCACATCAGAACTTTTACAAGATCTGAGAGAACAGGTGAAAATCCACAAAAGTATAAATACATTTATAAACCACGCAGAGTCATTTCTAGGCTTTAAGGAAAGCCATGATGCAGGTCAGCTTGGGAGTCTGGTGTTGAACGATGAATGGAAAATGGTAAAAACAAATGACAGTAATTGTTCGTGTTTCGAAGCTTTCTCAAAAGAAGATGTTGTTTTGGCAGGATACCGTAAGTTAATTTGTGATGGTACCGAGTTTTCTGAAACTCGAAGTCGACTTCAAGTTATAAACCCAACTAAGCTTACGTCGATTACTTATCCTAGACAAGATACAGACCTGTTTGTGTTGGACAGTCCCACAGTGAAAATTTACGATTCAAGTGTCACGTCTACGTTCATACCAGGTAAAGAGGCAGGCATTGGTGGTACACCAACATGCCTTGCAGCGGATACTTATAACGGTCAGATAGCAGTAGGTTACGAGAACAGAAAACAAATACAAATTATAATTATAATTATAAAATGTATCTCTTCATACCCAAGACGGATCTCATATCAGGAATTTACCTGCTCCGGGCATTGGTCGTCATCTGACTATCAGTGACAAAAAGCTCATATATACATATTCGCAATTTAACAAGAACGAGGTAGAGGTCCGATGCATAGACTACGAGGGCAAAGAAATATTCCAAAACGTAAAATGCAAGGGCCACCAACCCGGGTTGGTGTGCAGTGGTGGGGGAAGTATTTTTGTTGCAGTATCAGATGTGATTTGGCAGTTCCATGGCGATGGCACATACATCAACACTTTGAGTTGCGAGGCTGTTACAAATCCCACCGACATGAAGTTTTCTCCCCAGGGAAGCTTATTGATGCTAAACAAGGAGGGTTTGTGGGAGTATCAAACGTTTTGTCTGAAAAGAGAATCCGTTTTAAATTGGCCGGTTCTCGGCTGATAAAATTAGAACAATGAATTACAGGTCGACAAGACAGTCGATATAGTACTGAGTCGAATAATGATGAATGTAATGATCAGCAAAACAATTAATAATCAAACAAACAACAATAACGCCACTGGTCACGCACTTAGTGGTGCGCAAACAAAACAATTAAACTCAGTTCCTAAATAGTGGTCTTTGATAGTTCAAGAATAAAGTAAAAACACCTGAAAAAAGAAACAAGGAATGACTAGCCAACGCGGGTGGTTGCATGACGAAACAGAATATAATAAAAAAAATTAAAGAAGTTTAAGTTCAATTACATAGTTTTAAAATACCAGGTTTTATTTTTCAATTTGTGGCATACCTTTGCCAAGTTGCAGAAACTGCACAAATTCTAACATCTATTTCAGACTGACTTTCAATCAGAGTCGCGCAGATTCGAAGCACGTTAATTAATAAGCACCTGTCGAAAGATCGAATGAAGTCGTTTGATTCAGGTTGAGTAGAGTCGCTCGTAATAATTTTGAAGTCGGAACGACACTGGAACGTCAGGATGATTGTTAATTGAAGGTATAATAAGTTGTCTTTGTTTTATTTATTATATATGAACATTTTATATATTATTACTCCTTTCTGAATGCAAAGGCAGTGCATTTAAATATGGTGTTCAATGGGTATATGCGCATTGCAAATTGGAAATAAAAAAAACTGACGTAGCTTCAATACTTTACTTAACCGTTCTTTTAGCTGATACATTAATCCAATGAATGAAGGATTCATCACACGATGGGTCTTAATCATATACAAAAAACTGTAGTTATAATAACTTGTATATTATAGCTCTATGGTCTATACTTTATCGTTATAATACTTGGTATGAGGAATACTTGTCACACAATCATTGGTGACAATCAAAGATCTTATCTGTGATCATACAATAATTCAAAGGATCTCTTTTGGTATACTTATCTTATACTTAAAGTATTATTTTAAAAAATGTGTTTTCTGTGCTATTCTCTTTGTTTCATCTGAGGAAAATAATTCCTTCTAAAGTTGCTAGTGTTCTAGCAATACAAGAGTTACTCACTTTTGAATGATAAAACGACCGGGAAAAATTATGGTCATGTTTAGTTATTTTGAATGATTTGCTGCCAGACCGTATTTCCATTGTCGCGGGGTAGGCTGGTTTCCGCCCCACAATCAGCATCGATAATGTACAGACCGGGAACCAGTCTGCTAGCAAAGCCGATCTGTTTGTGCCATAGAGCTATATTAAATTTAATATAGCTCTATGGTTTGTGCCAAAACAAAAACACTTTTTTTAGAATGTTGCAGACGTCCTAAAAAAGGGGGAGGGAGGTTGTAGTAAAACAGGCAAGTTAAAATGTATTACAAGTCAAAAAAATATCGAATTTCTTGAGCACGGGGAACGCAACTTTAAGGCATACATGTACTTTTAAGATAGACTGCATGTAGCATCTCAATACGAGTACAAT